CGAAACGAAACGAGTTTATTAAGCCTGGCAAATAGTGTTAAGTATTTGTCAAATGTCAGAGTGCCACGCCCCGGCAAAGGGGCTGCAAGCAGGCCTAACACCCACCCACCCACTGCTGTGCATAGGCGCGTTTCCGTTTCAGGGGCATATTGAGAGTTTGCATAGAATTGCAATTTCCGTCTCTGACATTCAGACCACAACGCATCGCAATCGCGACTCAACAAATAAAAAATGCGTGGCTTTGCAAATTGAATGAACACTGAAGGGCGGAGGGCAGGAACGGCACCGCAATCGCAATTACAGAAAATGCTTATACATTTACATACTTATATATATCTATAGTATAATGATGACAATCTGTTGAGCAACGAATATATGGACAGGTAAGAGAATCACTTTTTCAGTTTTTAAAATAAACGAAGAAGCGTTTGCAGTTTTTAAAGAGACTTGCAAGTTTTGAATTTATATTCAATTTCTTTCTAAGACTGAATCATTTAAATTAATGATAACATTAGAAATTAAAGAAAATTCGTAGCTACAAATTTAAATGTAGGATATCCAGTTAAAACCCTACATTTTTAAATAAATATTTCTCTAGCAAAAATGTATAGAAAAAATCAACGAACTTTCTGTAGCGATTATAAAATCTGCACTTTTCTCAGCTGCAAGTTTTGAAATGCATATATTATTAAACATGTAATATTTTTCAGCCAACGGAAAAATAAATGATCATACAGTAGAAATATGACTATAGTTTTCTTTTGATGGCAGCAATATATATAAATATAGAATAAAGGCGAAGTCTGGTAAACAAATATACCTCTGTGTGTGGATTTGGGAAGTTAGAAATCCTTCGAAGACATTTTTAAGAATCTTTAAACGTAGCTGCAGTCGATAAGAGTGATTTGTGAATATAATTCTGTATTTTGCTTTGTGTTCATTTTAATCATATTCTTTTAATAAGTAGTGGATTTAATAAGAATTATAAAGTTATCAAATGATTGATCAACTCAAATAGTGATAATTAAGATTTTAAATTGAGTCAGCAATCCCTTTCTTTCGATCAATGTAACATTCGTTCGTTTGCAACTTTTAAGTTTTTTAAATTCAAAAGTGCTTCCGTTTCCTTAGATTGAGATAGGGATATGGGTAGGATTTATTTATGGGGAAAACTGATGAACATAGATGAAAATAGATAGATAGATAGTTTGCGACTTGTAAGTATTTGAAATTCAAAAGAGCTTCATTTTCCTTAGATAGAGATATACATATAGGTACGATGAATTTATAGAAAAAACAGATGAAAATATAAGAGCCAAAAATCAGTTTCAATAACTGAAGCAACTATTTCACTATTCCACTATTTCTTTCAGTGTAGCATTCATTCAGCGTCGTTCGTTTGCGTCTTGTAAGTGTTTCAAGTTCAAAACTGTGACCGTAACTGCTTCTTTCTGCGCAGATATGTACATATGTAGAGGCAGGGGTACGGGTTTGGGCGTGGGCGTGGGCAGTGGAGGTAGTGCGAGCACTGGTATTGGTACTGCCCTGGTTTACCTTTACCCACAATCGTGGATATTTTTGCATCTTTATTTAATTTTTGTTCGTTCCTTTTTGTATTTCTGCTGACTACGTGTTTAGACGCTCTAATTGGACGTTTGTTTCACGATCTGAACAAAAAATAAAAATAAAGCCATAAACACTTCACGCACTTTCAATTTTTGCTGCCGAACATTAATTGTTGCTGTTGTTGTTCTTGTTGTTGTTATTGTTGTTGGCGAGTCATTGAACGTTGAAAAGATACTATGATTTTTTTGTTGTAGGCCTAAAATTCCTTGGAATTAGTGCTGCATTGCCGTTAAATGGTTGTAATTACCTTTTTATTTTGGTTTCGAGCACAAATGAGTTGACAAATTTTTGTTTCTTTCGCTGCTCAGAAAGATCTTAGACCACAACCTTCGGCGTCGACCGTTTGTTTACTGAACCCCAAAAAGGGGCAATTCATGAATTCATGAACTTCAATTGAAAAATGCAGCAATTACATAGATATTATAAACGGGTAGATGTCTAGTATATAGTATACATAGACTGTTTGATAAGTCCATCTGAAGGTTAAACGACCCCCGATTGATACTTTTGTTGGCTCGTTTTAATTAATTTCCGGCGCGGCATCCTTTGAGTTTCCGCCAGACACCCAAACAGCTCTATTATTGTGCAATGCGCTTAATTATATTTTTATTATTGTTATGTTGATTATTAAAATAATTCGCACTATGCAGCTTTGATATTTTTGGCTCGTTGGATGCGAATATGGAACAAGAGGCTTTGCCCAGATTTGCCAGACATGCCCATTCAAATGTACAACTTAATTGCATTTTTGCAATATTTATGCGATGACTTGCCGAAAAGTTGGCCAGCATTTGTTGGGTCAACGAAAGCACTCGATGGTGAGATCGGCTTGAGAAGTTGTGACATTTCGTTGGCCCTAAGTAGTTTCCAACTGATATTTTCAGTCACCATCAAGTCTGTTTGAGAGTTCCAGCAAACATTGGCAAAATGTTTATTTCAAAAACTAGATAATGCTTACTTTTAAATTGGAAAGTTCCCCACTACATATGAATGATTTAACATTGAATGAAACTCGCAAAGAAAAATAAATCTTCACATACTAAATCAAGTTAGAGAGTACGTTTCGATCGAGCTCAAGAAATAGTTCAATCGACACAATTGAGTTCAAGTTACTAGAAAAAGCAGCCTAACCTAATTAAGTTTAAGAGAAATTTTAGTTATAAAAGCTCGTTTGATAAAAGAAATAAATATTTCTTTCTTTTCAATGTGTTTTGAGTATCCTGCATAGGTCAATCGAGAAAGGTCAAGAAGAATTTAAGTTTTTAGGAAATAATGTAAGCCCATTCGAGCAGAAAAGAATTTAAGTTATTAAAGAAAGATTAAAAGTAAATTTGAACTAAATAAATAAAAGCTTATTCTTGTCGATGCTTCACTTGTAAAACGTGAGGTTTGTCAGCTAACTGCTACTCTAATGATGGCTACCTGACTTAAAAAGTGTGTGAGTTGTGGAAAGATATATACAAGTATGTTACCGGTGGCGATCTAGGTAATGACTATGTTATCGCTGTTAAGAGCAATACAGCTCTGGAAGCTTTCTACCGCCATCTAAAGTAAATCTAATCCAAGGTGCTGTTCTAGGCAAGATTACACTTTTTTAAACCATTACGAAAGATTTTTAAAGCAAAGCTTGTAAGCAACAAAGAAAGAATTTGCAAAACATGTTCATATTATGGGGAGAAAAAATAGGAAATGTATTTAAAGAAGTTGGACGCTCCAACAATTTACTCGCAATACGCAATTTCCAAAAAGGTGACAAAGTTGCAAATTGTGCGAAATAACTTTAAGTAAATAAATAAATAACTACGTGTGCGTAGACGCGTTTGCTGAAAATTGGAAACAATGACAAATTTTTTCCAAAAAACTAAGGAAAAAACTGAAACTCATGCGGCAAATGAAGCGAACGTCGTTGACATACAAACAAACCAACAAACTTACCAAAAATAGACGAAAAGCTGTTGACAGCCGGGCGGAGGGGGAAGAGGCACGAATTTGTCTAATTTTTGGGCCAAAATGTGGATCAAGTGCAGAAATGCCGCACTCTGTTGTAATGGTTAGTGGGAATGCAGCTCCTGGGGATGGGGATGGGGAGGGGACTAACAACTGTGCTGTTAATTAAATAATGGCATAAATGTCAAACAATTATGCGACATAAGCATAGCCTATAGGCCTACAAGGAAGCGCGGTCTACAGCTGAACTTGAAACTGCGACCAAAAGCGCAAAAACCAGTTTCGAGCAATTGTCGAATTGTCACCAAAAGATACATTACGCACGCATGTATGTGTGTGTGTGTGTGTGTATCTTTGAGATACCAGTTTGTGTGGTAGTGTACCTGTGTGTGGGTGCAACTTCTTTGGGCTAATTCTGGGCACACGCCTGCCAACCTCTGTCGTATAAAGTGGAGCGAGCGCTGCTTGGACCGCATCATTAACCAAACGGTGGTCAACAGACGCGCTCGACTCGATTCCGATACCGATTTCGACGAGGACGAAACACCACAACCGTGCTCGCTATTTCAATATTTGTCGTGACGTGTGTCTTACATTTTTAGAAACTTTTAGCCAATTGAAAGGAACACAATGGCAAGTCAAGTAAGTGATTGCCACTGACAATGGGCAGCTAAAGTGGATATATCCAGAGTTTGTGGAGATTGCAGGACAAATAGGTGTTTAATAAAACAGAGAAAATACACATTGGCTTAAATATTTTCATATATACAGAAGTTTTGTTTTAGCCTCTCTGGAGAGCTTAAATCGAGATCGAAATATGATGTCTTCAGTTCGATTTTCGGTTTATTTTCAAAGTAGTTTATGGAAAAATATTAGTAAAATATTCGACTGTTATGAGGTTATTCTACATTTTGTAGTCTCTGATTAAAACTGGTTTCGAAAATTGGCGCCTTGAAATAGCACAACAAATTTCATAGCTGTATCAAACTTTTTTCATTAATTGAATGCTGCGGAATTTTGGTGATTATTTTTAGGTTCTGGTTTGAGTTCAAACGTCATAGATTAGAAATGTTAAGTACGTATGTACATGGGACAAATATCAGTGAGGCTCTGATGTTTTCTATAGCTACTAACTAGTTACAAAAAAAAAAAAAAGAAAAAAAAGCAATTTAAGAAACAACTCTCTAGCATTAGAAATGGTATAAAAGATATTAGTAAGAATAACAATTTAAATTGTTACTAATTTTTCACTTTTAGCCCAAAACTGTAAAATCGTTTTATATTTAGGGGCAATAAAATGCCACTATGTATTGAAAAAAACAATATCTATGAAAGATCGACTCGATTACGATAGCTATATTCAGTCTATGTGCTTGAATTGTCCTCAAAAATGTTGTTGATGTTATTTAAACGAAATGTTAGCTTACCTTAAATGTTTGCCTTTTGATAAACTATTCATTGCTGATTGTCTCTTGCTTTCGCCCACAGCAACTATCGATTTTGAGCCTCATGGCGCTCGTTGGATACTGCATGGGGGGCTTTGCGGCCACCTACGCTGGCTATCATCCGAATCCCACCGTTGCCAGATTCTATCATACTGCGCCACCTTCTGCTGTTTATCAGCAGACCACGGTTCCTTTCCTCACCAAGACTCTGCTGCCAGCTGCTCCTATCTACACGAAGTCAATTGTGGCCGCACCTGCTCCCTATACGGTCGCCCAGACAGTGGTTCCTGCAGCCGCACCCGTGCCAGTTGTAAAGACCGTAGCCGCCCCTGCCCCGGTCGTTCCTGTACTGAAGCAAGTGGAGTTGCAGGCGGCACCTCGTTATGATTTCTCGTACGGCGTGCACGATTCGGTGACCGGAGATATCAAGAGCCAGGTGGAGTCGCGCAGCGGCAGCAATGTGGTTGGCACCTACAGCGTCCTGGATGCCGATGGTTACAAGCGCACTGTCACCTACACAGCCGACGATATCAATGGTTTCAATGCGGTGGTGCAGCGCGAGCCAGTTGTAGCGGTGCGCGCCGCTGCTGCTGCAGTGCCAGTGGCCGCTGCCGCTTTACCCACACCCATCAATGTGCTGCAGCCACAGTACTATCAGCAGCCACAATTGGTGCAGCAGCCACAACAATTGGTGCAACAGCCACAGCAATTGGTGCAACAGCCACAGCAACTGGTCCAGCAGCCACAGCAATTAGTGGAGCAGCCACAGCCCATCAATGTGGAGCAGGAGAGCGAAGTTGTAGAAGCACCACGCCAGCCAGAACAGGAGCCAGCGCCCGTTGACTACACAGAGAGCCAACAACAGCCACAGCAGCAGCCACAATATCCTCAGGATCAGCAGTTCCCGCCTTATCCCGCTGCCGGTGCTGCGCCTACGCCCTCCATCGATGATTCAGATGTTGTGGAGGCCCGATCAGCCCTTGAGTCCGAGGCAAGCAGCACCACACCAGCCAGCGAGGAGCCACTGGAGGAGAACAAGAAGACGGCTTAGGTTGTGATAGACACGCTGACTTCCCCCATGTACATTAAATGAATATGTTTTCCATACTTACTTACAATTTGTTGAGATTAAAACGCTAAACAGTCAAGCACAGATTTTTCTTTAATCTCCAATCTGAGCAGCCGTCGCTTCAATTGTAAAACAAAATATATATATATGTGTGTATTATATAATACGCAATGTCGCAGGACGGAAACAACAACAATAACAACAGCGGGGCCGATTCCGAACGAGAATTGGAAACCCAGCATGAATTACCAACCCGTTCGAATCCAATTGAAAATGGTGGAAATGAAGATGAAAATCAACATCGTGCCACAGGTGGTGCTGTGCCACAAGACCCGCCAGCACGTGACTCGTTTTTCATCATAACATATTCAATTTATATTTAAGACGCACTCTTTCCGCGGAAGTACGTAAAAATGAAATACCGCTTAAATTTTGATTTTGATGATCAGCTGTTTACAAAAGCGTGCAGGGTGCCCAGCCAAACAAAACTGTGGAAGCCATGGACAAACAAAAGTCTGAGAATAGTGTGGCCGCTTTCCGGTTATTCGAAGTATTGCAGTTAACTTAATTGTATCTTGACTTTGTTTATGCTGCGTTTGCAGTATGGATTCGTTTTTAAATTCAATAAATTCAAATACCTAATTTGTTTTCCAACGCCATAATATGTCATTCCGCATTTTTTGTTTTAGTTTGGAAACAAGATCAAATCTTAAACTGTAATCCTGCACATTTGCCACTTATTGTCCTTTTCATTTAATATAGCATCGACACAAACAGGCCGCGCTGCGCTGAGTTGGTTTGCAGATTCCGCACGTGGGCCCTGGGTTCGTATCTATGCTAAACGGTGTGGATTGTATTTCGATACGAGCATTGCTGATATTGTGGCTATTGTTGTTAAACTACTTTTTTTGTATGTACATTTTTATGCAACGTTACCAAATTCCCTAATAAATAGTTAGGTTAGCGCACATTAAATTTGAAATGCAGGGTGTCTGTTTTTTAAGCAGCAGTGCGCAGTGCTACCAATTCGTCGATCTACACAAAAAGAGAAGAAGCAGCAATAATGCGCCACAAAATGCCAAACGCTTTGATTTGTGACGCTGCTGAAGCGCTGTTTTTTAAATCGAACGGTAATTGTTGACCAAAGTAAGCTTTGCAATCAATTTCTTCCGCCTGCCTTTGTCGTCTATGTGCCCAAAAAAATATTTCACATTTCCATTCGAGTGTTCGACGCGTTCACATCGGGTTAGTAAGTGTGAAATTCATAAAAATTACAAATTTACATGGAATAAAATTTTAAGTAAGAACAGTAAGAAAAATTAACTGCAAGTGCACACATACAGGTAAGTTTGAGTGTGTTCTATTAGAATGGTTAAAGAGGGGGGATAACAACCTCCACAACAAAGGGCCTGCTGTTGCAGTACGCAAATGGCGGATTCTCTTGCACAGTTAGACAGACGCAGCCGCAGCTGTTGCTGAATTGTTGTTGTTGTGATCTGGCCTTGCAGAGCCGGTATCTGCGCTGTTGCTGCGCTGCCAACGTCGCTGTTGTGAATAAAGGCGGTAAAAAGAAAAAATTCAAAAGAACGTTCAGGAAATTTTAATGTGTCTGTGTGTGTTGTGTGTTTAGTGTGTGTGTGTGTGTGTGCAGCAGCCCTTTGCCTTTGCTGTCACACTTTGTCGTTTCCTTTTCTAACCGGCAACATTTCGATTTTCCAGTCTTTCACTTGTCATCGTAGCATCAACATACACACAATTATAAAACTAGTGGGAATATAAATTCGAAATATATATAAATAAAAATACATTGAAATGAACAAAACGGACACATCCACTCGCCAGGGCGCTTACAAGTCCAACTCCATAAACACGCAGGTAAGCGCAGGACTTTTCGACCTGACAACTTAACCTCACTTTTTTGCTGGACCCTATTCCCCGCCTATCTTTTTTAGGACTCGCGCATGCGTCGCCATGAGGTGACCATCGAGCTGCGCAAATCGAAAAAGGAGGACCAGATGTTCAAGCGCCGCAACATCAATGATGAAGATCTTACCTCACCTCTTAAGGAGCTCAATGGCCAGTCGCCAGTTCAGTTGTCCACAGACGAGATTGTGGCTGCCATGCACAGCGACGATGCGGAGCGCCAGTTCCTGGGCATGCAGCAGGCCCGTAAGATGCTGAGTCGCGAACGAAATCCACCCATTGATCTGATGATTGGACATGGCATTGTGCCCATCTGCATCCGCTTCCTGCAGAACACTGACAAGTAAGTATCTCTGGGCTCTCAGACGTGATTTGTTCAGTATTTATTAAATATGTTATTGGCAGTCCCATGCTGCAGTTTGAGGCTGCTTGGGCTCTTACCAACATAGCTTCGGGCACCTCGGACCAGACGCGCCAAGTCATTGATCAGAATGCAGTGCCACATTTCATCAACTTGCTGCAGTCCAAGTCCATCAATCTGGCCGAGCAGGCTGTCTGGGCTCTCGGCAACATTGCCGGCGATGGCGCCGCCGCCCGTGACATTGTCATCCAGCATAATGTGATCGATGGCATACTTCGTCTGATCAATAACGACACCCCTTTATCGTTTCTGCGCAACATCGTGTGGCTAATGTCGAACTTGTGCAGGAATAAGAATCCCTCGCCACCGTTCGAGGAGGTGAAGCGTCTCTTGCCCGTGCTGTCGCACCTTCTGCTCAGCCAGGACATTCAGGTGCTTGCAGATGCCTGCTGGGCTTTGTCCTACGTGACCGATGATGACAACAATAAGATACAGGCTGTCGTCGATACAGATGCTGTGCCGCGTCTCGTCAATCTACTGCAAACGGATGAGCCGAGCATCATTGTGCCTGCCTTGCGCAGCGTTGGCAACATCGTGACTGGCACGGATCAGCAGGTGAAGTACAATATTGTTGCAATGTGGTGGGAATTCTGCTAGGGAAGTTCGCAAAGTTAGTTTTGGCTGGAAATCGAGTTTGAAAAGCACGCGTATTATAGGAAAAACTAAATAGCTGCGGTACAGCTACTAAGTATGAAAAGCGCAGAGGAACACATTTATAGAACAAAAGAAACAAACTAAATAGCTAGGAAGTTTTAGAAGCGACGAGGAGAAATAGGTTTTTTAAATTTGTAGTTTTCGCTTATTAGCTGATCTTCAGTTGTGCGATTTAGAAGGGATAAGATTGATGATGATTCCCCTTTTAAAGTTATAATCATGCTATATGTATGTATATTCAAATCGTTATCATGAACTAATATTTAAATATATAGCTTAGCCTGTAGTGGTTCTAATCTTGAAGCAGATAGTTTCCATTATGAAATGATCGAAACTGTGTCTGTGCTTTTTTATAAAATAATGAAACATAATTCTTTCCCATAGACCGATGCGGTTATAGCTGCCGGCGGTTTACCCAAATTGGGTCTTTTGCTGCAGCACTCGAAGAGCAACATTGTGAAGGAGGCTGCCTGGACAGTCAGTAATATTACTGCTGGCAATCAGTTGCAGATTCAGGCGGTTCTCGATGCAGGTAATTGCTTCAGCAATGCACCGACAAAAATACAGATTTAATAATGGAGTACCATATGCGGCTTTGCAGGCATCTTTGATCAGATACGCCAGGTGCTGGAGAAGGGCGACTATAAGGCGCAAAAGGAGGCTGCATGGGCAGTGACGAATACAACAACTTCGGGCACGCCCGAGCAGATAGTCGATCTGATTGAGAAGTATAAGCTGCTGAAGCCGTTCATTGATCTGCTCGATGCCAAAGATGCTCGCACCATTAAGGTGGTGCAGACGGGGCTCTCGAATCTGTTTGCGTTGGCCGAGAAGATGGGCGGCATAGACAATCTGTGCCTGATGGTCGAGGAAATGGGCGGTCTAGACAAGCTGGAGGCGCTGCAGCAGCACGAGAACGAGGATGTCTATAAGAAGGCTTATGCCATCATTGATGCTTACTTTAGTACTGGCGACGATGATGCTGCCGAGCGAGAGTTGGCGCCGCAGGAGGTTAACGGTGCCTTGGAGTTTAATGCCACACAGCCAAAGGCGCCCGAGGGTGGTTACACTTTCTAGGAACGTGCACTCTCAATTACAAAACACAACACACCACACACTAGTTTTTCGGTGTTGTCGGCCGCGCGTTTTTTCTTTTTGTATCTCATGCTACACACTGTGCCATTGTCATCGAAAAGGCGCGTGCAGACATAAACACACAACAAAACACACACTATAAACACGCACACACACACGAAAACGAAAATATTACTCTACTCGAATTTATATACCAATTATCAATGTGCAGCAAAATCAGCATGCATAGAGTTTTTAAATGCATTTGCTTATATAAAGCGTTCAAATCCCCCCCATACACTATATAATTCCTGGTCCCCGCGCCAGCACTAATTTATTATATAATATAACACTACCCTATATCGTACTCCTAAGTGGGCTCTCTGTTCGCTCACGCTTTTAATATAGAAAGAAAGAGCACACTTTACACTAAGATTTTTGTTCTTCAACTTGTTACCTCACGTGTCGAACATTGTTCTGCCGTTTGGAACGTCCATGCAACGCGTTTTGTGGCGCGTTTTTATTCTTCAGCCCCAGATCTCCAATCTACATACGCACACAACGCTCAATTCAAACCCAAACTCTCTCTCTTTAAACACACTACACTCGCTCAAACTTTCTTCGCTTTATTAAAAAATGGACTAATGGTTACACTCGGATCACACGCACATTTGATGCCACCAATATTAATAACACACGCCACTCCTGGTCAATCGAACTGTGATGACCAAAGAAGCTCCCAAACGTGTGCACGCCTTTTTCTCAGCTGGGCTGCTTAGCAGTCTGGTGCCACGTTTTCCGTTTGCCGGCTTTTACAGCTTAGATCGTTTTCCTTTTTGCAATATTTGGAGATTTTGGGGCCAAAGCGCTGCCTCTGACGTGTTTGCATGGCCGGTTGCTGTATGTGTGTTTTGTTTTTCAATGAACGAAATGCAGTCAGTAGGCTCTCAAAATATTTTTTAAAATGTATGTTTGTAAAACGAAGTCGACCCCCGCAACCCACTCACACATCCTCATTCACGCACGCGTCCGAAATCTTTGTCAAACTTTATCATTCCAAACGCTGTTTAAATTTAACGAATAAAATGTTTAAGTGATAAATATAATATACGAGTATGCACATGCTGTGCGGAATTGTGTTTTAAATAATAATAGCTGTTTATTTTTCGAAATAGAGCCAGTTTTTCAAGCTAGTTATTTCGTGATTATTTGTCAGTGGAAATGCTTATTCATTTGCAGCATACTTTTGGGCTGAACTTGAAATTCCTCAGTTTAAAAAAGCGGTTTGCAGGTTTTTTTCAACTGACAATTTGAAATATCGGTTTGTCGCCTTATATCTTAAGGCTTAGTAAAAAAATGCGATAAATGAGAAAATGGTTATTAAATAATTATGCAAATGGACTTCATAATTTAGCTATACTATGGAAGCTGTATATACTTTGATTTACAATCAAACTGATCTGTTATTGTTATATAATCATTATTGTACTTATAATCAGCAAACGAAACGAATCCAAATGTCCGTTGTCATTAGAACAAAAGGATGAACGAATTCTGGTGCTGTATTCAATTTTGCTTTCATTCTTAAGGAGCAAAGTTTTATCTTATTTGTTTTCCTTTTCAGAATTGTAAAGGTCAAGTTAGCGACAAAAAGCTAGCATAGCTTCGATAATGCAGACAATTAGTGTTGAGCCAATAACCAAAATACTTGAAATTCAAAGCTACAGAGCCATAGAAAAAAACGGAAAAATAGTTGAGTGCAAATGGAAGAAACTTTCTTTTTGAAATAACATTAAGTAAATTTGTCTTTAAAATTTGAATTCAAATCAACACAACACACTTAGAAAAGAAAATAATCAGCTGGAGTACATGTCCCGATAAAAATCGAAAGTAGAGCTTCCATTGAAATGGGTGTGGGAATCAACGTGTATGTAGTTTAAATTAGCGAGATTTCACTGTTTGTAGAATATATATTTAAACTAAACTCACTTGCAGAAACGTACCACATAACGACCCCAATGTATCTATCTATCAGATTAGATAAAGTGATTAAACAGTGGCTGCAGATACATACATACAAGCCATAAAAAGTGCGGCAGAGGAAGCAACAAGCGCGCCCAACTCAATTCCATTAAGAGCTGGTGGCGTGCATCATCGTCATCATCAACATCATCAAGAGCATCGGCAGCGGCAACAATCAGCTCTAATTCCAGCGCCAGAAAACAATACAATGCCACAGCAGCAGCAGAAGCAGCAACCGCCCAACCACCACAACCACCACCACCACCCGCATCGCCACCGCAATGCCCACTGATTCGGTCGTTCAGTCGCCGCGTTCCGTTTCGTCAGCAGAGATCGCAGTTAGTCGCCAGCGCGTCGCTTCATTCAGAATGAAATAAGCGGCAAAGAAATTTATAAAAATAGATGAAATTTTTAGCATCGAAAAAGTAGTTGCGGAAAATTCGAACTCAGTTCAAGAAGACATTCAATTCTCAGAGCTTTTTGCGTCGCAGTTGTCGTCATCGATTCTGTGGGCGGGAGGTAGAGAAGTGGCTCCCAAAGAGCAGCGCTAAGCAAATTTAATTAGTTTTATATTCAGTTTTCTAAAGTAGTCGTTAGTTCAATTTTGTGCGAAGCTGCGTGCGGGCGTATCGAGTTTGGCGATCGTATCAGTTCATGTAATTCTCTTCAAAAAATATGTTGCAATAACAATTATAATACATTTATATTTATAATTTGAAACAGATCTAATATTTATAATAACTGCTTAAAGATGTGGAAATAGTAAACGTAGATAATATCGAATTGTTGTGGACAATTTGATTTTATTCCAATGATAAATGTGTTTTTCTAAGTGGCATTTCGTGTAATAAATAAAATCGAATGCTGCGCAAGTTTTTTTTGTTAAATTAAATTGCTTTGAGGCAAAAAGTCTGAGCAATTAAAAATTCAAAGTGGCAATTGCACGGAAATAAAAGATTTTAATATTCGACTAAAATAGTGATGAAGTTTGGATAACAAATAAATTAAGAGGCTGCTTTGAGAAGTGAAATATTAGTTAAACAACCGAGCTCTCCTAATTCATCTCTAAATTCAAAACTAATGTGTGTAAAAAACAAAATATTTGTAATTACATCTGAAGCTGGTTTTTAAACTAAAAAGTATCGTATGTGAAAGCGAAATTCAATGTCTTCTAATTTTATTGTTTGGCCAAGTGGGGTAGTTACCCAGTAAATAAATAATAAAATATTTAAATGAGAATTTATTATAATTGGAACAATTTTGAGTCAAGTAAATAAGATTGCTTTGGCGAATTATTTGAATAAAGTGAAGTGGAGAGAATCTAGTTTTCTTTAGCAAACTAGAAGATAATATTAAAAATACTAGTTGAAGAGTTCAATGAAAATTTTAAAATAACTTAAAATTGTTGTATTTTTTTTAAATTATTATCTTTAGTAAGGTTATAAAAGATAATGAATTAATTTGAAGTTATATTTAAGCTCCTAATCATGATTTAGGGGTAACAGTAATTAGTGATCCTATACTTTTTAATACTATAAATAAAATGTTGGATTAATTATTCAATTATACTATCAATACTATTAGGTTTCTGGGTTTTTCTTATCTGCAATTAAGCAGTGAAGTTTGACCTTCACCCACTAAATAGTAAATTGCATGGTGTATCTGTGAGATATATGAATTAAACCAGATATTTATACGCGTCTCTGACATTCAATTGTTTTGACAACAATAAATTTTCTTTTAATTAAGCTAGCTGGATGCGTTACAGAAGCTATACTCTGGCTGACTAGCTTTTTAGCTATATATATATGACACAATGTCTGAATTTTTGATACATTTTCATATTTTTTCGCTGCACCATTTTAGCATTTGAAGAGTAATTTTAAAAGAGACATTTCCATATGTATTGATACAAGTATATGCATCTGAAATAAAGGCATATATATGTCAATTGTATGTATATTGCTTACATACTTTAATCAATTAATCATCTTAAACAAACAACGCAGACTTTCTAAGTATCAAAATAATAAGAATAGCTATTCTTTAATTAATAGGTAATTAAAATGTGTTCCCAAATTTAGAGTATTTAAAGCATTATTCAGAGAAACACAATCTTTGTGTAAAGATTCTCTAAAATCTTTTAATAAAACTTAATTCATATTTGGATTATATATTTTTTCTAGCAATCTGTGAGAATGCGAGAATTAGAAATACTATAGTGGTTGCGAGAATAGTGGTTGTAGCTCCAGAAAGATAGCCATTACTGCCAACAGGTTGTATTTTTTTATTTTTATTTTATTTTATGAAATATATAATCTTTCAGGCACTAATTACTTATGGCTATTAATGTGGTTCTTTTGCTTTTGCTGACACAATAAAATCGAATAGAAATTTCCCAATAGTTTTGAATTTTAAGGCTAAAAAATTAGAGACCACATGTTGCTCGGAAAATGCTGTGAAGATTATTATTATTATTGTTGTTGTTGGTGCTATGTTTGTGTTGTTGATGCGTATTGGCCTGATTTCTAGCCAGAATGAGCCATATGCCACTTAACCAACCAAATGCTATATACGAATATATATACAAGTACATATACCTACACATAGTATGTATATATATTTGCAAAATATTTGGCAATGCTCGTAAAGCATTTGAAAATACGAAGAAAACATTTGTTCTTACGATGTTTGGTTAAGATTTGGCAGCAACAGCAACAACAACAGTAGTTCTAGTAAGCTAAACAACGCTTTTGACAAATTCATGATGTAATTAATTTTCTAAGAACAATAACAACAACAACAGTAACAACAAAACAAAATCAACCGAACAACATGAAGAAATTGGCACACCAAAAATAAACAATAAACACAGAGTCGAGTGGCTCTCTACTTATAGAGCTCTCCTCTATATATACACACATCCACACGTATATATCTTTATAGCAGAGAGCATATAGACACATAGATATGGTGGAGTGACGCTCGCGATTTTTCGTCGTTTGGCCGGAAAACTTTTTTTGTGTGTTTTTCTTGTATTTTTGTCTGTAGTTTTTGTTTGTTGATTTGGCAATTAAGTGAGCGCGCGCCTGCCTCGTCTATAGAGTAAGAAATCGAGGCTGGAGCGTGTTCTGGCACGCCTGAATAGACACAGCAATAGTAGCAACAAAGTGAACAGATCGTGTGAAATTTAAAATTGCCACTAGATATACAAATATTACGAAGTAATTTCGAATTGTGAATTTTTTTTTGTTGTTGTTTATCAATGGTGATAGTGTCAGTCTAGATTCATTTCACATTCGAGCCACAACACAAACTCAATATTTTCTAGTATTAGAAGAAGCTAACTTAGATAGGGAAATGTGCTCAGCATAGTATCCCTCGAATTACAAAATAAAACTTAATTGTTCTGCCATAAAATAAAATATTATTATTATTTTTATACCCTGTACCCGTAGGGTAAAAAGGGTATATTAGGTTTGTGCAAAGTATGTAACATACAGAAGGAAGCATCTACGACCCCATAAAGTATATATATTCTTGATCAGCATGACGAGAGAAATCGATCTAGACATGTCCGTCCGTCTGTCCGTCTGTCCATCTGTCCGTCCGTCTGTCCGTCTGTCCGTCCGTCTGGATGAACGCAAGGATCTCAGAAACTATAAAAGCTGGAATAACCAAAGTTGGCATCCAGATTCTCCTAGGTCCGAGTAAGGACGAGTTTATTTTATTTTTTTTAATTTTCCCCCCCTTCCCCCGCTACAGAATTTCGTCAATAGCGTCCACATTTCATTTTATTCAATTCGGTCAATTTTAAGAAAAGTTATTAGCAAAACAAATTTTCGCCAGTACAACCCCACCAAACTGCAGGAACAAGTTCGCTCTTCTTCTTCCTCTTTTTGCTGCTGCTATGGGCGCATATAACTCAGTGACGCAAGTTTACCTGGGTACAGGGTATTACACTGTCGGGCTTGCTCGACTGTAGCGTTCTCTCTTGTTATTTTAAATAAATTTCTTTAGTCTAATATCAGCGTTTGTTTCATTCATTAACTCGTATATAAATATGTCTTTATTTCGAGGAGGGTATTGCAAAATCGGTGAGGATGGGACTGAAGCCAGAACTGCTTTCCCCGCCTTTCAATTATAATTTTTCTTATGACAGAACTGAATTTATGGCGTTTGCCAAGTTTTTTTCTGGCTGCTACTGCAGGTCGATTTTAATTAAATTTTAATGTTTTATATAGTGGGAACAGTCATAAACTATGATTAATAAAAAGATTTAATATACTCGTATATATATTCATGAATCAACTTAAGAAACTGTGCCAAACAAAGGAGCCTTTTATTTGAGTGGTTTCCTTCAAACAAAGACTATTTTAGAAGACTTTTTATGTAGTGTACTATATTTATGGTAAACAAATGTTATCAGCAAATGTCTTCGAAAACTGCAGTTTCATTGAAATATAGTTTAAAATTATTTAGCTGGCCATGGCTTCGAATATGCAGAAAACTATAAATATTCTTAAATAACTTAGCTAACTCATTTCAAAATAATATCTGATAGAAAGTTTCATCAGACTGTTCAGATATTGTAAAACTGATAAATGAATAAATATAAAACATGTACCTTGTCCAAATAATGCTTTTAATTTGCTTAGTACCTTGAAGCGTTATACTTATAGCCTGTTACTTGTAGTGGCAATTAATTATTTATGGGCAGAGCTTTTTCGGATCGAGATAATGCGAATGTTTTAAATAGAAAATTTAGACACATCTGTTTTGCATTATTTTGAAGGGCAGACTGGCTGATGCGATCAAATTGAAATAAAACCATTTCAATGTTTTAGTTAGCAGCAAACATGTGGCAAAGATAAAAGGGAATGAACTATTTAGAAAAACGTCAAACACACACATACTTGAATATAGGAAGCTATATGGAAGGCAATACTCTATTATTATTATTCAGTATAAAATATGCTAAAATGTGTTAGCAGTCTAGAAAACAGAAATAGACAACAGATTCCTTTCCTTACATAGTTTCTTAGATTTAAGTGCAATCGTATAAATACTATATATCCTATGGACAATTGTTGTGTTTCACTTTAAGGTAAAACTGGATTAAGCTGCCACATTAGGTAGCAGTACACGTGTTAATAAAAATTGATGGTAAAAATATTTGATAAAAAAAAATTAATAAAAATATTCCTTGACTTACAATATTAGAATAAGGCTTTTAAGAAAACTGTTAAAGAGCTTTTATTGTTTAAAAACAATTGAAAACTATCATAAAGAAGCTTTCGTTTGTTTGAAAATAAAGAGATAATTATTTGTTTATGCAATTACTTAATTGCTAATTTTCTGTTCGTATATCGATTTCACATCGCAGAGGAACATTTAATAAATAAATAATTGCTAATAGCTTTAATATTTTTCCCGACAGCTGCTCGTCAAGCAACAAAAAATGAGCGCCACCGCCACCACGACGACTTCAGTCCAATCCCCAATGGCGGAGATCAAGCTGGGCGCTGAAGTCTTCCACAGCATTGCTTCGACGACCAGTGAGCAGAATGTGATCACATCCCCATTGCTGCTGGAGAGCACGCTGGCGCTGCTCTTTCTGGGCTCCGATGGAGCCACGGCAGAGGAGCTGCAGCGTTTGCTGAGCCTGAAGGAGCGGTTCACCAGCAATGCCAAAATGGCGAACTATTATGCCGCATTGCTCGGAAGTGCCACCGGGGATAAGGACACGCATGCCCAACTACAGAACCGTCTGTTGGTGCAGACGCCCAGTGCTGCCAGCATTGCTGCGGACTTTCAGAAAATCGCCCAAACCTATTTCCATGCCACGGCCGAGAGCGTCGACATGCAGCAGACGGAGAAACTGCGACGTCACATCAACGAGCTACTGTCTGTCCTGGGCTTGGGTGAGATGATGACAGAGCTGCCGCAGACAAACAATGCCGGCCAGTTGCTGCTGGTATTGGCAGCACGATTGCAGAGCAAATGGTTTCTGCCCTTCAGTGCCTATCGCACGGGTCTCTATGAGTTCCATGGTGGGGATGGCGGGGCCATTGCCAAGTCAGTGCCCATGCTCTTCGACGACGACATGTTTGTCAAATATGCCGAGTTGCGGGAGCTGAATGCACGCGCCATCGAGCTGCCCTACGAGCATGCGGACCTCGAGCTGGCAATGCTCCTCATCCTACCCAATCAGCGCGATGGTCTGCCCCAGCTGGAGCAACAGCTGCGAAGCACAGATTTGGGCGCCCTCCAGGAACGCATGCAGGTGGAGAGCGTCCAGGTGCTGTTGCCCAAGTTCACCATTGACTTTGAGTGCAGTCTGCGACATGCACTCAAGGAGGTGAGTCAGGGGCGAGTAATCTTCAAATAAGAGTGGAACAGCATGGTTGGGCCATTCCCTAGTTCAGGATTGGTGTATCAGAAAGTAGATACAATTTTCTATGCTTTCTTATTCAAAACATTCTTCTTCACAAGCACAAATGTATAAGTACAGCAGGAGTTTAAAAAAATTGACCCCGAATGTGGAAAAACGGGTGCCCAATACTTTCCTTATTTTATTTACTTGAAAGTTGTTTTCGGGTCTGGAAGCTGTTTTAGAAAATGTCAACAGTCTACTCATTAGAGAATGGCGGTCACAGGAAATTTTAGATTACTTTTAACGAAAAATTTACTTATTATTGCAATCGTTTTTTATCAGTGTACTTAGAAAGCATTATTTTTAGATTCCCTAATGGTCTTCCGGTAAAATGGTTGGTCTAAGCTTTTACTTTCTACTAAAGCTGTCATCAAAGGAGTTTACTTTCTGTCTTTCCTTATTTTCAAATTTTAAAAAAAATTGCAATTTAAATTTGTCTTTCTGGTCTTAAAAGCTTATTTAAAGTCTTCTGTAATCTCAGAAATAATAGCTAAGTCAAAGAATACTTTTATAAATCCAGCTCAATGCATAGGAAATAGACTCTACTCTATATTAAAAATGTATTTTAAAGGCAGTCGCTTGCCTCAGAAAGAGAGAGAATTTCTCCTGCATCTTAAATGCATACCAAAGTTTCTGAAAATCATGATTATTGTACATGGAACAATAGAATAGGTTTACCAAGCATATACTTTTATCACTATCTGTAATTTGGCATTAATGTGCCGGCAGCTCTGTTTTAAGAACGGGAACATGTTGGCAATCAGATTCACTTACTTACAAGTATTTTCAAATGAAATATGGAAAAGAATATGCAATACAAATATTGATACCTACCTCTTGACTGCCTCCTTTTTCAGTTGGGCTATGTCGAGATCTTTGGACAGTCTGCCAACTTCAAGCACCTGCATCCGGATGTGGCGCTTCCGATTGTCGATGTGCTGCACAAACTACGGATTGCGGTGCATGAGTCGGGCTCTGAGTCCGCACAGCCCGCAGCAGGTGAGTCTTCCATGATCGCCATGAACTATTCAGAAATAATGCATTTACTCTATATTTGTAGCATACAAGCCGATTGTGATTAGCAATTCCTCGCGTCAGAAATTCTTTCGGGCCGATCATCCGTTTTTCTTTGCCATACGCGCCGATAATGTGACGCAGTTTATGGGTCATGTGGTTAGCTTTTAGTCACTCTCTAATTTAACTCTCTGTGTAAATTTCTTTGTTGTACTCGTACTACTCGTATTTATGTGTAAATGCTCTAAAAATAAATTAACACTTTGTAATAATCGATAATGATGAGAGTTTAGTTTTTTTTTTTTATAACAAGAGTCTTGAGTTTATTCAAAGATATATATATTATCATACTCGTACATATATAATTTGGTTGTTGCAGAAATAGTTCTGTTATATTTATTGTATTTGTAGAATTCTCGCTTATCGTTATCGTTATTGTATTTAATATTAGTTTGTTAATTTCTAGGAAAAACTTTTAAATAGAATCAAAAATTACGGCATTACTTCCGCTTTAAATTAGAGTTTTTCAATTTCAATTTCTGATGCCTTCTTGTAAATCTAGCTAAAAATTGTGTTTTGAGTTTAAATTCATTTCATTTTGTTTATGTTAATGCAAGTTATTTTAGTTTATATTTAATGTAGACTTTTAGGTATGACTTTTTGTATGATGCTAAAAATCACTTTACAGAGTTCTGTTTTGTTTTTAGTTTAATGTTTTTAACAAATGCTGATTATTCACAGTATATGCACATTTATGGCAATAAGGGTATTTACAATGCGTGATTTTTTTAAATTTCAATTTACTTTTCTATTAAACATACTTATTTAAATCAAACAATAATGTTAGGAGTTTTTTAATTCCAATTAACATATTTGCTACTTAAGGAAATTGTTTGGAAAAAACCAAGAGCATTTGGAATTGAAAACAAGTCAAATATAGCCTGTTCCCATTTTCATAAATTGTTCTGTTTTGTTTGTCAACTAAAGTGAAAAGAATCTCAATAAAACCTATCTATAAGTCCCCCAAATGTTCAAATATTAAACAAATCAAATGCTATAGTCAACTTATGCAGTCGATTTAGTGTATAATAACAATTTTTGTTAAAATACTCGACATTTTTCCTACGAATTATGATTGTTCATATATTCATTTATAATTCGCAATCGGTTCTGTAGTTGTGGGCTATACATTTTAGCTGTGAGCAATTGCTTAGTAATGAACTATTCCCAGGTGTTTGATTAGAGTTTTCAATATTGTGTTATTCATCATAAAATAATATTATTAACTAGCAAAATAACAATTCATTTTATAGTAGATCCAATAGTAAGAAAAAGTAATCGCGTGGAGTTTGGCGTTTTTTGTGAAATATGTATTTTCTAAATTGTGTGATATTTTTTAACGCATTTATTTATTCAGAAACGGCAAATTACTTTTAAAACTAGTAACTAAAATTTAATTTTTAAAGCGTAATTGATTCTGTTTTAAAATTTCACATTTTCATATCCATTTCGTCAATTTCTTTTAATTCCACTAACTGAAAGGCTAAGTTTTAAAGATTTTTCGTTGCTCTACGATAATATACAGGAATTCCATTTTCAAATATATTTCCGCCAGTTGTGGAGAAGCTTTAAGCACTTTGCACCTCTGGGATCACCTTTCTCTAATTTTGTCGATCTGTTAAGCATTTTTCTAATTGAGGGTCATACTTTATAAATCCTAAAACTGAACAGTAAACAAAAACCTGTTCGCCATCATTTTCATAAAAAATCTATGGGAAACCTGGGCAAACCTTTTCCGTTTTAATTTTAAATTTGGGCAGTTTGAGTGACATTTTGTGTATTACTTTTGATTCCATTAACTGAATGACTAAACTTGGAATACTTTCTGACGCTTTATGGAGTTACTTCTTTTAACTCCATTAACTAAAAAGCTTTCTAAAATTTTCCATTTTCCTATCAATTTTGGCAATCGAGGATGAAAGAAAATGTGCATTAAACTAAGAGTTTAAGCTTTACGAAAATGGGAACAGCTTTCTTTACTTTTTTCATTTCCGATCAATCTTTTCATATAGAAACTAATAATATAGGAATGCTCTTCTAATTCTCAGCTGGAAACAATTGTGTAATTATTTACATTTCGTTCGTCGACAGATATTAATATGAGTTGAATGCTTCAGTTATCGTTTGTACACAAAACAGAAATTTACGCTCGATTGTGTTAGTATTGGAATATTACTAATGTTAGACATACAACCTAGCTATGTTAGTTCTACAGTTGAAGAAAAACTTATGACTTACTGGTAAATGCAGCCTCTGCTTATAGCATGCTGCTCTGTTGCTGTTGTTGCTGTTGTTGTTGCTGTTGAGGCTTTGGGGGTGTTGGGTCGCAGGTCTTGCTCACTACAGCCGGTGGTGGTGGTGGCGGTGGCTGCGTCGACGCCACCGGATCCACATCCAAGCTGCCGCGATTGAGCAGATAGTCCAGATCGTGCGTTATGCGATCCAGCGTAGCATCCGCTTCCCCCACCCCGCTTCCACATTTCTGGGCGGGCGGTATGGCCGCTGCTGTTGTTGTTGTGGTGCTGGTGGTCGACACCACCGCTGCCACCATTGTGGGCAGCAGCGGATCGAAGGTGGTGCGCGATGTGGGCTCCAGAATTGTCACCCGTTTTTGTGTCTTCGGCGTGGGCAGGGTTGTCGCCAAACCGCTCAGATTGCCGCTGATTGTGGGTGGCGGCAGTGGTGCTGTTGCCGGTCCTGGCATGCTCAGCATCAGGGATGTGGGAATGAAGTCCACATAGGGATTGTGCTGGAGCGGCATGTAGTGAGTGTGGGGCGTGGCCGACGGCAAGATGCCTATGATACTGTCTGTAACGGATTTAAAGGAGGTGGCTTAGTTGTGGTTTCGGCACTTAACACTCGACTCCTTACTGGTCATTATTTATGGATTGTTTAAGACGCACTTGCACTTTGCTTCTGCGGTCGACAATCGCTTAAGTGCTTTACACTTTCCAAAAAAGGTCCTTCGACTCTGCGAGGAAAGTCAGGCGCCCATTGAAAAATAACTTATGGTAAGACTTCCCCATTTATTTGCCCCTATATTTAGAAAATATACGGTACGGTTTCAAAATAATAGTTTTATTTTAGAAGGTTCTTCTCTAGGCTTTTGCAATTCTGTCAAATAATCAGTCGGTGCTTAAAAGATTGGTTTGAAACAGATTTCTAAGACGCTTCTTTAAAATTAAGGTGTTTAGAAAGCGTCCAAAGAGTATAGTTCAGCTTTTATATCTGACGAATCTGATTTTGGCAGCTTTTCAGAGTTAGCCTGTCAAATAATCTAGCGGTGAGTAAAAGATTGTTTTGAACAGTCTTCTAAAATGCTTCTTTAAAATAAGGTGTTCAGAAAGGCGCTAAGTTCAGCTTTTATAGCTCTTTTATGACTGATCATTCAGATCTCGGTAGCTCTTCAGATCTAATGGTGAGTAAAAGATTGTTTTGAAACAGATTTCTAAGACGCTTCTTTAAAATTAAGTGTTCAGAAAGACACAGAGTTCAGCTTTTATGAATGACGATGAAGATTTTGCTAGCTTTTCAGAGACAGCCGGAAGACTTGCCCCGCTTTCAGTTAAGTTATTATTCCACTAATGTGTTCCCTTTCTTGGTTACTTACCTGGTGACACCCCTTGCAGTATGTCCAGCGTCTCGACGCCAACAAAGTCGCCACAGGGCGCCTGATAGTGTTGCAGATGTTGCTGATGTAAGGCGCGTCGCCCCAGGCTGTTGGTCATGCCGCCGCCCATTGTGTAGGCATCGTAGCCATAGCCGAGAGCGTTAACTGCCTGCGTGGCGGACGCACTGCCCAATCCCCCATTGCCACTGAGTAGGGCACAGCAGCGGGTGGCAGGCGAGGCAACCGACAGCGGCAGCGGTTGCTCTGCCAATGCCATCAAGCCACCGCCCGAGAGAAATGTCTCAGCCGTGCTTGTGGGCTGGCAACGTGGTGCCGTGGAGATGATTGTCAACGGCAGCTGTACGCATCCGCCTCCGGCCCCGCTCGCCACACTCCCCGGAATGTTGCCTGTTGCGCTGGACAGCTCGAGGCCCTGTTTGGATTGCAACGGTGGTGCAACGCTTCCTCCCACCACACCGCCTGTTGCTGGCAGGCATTCGCTCTCCTTCTCCTTGTCGTGGCTGGTGTAGACTGCAAAGAGAGGGTTAAGGAGCGTTGAGGGTAGACCTGGCATGAGTGTGTAGTGGTCTAGTAGCGCTACTTGACCTCATTTGCTTTCTTGTCGGGTGTGTCGGTGTATACTTACAGCTCAGTGGACTGTTGATGCTCGCCGTGCAATAGTTATCGTCCAGACTGGTCTTGCTCGTGTTGAACTTGGTCTGCTTCAGCGAGTTGTTCTGACTGCTCCCATTGCTACTGAGGAAGGGGGGTCCCCGCAGTTGGCTCTCCGCCTTAAAAATGAAACAGCAGAGTATTGCGAAACCCTGGAAACATAATTAAGCAATCACTTTTTAATATTGCCACAAAGCGAGAAGTCTTCAGCTGATGCAGGTGCTATTTGAAATGCAAAAAAGGCTTCTAAATAATAACGATAAGAATATCAGGAGACTTAAAGAAAAGTACTTAAATAATACGAGGCTTTTATCCTACATTTGAACACTTGGTATTGGGGGAACTTCAAGTCTATTTGTCTATTTAATGAAATGGTAACATCATAGTTTTGCTGAGATTATTCTCAAATTTTCCCTGCTTCTCCCCATTTTTCACACATTTTACTATTTTTCCGCATTGGGAACTTAGCTAATCGTGAAAGCAGTGCGGAATAGTCTCGGTTAAGTAAGATTAGTTTAGATGTATGTTATGCCATTTTTAAGGCTCCTCAGCTGGCTGGACCTGGACATGAAGCCATAATAGCAGAAATATTTAATTATAGTTTCCCTTTTTCAAGCCCTTGAAAATCATATATTTGCGAAACTATTGAAGGAATATTTAATGAAATGGGAACATTCTTAGATTATTCTCAACTTTTCCCTACTTCTCCCCATTGTTCACACATTTTACTATTTTCCCACATTTTTGCGGATTTTTTGCAACTTGGCTAATCTTGAAAGCCTTGGGGAATAGTCGCGGTTACGTAAGATTAGGTTAGACGGGTTAGCTAGGGACCGCTGTATTGGCACTAATTTTATCTGAGGCCACCCTTAAGGCTCCTCAGCTGGTTGGGAGGGTTTAAAGAAATCCTGCAAAACAAGTCAATAAATTTTTAAACGTTCAGTAAAAAAGGACCCAATAGGACAGAGAAATTTAATTATAGTTTCCCTTGAAAATCATATATTTGCGAAAGAATTAAATGAATTGTCTGTAGACGAATTTACAACCCGTTTGTGCAGCCCCTTTTATTTTTTTCTGGCTGAACATATCCGTACAGATATTTGTATAGTATCCGTTTATTGAACAAATACACGAAAAACTCGTATCGATACAGGCATTGGGCGTGCTCTGATTAATTAATTCAACATGGAGGTAGTGAGGCAATTTAATTCAATTAGTACTTCAACTCTCTAGCCGGCATTTTCTCTCACGAAACTCAGCCCCAAACGGCAATCGATTAACAAATTTATTGTACAAATTAAAGGAGCCATAAATCGATGCTAAAGTATTGCGACTAACTAACTACATGTTGCTTATCTTATGGAGGTAGGGAATGGATACGCTGCGATTTAACTGCGGAATTAATTACGAACATCGTGCAGGAGACAAAACAACAGACAATCCTACAATATACTTATATGTATGTAAGCCAGCAATTGTTGTAATGATATTTTATGGGCACGGCCAGCAGCTACCGAATTGATTATCTTTGCATGTTATACGGAGCTGACTTAACTGCGAGAGCATTGCAGCCTTTTGTTTAAATAATTGAACATCAGGGCAGAAAATGGCATACATGCCTACGCCCAAGCCGAAGCCCCTGCCACGCCCACTCAATATGAAATCGAAGTGAATTTGCTGCTTATTAATAGTCCGGTTCTATAGCTATGTCCTTGGTTTTATTTCTTTGCATGTTTTCCCACACTTTACACATACGACCATATATACATATGTGTGTATACATACATAGATATACAAGTATATATATATGTATGTGTATTCTACGTGTGCGTGTAATTATACGATTAGTTTCTCCAATATGGCCTGGGTGGCTAATTGTTTATTTAATGCCAATTCCGAGCGTGAGCGAAGCGTTAAATCGATTTTGATTCTTAGTTAATGGTTTTGATTTCTGCCCAGAATGGACCGCATTTGAAGACTTATGTCCTACGCTAATAAAAATCCATTAGTGTTTCAGGTGTTATTTGGAAATAGGGAACTAATGTACGAACAGGATAGAATAAGTAAGAGCATTTTTCATGCAATGTTTATATAAATACAATTAAAGACTATGTTCAGTTTGCAATATTCAAAGAAACGTCACAGAAAGAATTTGTTTTTAAATTGAATCAAAGGGATTAAGTATGTAGAAAAAAGATTATAGGTCTGCATTTAAATTCCATCGGCGTATATGGAATCGAAAAAAAATAAAGCACTTAGTGCGGAATTAATTTGTATAACTTCGTTGTTTAAGATGTCACATATATCAGACCATTGCTCAATTGCTTGATTCTTCTATACGTATAATATAGAAACTCTGTCTGAACGATATATGTAAGTCCGGAAAGGCTTTGATAGTCTTCTGTGTGATTCATACTCTGGAAGTATGGTTGATTTGGGAACCCACCAGAGTATTCACTCACTCTGAAGTGTGACACAGAGATAGTCTTTAATTACTAACGAGGTTGCAAGTAAGTTGCGTTGCAAGGCATTCGAAGCAAACATAAATGAAAAAAAGTAAATTCAATTATATTTAATTATGAAATCCGATTAATTTATTATATATTTAAATATAAAATTAACATATAAGCTAAACTTGACTGTGGATTTGTGGCCAAAACAGAAAATATTCATTAATTAAATTCTGAAATGAATACATACAAGTAAATGGACTAAAGAGGTTTCTCGTCATACTCTACGCCATTTAATTGTCTTAATGCTAAGAACCTTCTGCCCTCATTAAATATATGAAATACCACATTAATCTTGTTCTTAGTGCCCTACTGAATGTTTTTTTTTTAGCCACGCAGTTCATTTCATGTTACCAGGGCCCCAAGGACTAGCACTTGGCCCAACACTTCATCTCGTGCCTGCCAAGGGCGGCATCAGCTGAAAAGTAACAGCAACTTGGGCCGCTCTTGAGTGCCAAGATGGGAAAAATCAAGTGCGCTTATTTAATTTAGACAACAAATCGGGTGAAAAAATATACAAAAAAAAAAACACACACACACACACAAAAAAGAATTCGTATTCTTCTTTCAGTGCGTCTTAAGTGAAAAACCAAAGTCAAGTACTCCGGCAAGTGCAAAATAAACACGAAAAAGGATTTTCACCTCTTTGATCGCTGGCTGGAAGCCAGAGAAAGTGGTTGCATTGCATTGGTCGAGGCAGAGGTGGGGAGGTGATGAGGGGATGGGGAGAGGGCGGGCTGGTTACTTTGCATGCATAATTTTGTGTCGAGCGGAAAAAATATGCAGAGAGGCGACACGGTTTGACGCCTACCAGGGTAGGCATTAGGCATTAGTTTGTTGCTGTTCGCAGCACTTTGATGAAATATGCACAGCAAATGCGCGGAAAAAGCAAAAAATATTTGCATAAATCAAAGCCATTCGTAGCTAATGGGCTGCCAGAAACTGAACAACACAGTGCCTTTAACTGGAAAACTTCATTGACTCAATCAAGCTTAAAACAGCACCTTTTTAAATGAAAAAAAAAACAAGCTATTTGCGTTTAATTTAATATCGAAATCTAACTTATGGACTCACCAATAGTATGCACGATATGCCAAATGGATATGCCCATAAAGTTTCCGGCGTGGAATTAACATAAACGATGAAAAATCCATCGGTGCACAGTTTGGCGACCAACAAGCCACCAGCGCGATAAAGTAGACCGAGCCTGTGGAATATAGAGTATACGATTATAAGTATATAAATATGTAAAAGCTATGCCAAGTTGGCAAAGGAAATTAGAAGCGTTTAGTGGGCTGGCCATTCGGTTTTCCTGCTAAATTTAAGCTTAGAGGATATGAGCAGCTTAAGCTTGTTAAGTAGCTTAATATTTATCTGATTCATTGGCACAGCCAAAATGTCCCACCCTTTTAATAGGTAGTAGCTACCAATATTCGTTTTAATCATTCTAATTGCAATCAATTCTGGCATATTTAACGCACTACGTATATGTATATACATATGTATTTAACTACTACTTTAAATATGTATTTTTATAAACAAAAGCAAAATGCCTTTGCAAAAAGCCGTCTAATATCGCTTCTGTACGTAAATTGTACATTCTGTTATGTATACTCGTATATCGGAAAACGTTTCACAATAAATAAATATATAATAAATATGCTCTATATCTCTTTAAACGCTGTAAGTTTCAAGCCATCGAGTCCATTTTGAACTCAAAACAAAATGGCAAGAAATGGCAAAGAAAAAGTTATCGATAAAATTGTAATAATTTAAAAAATAATTAATAAAAGTGATGTATAGACTTTGAAATGGGGCAACATTAATTCTTAAATACAACAATTAAAAATAAACATAATAAATGACTAATAAAATAAAATAGATATTCGTATGAGGATACTTTGTCGAATTAATTAAATGCCTCTTTATTAAACTGCAACTCAAACGACTTCAACAATTTATACAGAAAAGTATACAAGTAACACGTAAATATTAGAGTTTTTTTATATCTTTTTGAATAGTAATCGCTTTAGATAATGGTCAATTTTTACTACCAAATAAACTCTGCATCGATTGTTTATCAAATACATTCTTTTTTCAGATGTTTTTGTTTCTTATGGCGAATTTCCGCTCTTCTCAAACGAGTCTAAATAAAATCTAAAAACGTATCTCAAGGATCACGTCGGCTATATAGTATAGTATACATGGACATTAACTCAGTAACAACCTATCTCTAATAATTGATATTGTAACTCACAAATCGAGTAGGCTAAGTTGCTTACTTATGCTTAATTTACTTTTCCATTCAATTATTCAATTGAAATCTTGCAAACGTATCTCTCCCAAAATATTTTCGGCTAAAATCATGGATATTCCACCCAATATCCCCATGAGCTGTATGCACAAAAGGTAAACGTTTACAACACCAACTATGCCATCTTCTATATGAGAAGTCTCATCCCATAAGTTTCGGGATGAACCTTTCGCTTTCCGTGGACAAGAGTGGCAGCGACGAGGACAGCGAGAACTACACCCGATTCCCGAAGCGCATGCGCGTCGGAGTTGTCACGAAGTGCGTGAAGGTCCTGCGTGCTCGCTATCAGGCGGACATTATGGTCGCCATGGGGTTTAAGGACTTGCTGCGCGACAGCAGATTGGATAACATCGAGGAGGACCTGAAGACGGTAAGTGGTGCAAGCTTAGAGAGCAGCTTGATGGTGTAAGATTCCATTGTGTTCTAGTGGCTCATGCGCTATGGGCTGCCAAAAAGCATTAAGGTCGACTGTGTCAAGCCGAATAAGTTCAGATATAAGCCGAAATATGATATACCGAATGCTCGTGCCTTCCTCACCTTGTTGCGGGATCACGAGCGCCGCGGTTTGGGCGGCATTTGGCTGGAGGATATCAAGGAGTCGCTGCCGCATGCCGAGAAAGTGCTCGAAAAGACTAGGGACTCGTATCATGTGGTGTATCGTAAAGTAGATAAGCGCGTGGTTATTTATTATCGCAAGAAGTCATTGGATATCGTGGTGAACCCCGGCTTACAGGACATCTGGCAGGAGATCAGTGTCGCCTATTTGACGGACAGTCAAATTGAAGCACATTTGAAGAGTCGCGGTGAGTGTTTGGAAAAAAAAAAATTATACAACTGGCTAGCGTTGTAATACATGGTGTGTTCGAATTACTAGGCATACGTCCTTTCATGGCCTGGGAGGGACCGGAGTCGTCCGAACCAAACGAGTTGGAAGAAGTTGCAGACGCAACGGATGCTGCTGTGGAAAGTTCTCAGGTGGCTGCCGGCTCAGCTGCAGATACTAATTCTACTTTTAAAGTCGCTGCAGTTGGTGGACGTCTGCCAGTTGCTGGAGGCATTGCAGCTGGGAGAGGTCGTGGAGGCCCTCCAATCGGCAGGAGACTTCCAGTTGGCAGGGGTTCAGCCGCAGGCAGAGGTCGTACAGCTGGCAGAGGTCTACCGAGTGGTAGAGGTCCACCCGCTGGCAGACGTGCTACGAATGCTCGCGGATCTCGTCCCAGAGGAAGAATTGCCAAATTAAAAATTTCCCAGCAGGCCAACGCACAAAAGATGCGCGACAATGCGCATGTTGCCCATTTGCTGAAGAACTATAACGAGTACGGGCATGAGGTACAACCGGAACCGGAACCGAAAAAAAGGGAAGAAGATCTGGCTGCGTCATACCCAGTGGCTAACGAACCAATTCATACAAATTATTATATCAGGGTTTAATGCCTAATACAATTATTTATTGAGTTCCTATTTACTGAATAAATGCCTTTTAAATACCAACTGCTTTTAAGTGGACAATAAGGTCTAGAATGGAGCATGAGTTCTATATTTGGGAGCTCAGTTTCTAGGATTTTAGTTGTGTGATGTGCATTAAAAAGTCGGTCAATAAATCTGTCAATTAGTAAGTCAATAAATATTTCCATGACTCTGCAAAGCTCAATCGTGTCGACTTATGTCTGGGTAGTAATTCAGATTTGGACAGTTTTTTTTTAATATGAAACAAGTTCTGTTGATCTTGAAATTATTTTTAAACGTCATGAGCCAATCATTACATTAAGTTCATGACGAATTTGGGACGAGCTGATGCTCTCTTTAATTGCTAAATTATCCATGAATTTACGGATTTTTCAAAAATCCAAGATCAAAATCCAATGGCGAACCTTTTGTGGAGTTCTTTCAAATAAGGTCTCTGAATGGGAGGGAACTTTCAGGATCTCAAAATAGCTATTATCCTGAAATGTGCTAAAATTTACAAAAATGTGCTTCAAAACATAATAAATTCAATAAAATCTCAATTTTATGAAATTCATACCCGGTTTTTTATTTATGAATATTAAAAATAAATAAAAAAGCTATTTTTTGTCCCAGAAACTTATTTCAGCTTCTCTTGCTTCAAAACATAATAAATTCAATAAAAATCTAAATTTTTTCAAATTCATACCCGGTTTTTTATTTAGGAATATTAAAAATAAATAAAAAAGCTATTTTTTGTCCCAGCAACTTATTTCAACTTATTTCTCTTGCAACAAAGCTGCAAGCCCTTTTTAGTCATAGCGATGCAAATTAATGGTAGTTTTGTGAGAATTCTAGCTAGCAAGAGAGAAAATGGTTATACTATAAATATAAATACCATTTACAACAAAACATATTTATGTCCCAGAGACTTATTTCGCACACTTTACTTGTAATAGTCTTTATAACCAGGTTTGATATTACCCTCAAAAGGATTAATGGTCGTATTAATCCTTTTGAGGGTAATATTGGTGATTTTTGTGCCCAGTACGGTTTGCAAATATTTAAGGTAGAGAGTGAACTTATTTTTGGTACAGGCACGAAGCAAGGCATAGGTTAGGATATAAAATTTAATTCCTGATTCCACTTGATACTAAGAATACGTATATGGGCTTAGTGTGCTTCCTGCTCTTTTAGAGTTACTAGGGAATATCAAACATCAAACCTATTTATGTAAGTTTTTTCTTTTAGCACAAATATAGCTATAAATGTATTTAAGAATGTAGTCAGCAGAGCTTTCTTTCAAAATATGATTAAAATATCAACTAATTATGTTGAATTTGATTGAGAAGTGAAGTAATTTTCTAAATTCATTTACCAGAATCAGCTTAAGGCATTGCCTGTACATTTTACATAGCAGCCGAACTGATAAAAAATAAATAAAAAATTTAAAAGAATATATAGATTTTAAGGACTGAACCAGGAAGGACAGCATTTAGGATAGCTACGAAATCGACTGAAATTCTTCTACTTTATTTCTGTAGTTTTTTTTTTTTTTACGAGTATTTTGTATTAGTCAGCAGTTTCAATTTTCGCCCCCAGGATGAAAGACGTAAATAATGTTAGGATAGAAAAGTTAATTCCTGGTTTCTCACTGAATGATGGTAGAGCCATTGTTACTGTGCTTAGCGTGTTTATAGCTCTTTGAGGGTTCTAGGAAATACCGAACATCAAACCTATTTATGTAAGTTTTTTTATTAGCACAAATATAGCTATAAATATATTTGAGAATATAGCAGAGTTGTCATTCGAAATCTAAGTAAAATACCTTTAAATTTGGTTGAGAAATTATTGAGAAATGGGATGATTTTCTAAAATCATTTAACAGAATATATAGATTTTAAGGACAAAACTAAGAAGGATAGCATTAAGGATAGCTTCAAAATCGACTGCAATTCTACTTTATTTCAGTTTTTCTATTTCTTTTTTTCGTTGTTTACGAGTATTTCGTATTTGTCAGTAGTTGCAATTTTCGCCCACAGTTGTGTGAAAAAAAAAGAAATCGACAGTTGTCATTTCCTTTTGGTGGCGACGTAATTAGAAATCCCAACTTTACACACTTTGCGCCGACATCTGGCGGCATTTTGCGGCCCTCACTTACCTCCTGCGCAGCGCCAGATTGAATTTATCCAACGGATGCGTGTGAACATTGCGATTCTTGTGCCAGAGCCACAAAAGTTTCTTCATTAAAATGGCGAACAGTGCAAAGAATAGCAAGATGAAGAGCAAATCGATGCAAACGAATAGAATGAAGCTCAGCGATGGCGACGCTGCCACCGACGCAGCGCCCATTCCAGGGCCGGATGTGAAGGCAGCCGCCGTCTGATGCGACACTTCAGCGCGACTCCAGGCGAGCCTTTGTTGTTGCTGTTGCGGCCAAGTGAGCGACGCGGCTGTGACGAAACTGCTGCTACTGCTGGTGCTACTGCTACTGCTACTGCTGGTGATGCTGCTATCGATGATTGATGAGATGGACGTTGTTGCGACAGCGTCCTCGTCTTGCCCCAACGTTGTCGCCGCGCTGCGTCGCGTTGCATTGCCGAGCAGCGTCTCCGGTTCGAGCAGTAAATTATCGCCATTGAGCAGCGTGTGCGTGGCATAATAGAGTCCTTCGTACTTGTCATCTGCTGTCTCAGCACCACCGTTGGCCCCACCCATTGTTGCACCGCTCGCATCCGTGGCCCGCTTCGTCCACATCACCTCCAGCCACCAGTGGCGCGGTCCTTTGCCAATAATGCTGCAAATTAGCGGCGCGGCAATGGCGAATAGTAGCGGCAACAGCCAGCTGATGCCTATGGCGCCTCTAATGCCGGCCATCGGCAACTGGCCGGCCAACGTGCTGGGCGGACGTCGCCGGGCAACCACCATCGGTGCACCCACCGGTGACTGCGCACTAATTTGTGTTATATTACTGAGACTTTCGCGGCGCTTCTCCTGCAGCGCTTCCGCCTTGTGGTGGGTGCCGCCCTTGGTGGGTGTGGCCGGTTTGCTGCCAATTTTCAGATACTTCTTCGGCACCAGCTCGGTGTGTATCACCAACGCAATGGCTATCAGCGTGGAGATGCCGAGCAACAGCAACGAGGCCAGCGAGCTGCTGATAATGGCGTGCCAGTTCTGTAAGTAGAGAGAGGCAAGTCGCTGCATTAATAAGACTCGAATGGAGCGCAGCATTACTTTTAATTAAATGGCTAAAATCATATAAAAGTTGTGACAATAAATGACCGAGCGATAAGTCTTCATATTTTCGCTCATTTGCTGCTACTCGTATAGTCTTGGATTCCCGCATAATGATGTCATCAAAAAATTGCCGCGTGCTGCGCGCATAAATAATTTTATTGCACGTTTCTAGGCTCAGATTTGTTACTGAACATTAGTTATTAAAAAGTTATAAAACATTTTCTCTCTGAGCCTTCGGCTTGTGTGGAGCATTAAACGCGATTTTATGCTTCGTGGAGCGAGGCTTGGACGTTGCCAGTTTGGTTTTTTATGCTCCTTTTGTTATGTGTGTGGCAAATTGGTGTGGCAAGTTAATAGGAAAATACATTTCCCCATTCCCATTCCCATTCACATCACCCACATAATTCGACAAGCACGGCAATAAATCGATAATTATAAATAAATATTATTAATTCGAAGAATTGAAGGGAAACTTAATGGCTCGACTTGCACTATTTTTGGAAAATTTAGCCATTATCTTATTAACAGAAAAAAAACTGTTATATAAATGAAATGCCTTAGAGTGTGAAAAATATATTCTGCTCAAAACATATTGAACAGTTTTGAAGTTTCGTAAGGCGAACTAGAATCCTGGTAGTAGAGAGTGTAATCATTTTAATAAATGGTATCAAAAAATTGCAATTTTTAGTGTCTAGTTCCTTAGTTACTTCAATTTGTCTCCCAATTCTGCAGTTTTTCAAACCTTTTCTTCTTCCAATCCACAAAAAGTCAGTAACATCCAACTACGGAGGCAATTAACTGGCCTTCCTTAATTATTTGAAAAAAGAAAGCCCTTTCTTTATTTGACTGCCATTATATTATGTAAAACGGCAGGAGCACATGAAATCTTTAATGCTCCCATTAAACTTTACAATGTATTTCATAAATTTAAGCATAATGTTTCATTAGGATGTGGAAGTTAGGCCAACCACAATGCATCTCCCCTCACATGCCTATGTTCCATATACGAGCATATGTCTGCTATCCAATCGAGGTCAGGCTGTGTCAGCCATTCTTTCGTGAAACCGTCTGTTATTCAGATTCTTGGTCTACGCCCTCGGGTGGGAGAGTGAAAACAAATTTGTAAACTTTTTAATTTTCAATTTGCACTTTGCACACATTTTCACGATGCTTTGGACGGGAAATTATGAGTTAAGTGCGCTTAAAAGCTTTCGCCTTTCACACGAGCTGCACTGTCAGGCGGTCGGGCAGTCGGACGGGCGTATGTCGCGTATACGTAATTTATTTTTTCTTATTTATTTACGAGTGTATATGAACTTTCAACTGCATACAATTGTTGCGAGTCGCGTTGAAATTGTATTTATTTATACGCAAATAAGTGAAATGAATGTTTTAATTTATTTTTGTGGCATTCGACGCGGTGGCGAACACCGAACGGGGGCATGAACGGCTGATGCTGCCATATGACACGTGTTTAAAACCATAAAATTTGCATGTGTCTTGGTGGCATGTTTGTGTTCGTTATGCTTTTTAATAAAGTTGCGGATATTGTGGGCGGTGCGCGTGAAATTAATACGCGAGCATGCGGCATTTTGATGTTAAAGCTTTCCCTTTTTCCACAATTTGTATGGCACTTAAGGGCGCGAGCAATGTAAGTTGCCTCTTTATGCCCTAAAGGCTTCACTCAATCATTCAGAGAAGTTCTTATTGTAATGCAATGGCAGCTGCGCCACATAATATGCATTATACAACTTTTTTGGTGGGTTACAACACAGCAATTAAGCGATAAACAATAATAATAATAAAACTGTGGGCCGATTTCACAGTAAAAGCTAGTTGAAGTGGCGAAATGTTTTATTTTTAATTGATTTCAATTCCTTTATTTTGCCAATCGACTTGCTGTCAAGAGTAGGAAAGATAAGCTATAAAACAAAAATGCCTAGAAGAGTACAATAAAATCGAATAACAAATTCGACTCGCTACAAATTATTGGTATTTCCAGGATTTTTATGTCTTCATTGTAAATTATAAGTATAATTTGGTTGATATTGGTGAAATGAATTATCATATGCTGCCTGTCTTGTGATTTATAAACTCTTGAACGAGTTATCCGATCGGGATCATACTGTGAATTACTATAGCTATGTTAGGTCAGACTGTCATTTAATTTGCATACATATTTTGCAAATTTTTACAAATGCGATACATTTAATTGTTTAATTAAAGTCTATAATAAAATAAAGTGTACTTGAATTTAATTCTCAGTCTGATTGCAAAAAAAAAACACTATTTTCTGTTAAAAGTATTTCTTGTCTAAGTATTTTAGGAAATTCAACCCATAAGTGAAGCAAAATTGTGGTCAGATGTTGGGAGTTACTTTTTCGATAGTTTCCAAAAAAAAAAAGTTATAGAAGTTCCACTAAAAAGTTGAACGGTAATATTTGAGAAAAGTCCTTTATTGCTTTACTTCATCTCAATCAACGAAATAGAATTCGTAATTATGTAATTATGAAAATGTGATTTCCATCTCATTTTTAATTTGTTAAGCCTTTTCGCAATGCTCTCCATTTGATTTGTTGTTCTTGTGGTCTTCTGTTTTATTTGGCTTTAGCTCATTCATTTATTGTGTTTTTTTGTTTGGCTGTTTGGTGATTTGGCGGCTTGGCTGCTCTGAGTACAGCTTTTGGCGCTCCCGGTTTATTACTAATTCAGAATGTTATTTCTTGTTAGAGGCTTAGAGTTTTCGCCGCTTGCTTTTAACTCCAAAGGGATTATGGCGCACAGTCTTTATATTATGTTTATGCGTATTTTTTTATGCCTGTAATTTAAGCGTTTTGCAGCTCCTGTGCAGCTCCTTGGGATTCGCTTCCACAGAGCAGCCATGGCTTATGGCTAGAGTGTGTGAGTGTCCTGTTGGTCTCCAGTTGTGGAGGGTTAGTTGTGTAACGCGATTTCATTTTGCAGTTTTACATTTTTGCATTACATTAGGTTCCCCTGCTGGCCAGCAGTGTAGCGGAAAATTCGCAATTCGTGCGTTTATAAATATTAATTTCGACTTTTGGCGATTTACTTAGCGCTCCCCTCCTCTCTCGCTCTCTGGTGGCCTTTTGTATGCATTGTTGATTTTTAATTTCCTTTTCTTGGCAGCACCGTTTATTTGTCTTGCCCCGAATGTTGGCAACAGGTAGGCAGTCCATTGGGAATTGTTGCTCATGAATTTGGTTTCATTGTTTGTTTGTTTTAAAGTTTCACCCTCCACTTCAAGGCACTCCAATCCACTACCCACTACCCACTCCCCATTCAGAAATAACCACATTTGCTTGCTTGGCATTGAGGGACAACAGAAGCGAAGACGACAAGACAAGTTAATTTGTTTGCTCCTCCATTGATAACCAAGACGACCCTGTTGATGGCAAAGCTGATGGGTTGGGGTTGGGGTTGGTGGAGGTGGGGGCAGAAGAAGCAGAGATTTTTGATACCTTTGCTGATTGTTTGTAAAGTTAGATTAAAACATTTATTGCTGCGTGCCACAGATAATAATATTCATGCCTGAGTGTTTCAGTAAATTAGGAATTATTATATGCTCTCATTTGGGTTCATTCTTCGGACAAATAAAATGCTGTAATTGTTATTTAAGAGGTGTGGTCACGTGGAAAACGATAATGGGTCTCGTCAGCCGGCAGGTTAATGAGAAAACAGTAACAATTGCGCAGTTCTGAGCTCATCGCATGGCTTACTAGGCTCTCAACAAGAATTGATGTAGACGGCTATGCAGAGGAAGGGGCAGGACTGTGGAAAACCTTTTGGCAAACTTTTTGTGCCTCCCAAACCCCTCCCTAGAATGAGTTCCTTTCTACCCATTGGTCGCCTTAAGAGTGCAATGCTTTCCTCGTTGGCACAATTTTTGGTTACTTTTCTCGCTGCTTCACCCTTAATTGGTTTTATTTCAGCTTTGATTATTTGTTTGTTTATTTAAATGTAATTACAATTTGCAAGGACAGCATGAGAGAAATAAAAAGGAATACAACCTTTAAAGCAGGCCACATCTTTAATAGTTATTCAAATGAGAGTTGCTTAATTTTTTGATATTTTAGAAATCAATTTAAAATTTCGTTTACACAAAACAATCATACATATACGTAGTACACGTATAAGCCGTTCTTTTTCGGCTAATAGTATTGAATGGGAATTCGTTCACTTACCACTGGCAGCATTTTCATGAATCCGAGCACATAGATTAGCATGACGCTCGATGTGGAAATGCAGAATTGCATTTTGAGGAAGGTCACGGCACACTTGCGATTACACCAGATTGGCAGGAGGATGAGGAAGGCTGAGCAGCATTGGAGGAGGCAGCAGGCGCAGCTCACGATGACGAAGATGGGACGTTGGGGGGCGTGCGGTTGGGTCGACTGCAAAGAGAGGTCGTAAATTGCGAATAAGAAGCTTAAAGCCTGGGAAAACGAAAATGAAACTCAAGCAGCAAAACAAACAACAACAACAACAAGAACAGAAAACAAAAATACTGCCTAGGGCCACTCGAAGAACAAAGCCTGGCCGGTTCGAATGCATAAAACAAGTTCATTGTGCCAGGGCCAGGCCATAATTGTGAGCAAAATAAGCGGAAATGCGGCCGTTGGTCCGTTGGTCCGTTAGTGCGTTCGACCATTCGTCCATTTGCCGAGATGGCCGACAAGTCCGCATTAATTTGGCCTCTTTCGAAAACTTGGACGCAGGTGTGTTTCGTTTGGTTTCGAAACCAGTTTCAAGGACATTCACGAGTGCAGGCGGCACAAAGGGGCCACAACTGGGTGTCCAAAACTGATTGCCAGCACAAAAGTGCCATAAATCAAAAAGCGCTTTCCACTTTACTAAACGTGAATTGCATAAACGAACGGAGTGCTGCACAAAATTAGTGAAAGTAAGTGGCCCCTTAAATCGAGGCAAGCGGCTTTTGACCCTCTCTTCAAGCCGACTTTTCACACTCACATTCTGTTGCCGTTTGGTCAACATAACCACATAGGTACCGGAGAGCGGACAGATGCAGCGCGTGATGTTCTCCATCAGATGCTTGGTGATGCACAGATCCGAGCGCCAAGTCGAGTCGAACGAGGCCTTGTAGTCGTGACTGCAATTGAAGTTAGTTTAGCATCAGATTTAGAATAAGCTTTTAAATACACGTGTTCTACTCACCCACACACCGCCACCCAGTCACCAGTCTTGGGCACGCTCTCGTGCTGAAATATGATCTCCACATGGCCGGCCTCAAAGGGCAGATCGAGTGGCTCCCGGAAGTTGTCGTTCGAGCGATTCGACTGAAAGAGCCAGGTTTGTATAATGCGGGAAGCGAGCACATAGTCCGAGTCCTTGGGATCGCTGTGAAAAGCCATATCAATGTTATTACTATTTCTATTTGATTTTCGCAAGTTCGCTTATTTAAATTGCTTCTATTGCCTATGAACTTAGATAGTTCTAAGTAGGATTTGTGGTATTTTATGTTTTCACAATAAACCGACAACATACATCTCCTTTAGTGCCTCCTAATCTTATTGCAAGCTTCGTCTAATTAACTCAAATAAGCATTGCATATTATTATTATCTAAGACAGTGCGAACGGATGCCTATACATATAATAAATATATATGTATACGAGTATATATGCATATATCAACTATTCAAATCAACATTTGCCTGCAACTATGACTGCCTCCATTCTGGCATCTGCATACAACCATTTCGCAGCTTGTTTTGGCCATGTTGTTGGCAAGCACAGAACTTCGCATTTGCATTTTGTTTACAGTTGGAAAATCGCATCACATGGATCAACATACTACGGAATTTCATTATCGTAGGCTTACACATAGTTAAAGATTTAAAGGATTTTGTTGGAGTAGCTGCACAACTTTCTTTGCCTCAAAAGGGCTGAAATTTTTAAATGTTAAAAGAACTGATTTTCGTTTAAATTAAAGAAAAAGTTGTACAACATTTGTTTTCAATAATTAGTAGTTTATAATTGTGAAGGGCATGAAGAGATGTCCTCCTTTAAGTGACAAATAAATGCTTGCAATAAAAAGACTTTTTTTAAACTCATTGAATTGTTTCGTTTTATGTCACTAATATCTATTCATAATTACAAAATATCTATTTTTTTAGAATTATAATTAAATGTGAGTAATGGGTTAATTATGAAAAATAAAGACGAGTTGTTTTCCTGCGATAGATATAACTAAACTGTTATTCATAATCGCGCCAATAGTGCTTTAAACTATATAGATTCAAAGTCTATTCGTCTTTCTTCAAAGACCGGCGTTCATTAATTAAACGAGAGAGAGAGTGAAAGTCATCAAGAACACCCCATTATTATACGAGTATAGTTTTCCATGCAGCTGCACATTTTCCGCGTTGACAGCTTTTTGCACGCCAAGCCAGCCTTTATGGCACCTCCCCCACAACATTGAATGCGCCTGCAACGTATTCTAAGTAAGCAGAAGATGCTTTCTAATGACTACTTAAGAAATTTTACACCTCACAACCCCAACAGCCAGGGCGACTTTAGATTTTACGAGTTGGCTCATAAGTTTGTTTTTTATGCTGCCAATCAGCGTTTTTTGCAAACTTAGCTTAGCTTAGAGTTCAGTTTTGTGGCTGCTCACCTGCCACGTGTGTAATAAGTTTTGGGTAGGAAACTTTTTAGATTCTTATACGAGATCACAGAAGCAAATATTGTCGAATTGGCCATGATATGCAAGAGACGCGTGGAGAGACCAATGTCCATATAAAGTTGATCCGAAAATAAATCGTCGCTGCAAAGAAGAATTGAATAAACTTTTAAATCCTACTTAAATGGTGCGCAAAACTAGTCGCATCGCCTGAAAGTTCGTTTGTGCGACTCACTTAATTAGTTAAATTAGACACTTGAAGCAAGAGGCAGTCTTAGTGGCTGCCTTGCTTCGACTTCTTCACTGGCTCTGCGTTGCCTCTACTCAGGTAAATAACACGGCAAAGTTTTTGCCACTCAATTCACATTGTTTGCCAGCACAGTGGCAATGCAGTAATGTGAACTGATTTAATAATGGTTGCATAACATATTGTGTATAGTACATATAAGAATGTATGTTAGGAGAGGTATTTCTTTTTTTAAAATTCATTTATTGGAAATATAAAAGCATGTATATCGGAATATATGCAATGTAGTTTTATTTTCGATTTCTCGACTTGTTTTGCTTAATCCCTATACCTTTCGACAACTTTAAATTGAATCAAAAAATAGCAAACGATTACATATAGTTTAAAAGAACCAACATATTGCCAACAATGCAATGCAACTCGCTCTGACATTTTAAACAAACACAAACGCATACGCACTTTTCGCTACAAAGAAAACTAAATGACTCCAATGGGATATTAACTTTATAATTAGCTTTCCATTCACATATCAACTGTTCAATTTAGTGCGTTTTTACTGTGCGTGGAATCTGTGCTGCATTAAATTTTTATGGCCACATGCTTTTTATGCAATTTTTATTTATGTTTGCTCATAAAATAAATTTTCCATTAAGAATGGCGCACATTTAAGAAAAAAAAGGAGAAGAAAATGGAAAGTGTAGCCGTAAAGTGAAGTTTACAGTTTTGCTGGGCAACAAAATTTGCATAGTCATTGCCATATATTTTTCTTTGTATTGTTGCAAAGAAATTATTCACTGCAAGTGCAAAAGTTGTCAAGACGGCCGTGGGCCGTGAGCCGTGCGCCATGGCTCGTGCAGTCAGCGTCGGTCCTTCGTCTGTGCTCCCCGACCCATAACCCCTCACCACTCACCCGTATATGCGCAAATTAAACGGCAAAGTTTTCACCGAAGTCATGTAAATGCGCAGAGAATTCAGGCGATCCAGCGACAATGTGTCCTCATCCACTGTCAAAATACTCGAGCCGTCACCACCAGCACCAGCACCACCGCCGCCACCGCCACCTCCGCGAGCTGCCTGTAATTTGACCGCGGGACTGTGGCCATGAACGCTGCCCGTGCCAGATCCTCCAACTACAGCGCCACTGGCACTGCCTCCTGCTCCGCCATGGATATTGTCATTGACATTGCCATTGCCCGGTGCGTTCAAAGTTGTCGCCGAGTTGTCAGCCGAAGTTGCCGGGCTATTGCCCGTCGATGTGGCCAATTGGGAGGCCGCAATTGTCTCGCGATTCAGAGCAGCGGATTGCGTTAAAAGTTGCAGCTTTTTAATTTGCTGGAAGAGCACAAAGCATTGAATTTAATTAATTGACTCGAGTTGAATGTTTATAATGCAATTTTAAACAAATTGAAGATAGTTTTTTGTTGGCCGCGCTAGGTTGTTTTTTTTGTACAGCGAAAAAAAATTCACAGTCCGCAGCAAAAACATTAAAGATTTTCCTTTTCAAATTTAAATTCGAATTGTGTTCATGCTACTTCACATACTTATTATAAAATGCACATAACAGTCGCTCTCGGATCATTTATGCGGTAATGCATTAATCTAACGTAAATCAAGCTGCCATTAGCAGATATTTTAAATTTAATTCAACTCCATTAGACAAAGCCTCTTTTTGTGTTGCTTAAATTCAGGTTAGGCTATTATGTTTTCAATATACTGGAGTTTTGGCATTGATTAATACATTTTATAATATTTTTTATGTATACTATGAGAAAATTTTGTATTTCAGTTAAATATATAACTACTTAGCTTACCTGCCACATAATAATAAGAAAAAAATGTTAAACAGTTGTCTGCTTCATTTTAAGTTTTTTTTAAAACGAATTTTTTAATATTCCAAAGCCGGCCATATTTTCAGGCTATCATCACTGTCCCTTTTTTAAAATAAAGTGCGCGCATTAAACGAAAACAACGTTTGTTGACACTAAAAATTTATGTTGCCTACTTTTGCGGGCGAATTAAAAAAATTAGCTTTGCTATTGGAGGAAATTGTGCTTGGTCAGTGATTTCTGGCAAATTTGTTGGCTTTTGGTAAACAAACACACCAAATCCACACCCAAACCCACACCCACATTCAAGTTATAGCTCTGCTATTTGCTCGGTTGCTTGGCTACCTTTATTTTATTTTTCATTTCGCTGCCGTAATCAATTATTCTTATTTGCGCAATGAATCGCATTTGTTACATTACTTATTTTAAACGATTTCGGCCACTGGCCGTTTAAAGTCTTTAAGTGAAAATGCAGAAATCGTTGCCAAAAATGGCATTTCATTGTCTGCGTCCATATTGCTTTGCCATGTTGGGAAAGGGCATGTGAAGATGTGGATGGATAAAAATCAATTTTGGGCAACAAATGTGCCCTTACTCGTATACGGATTTCATACAATGTACTTGCATACAATATTTCTGTTATAAAACAGTCAGTGAACCCACATAAAAATCATAAATTGTTGCATTCGAGTGCAGTTGTGGACCATAAACGAGGCCATAAGCAGAAATGGCCAGCAGGCTGGGACAGGCCGCCAGTCAACAAACCATTTCGCAATTCACAATCACATTCACAATTTCGGTATTCGAGGAGTGTGGGTCGCATTATATTGATGACTTTTTGGCTGGAAGTGCTGCGCAATTTCCTGCGCAAATCAAAAATTACATTTGCTCAGCACAAAACCATTTTCATATGTACGAGTATATATGTTAATATGTGTGTACATATGTATTAAGTGTGTGTGTGTGTGTGTGTGTGTGTATATAGCGAGCTAATCGAAAACGAAAACAATTTCAATTGGAAAAGTTCTTTTTTTGAAGGCCCAACTTTGCTCAAAACAAAAAGGAAATTTCAACGTCATTTCCATGGCGTTATACATGCCACGCCTCCATCGCCACCTTCCACTCCGAGCCCAACTCCGCCATGCAAATTGTGGCATTTGTATGATTTCTTTTAAAGCCGTGCCAGAAAAGTGAAAAACAAAAATATAAAATGAGCGTCGTGCAAAGTTTCAATGTGAACATTCCGCTTGACTTCCGACCTGGCCACGTTTAGCAGTTTACCGGCAAATCATTTGGGCGTGCCGCTGGCAGTCACATACATGCCCGTGTGTGTGTATGTGTGTGTATGCTCTGAACTTTTTTGCCGAGTCTAAAGTTTTGCAACTACTTCGGTTCTGGTTCTTTTATTTTTTTTTGTTTTTCTGTTGCTTCTAAACTCTGCAGAGCAACCGATGTCCTCTCTTTTATTTTATTTTTTCTGCATTCAGCTAAGTGATTTGTCGTGAACTTTGAAAATCAGATTTCTGAATAGGCGGCCAACGTATAAGTCGGCCAGTAAAATGTAAACTTTTATTATGGCAGTAAATTAAAGTAGGTCAGTTAAGCTTGTTGGCATTTGTAATTTGGCCACAAGTCCTTTATGCCTGCGGCAGCTCGATATGCGGGCCAAGTGCTAAACTACTACTATAATTATAAGTGAATTGCATATTTTAATCAACTTTTCAATTCACTGTTTCATTTTCAAATGCCACTCAAAACTTCACCATCAGCGCTGGCTGCTGTTCTGCATTTCAGGCATGAAAAAAGACTAATTTAATTCGTAATTGGACCCAAATGTGAAAGTAATCATATAACATAACGCGGCTGGCATTAATTCAGTGCGTCAAATGCGATTCTAATTAATTTTCTATAAATTTCCAATTTATCTCATCAAAAGCGCATACTCTCAATATTTGAAATATATTGAATGTATGTGCGATTATTGAGTATTTCGGGGATTGTGTTTACAATCACACACATTGCATTACACATAAATGATCAATAATAATAATTGCAAATGTTTTGGTCTCTCTATTAATTCACTTGTGTGTGAAAAGTTCCTTTAGCAACCATTTCGACAAATTGTTCACCTGAGTTTTGCAATGAAAATATGAAATTTTTAATGGAAATTTCTCGTAAAGTTATAGAGGTTCAGTTGAAAAACGAATTTGTTTATATACGGTTGAGAATGCATATAAATAAATTGAATATTCTATGATAATAGATAATTATTGGTATTTATATGTTTAAAAGCATTAATTAAAACTTAAGGGCGATTGGCTCAGAAAAAGAGACATAAGTTATACATAAGCGTTAAAAACTATGCTGGGTCCTTTTTTTTACTATGGGAGCTATAATACTATATATGGTTAGAATAAGCTAATTAATTAGCATTGATAAGCTAAGGTGTGTAATTTTTAAACATTAAAACGAAAGGTTTGTCCTAAAAGGAGAGCATTTTCCAAAACTCAGGTACCACGATATTTGCTTTCACCAGACAGACCACTTAAGTATAAACTCCTCCAACTTCTCCATTAATAACTTCCCCAACTTCTCCATTTATAAAAGAGTAAACAAAAGAATTTGCAAGCTGACATCTTAACTGAGTGTGAATAACAATGCTATAAATATATAAATACTGATAGTAAATAAATCAATAAATAAACTAGCGCGTAAATAATAACAATAATTGGTAAATAAAATGGTTTCTTCTACGCGGCTTTGGAGCCTTCCTTAAAAAAGTTTATTAAATATAATTGTTTAATTTAAACAACATTTAAATTCTACAGCACCATAATGACTAATTAAATGCCCATTTGATAGGCAAAGAAGAATAGAGTTTTGGTTGATTTCATTACAAACTTGCCATTAATTAAATTTTTTATAGTTTATCAACAATTCATATACTCGTATTTGCTAAAGCATTCGCCAGAACTTTGCCGTCGCTCACTAATTAAATTATGCCTCGAACAATGTAAAATTTTTACCACCCACACCACCTTCCAGTGCTGGTCGCCTCAAAGATTGCCTTTGCACTCAAGTCAATAAAAACGATGCCAACTATTTGGCAACTCAACAAAGTTAAGTTCCGTTCCATTCCGCCGCTTTTAATCGACCCGAATTATGCAGCCAAGTTTTTCGGCTTTTTTCCACACTGCGTCGACTCGGAAAAATTAAACAAAATTTTGAATGCAAACTTTCCAAGACGTGAATATTGAAATGCCACAACTCCAAAAAAGTTGAGTGAAGGAAAAAGCTGGGCTCGATGGGAAACTAAATTAATTTATACATACTTATGTAAAAGTTGCACGAGCGTTGCCTTTCAAGTCAGCTACGAGTTTGCGGGCCCTGAGCATAAATGCATACTCGTATTAAAACGCTGGGCTGGCCAAATGGATTATGCAAGTGGCTTTATGAAATTATGAAAAATTAGCAAACGGCTGGGCATGGATAGTTAGTTGAGCAGCTGTTGACATTGAATGTAGAGCCGAAGCCATAGCCATAGCCAGAGCCAGAGCCTGCAGTCGACACTCACATAAATTTGCATACCAAACACATATTTGAAGAGCCACCCACGCGCACTTGGCTCTGATTCTCATGATGTACTTAACAACAGCAGCAACAGCAGGAACACCAGCAACAGTAAGAGCAGTAACAACAGCAACAACAGCAACAAGCGTCTACAAATGGGCATGAAAATGCTTAAGGAATAAAACATGAGGCACAGTGGCCCACTCAGCATCTCAAGTTAAAGCCCACAATACAGTAACAACAACAGCAGCCATTATGGCGTTTGGGGGCAACAGCGGAAGTGAAAGTACGCCTTCATGAAGTGTTGTATTGGGGGTGGGGGTGTGAGAAACGGAAACGCACTTTTCGCCATATACATACGTAGTACCAGTGACGCATTCGCGACTTTTCCTCCTCGCTGGTGTGGGTTATTGTTTTTGCGGTGCCTTGTAAGTGAGTGTGAGTTTCACAAAAGATGTGCACACGTGTGCTGAGCTCTGAATTACTTGGCCAGATTGTTGCTTATTAGCGGCCCATATCTGTCAATTGTGAGTATTGTTTGCAGGTTTTGTTAGAGTGATAAATGGGCATTCAATTATAATTTTACAGAGCGAGGTTTGGTTACGATACCGGGAAAAAGGGCAAACGTTTAGTACTGATCCGATTATTGTGAAGATAGCTCAATAAAATAATGTGGCTATATGTGTACATTTTACAATAAACTGCCTCTGTATAAATAAAAGACTAGTCCACACACGCTGTTTGGTTCCTGTGGGTCTTATGGTTTAAAAAACGGACTGGTCTAGCTCGATTCGTCTTGTCCTACTTATGATATACAAGTATGTAGCTATGTATGTTGATGGAAAACACAGTTTAGGAGCCATTGTCTTAACATAAGACACGATACTGACTTTAATTAATTTTGATTCGCAGCAGAAGCAAAGCTGTTTTCACATTTTGTTATTTCATTTACAATTGCTGGCTTTTAAATTAATTTGTTGGTGGGCATGTCTTTACTATAAAATTGAAATTTCGACTATAAGAGTATACTATTCGAATATACAAATTGTGTTTCGTTTCTACTGATTCGTAATTTCTACTGATTCCTCGGTTGCAGTGACGTCACAACCTCATGACAGAACGCATGATTGAACAAATTCCAAGATTACCTTCAAATTTAATAATCGCTCTACCTACAACAGATCTTAAATAAAGATTATAGAGAGAAAAGAATTTCTACTGATTTGGATGGCAACGAAATAGAATCCGTTTTGCAATTATTTTAACACATATTCACGAAATGGTCGGAAAATTGTTTCTTGAAGGCCGAGTTCATTTGTATTCTATCATCTGAACATTTCTATATATCCAAAGTTATGTAGTATAAATATTGTAGATACAAATTATAGTTGCTAGACTAAAAATTAGAATAGAATGTGGGAGATAGAGAATTCTATTCCCCAGCTTTTGAGTTTTACTGCGGGACCTTTTATTTTGTTGTTAGTCTAAATTTTTTGATAATTATTTTATGTTGAAAATTCAATTTGGCACAATTTGACAGAAGCAATAACTTTTTGACTATAAGTGTAATAGATCAATATATTTATATATTTATTATATACTCTATTATATAAATTGTTAAATTATTATTTGAACACTGTTTTTAACAAGTTTTTAAGTAACTAATAAAAAATATGTAACCCCGCAAAGAGATTCAACATTTGATAATAAATAAATAATAATTAAATTATTTTGATTTCAATAGCAAATCAACAAATTATTATTAAACGTAAAATAAACAGGTCTTCAAAATGAAATTCAGACTACTATGGTGCGCTTTTGTTCTTTGATTTGCGATCTTTGCAACCCTTCGCCCAATCTTCCATTCATACTTTTCTTACATTTCCTATACACGTGTAATACATTCATTCCAATCAAGCGGCAACCAACCAACCATACCAACCTTCTTCTACTTGTATGTAGCCAATTCCTCTCTCAAAAAAGGACACATTTTTTCTTTGCCAGAGCCCATCAAGCGTAAAAGCCTCAAATATACTTACATGCGAGCATTGTAAGAGGTATTCATTACCAGGCCCATGAACATCAATTCTGTGGTTGGCTTGGAAATACTCTCGCTCACACGCACACACACACAATACATGCATGCATACATGGATATACTCGTAGCTCATGAGGAGACAAATGTAAATTACATCCCAATGACAGCCCAACTACAACCTAAATAAAAGTATAGTTGTGAAAAATATGCCAGCACCACTCGACGCCACTTCAGGACACACTCCCTTTCCCATCCGCCCTCCCCTCCCACTCCCCCTTCACTCAGCCTCTAGCCTTGCATGCCAGTGTGTGTGTGTGTGTGTGTAATAAATCTTGAAAAGCGGCAAGCAGCCTGCTTAGTTGGTTGCTTGCCTGCCTGCCTGCTTGGCAAATATTGAATATGGCTGCAGGTTATAAATTATGGCACCCATTGGGCCGACCGCCACCTCCTCTCTTCAACTCCCTCTTTAGCATTTCTATGCATAATTTATGCGGCAGCTGTGAGAGTGCAGCCCGAAAGTGGCCAGAATCTGTTGTAGCGTAAAGGATTCTGCTGCTTACTTACCTGTTGACTGTTCAAGGATTGTGTGTTTTGCATGACTTTATCCAGAATTCGCAGGATTATCTCCGCGGCCATCTCACGCTCCAGTTGTGTGCCTTTCAATTGCAAATAGGTGTCGAGCTGCAAAAATAGGCAAAGAAACGAGCCAAATCAGACAAGTGGCAAGCAAGGAAGCCCACAAGTTCTCCTCCTCCTCCTCCCCCTCCTCCTCCTCTCCAAGTGCACCCCAAAAAATGTTGGGCAAAATGTAAGAACCTGATTTTAACTGAGACTTGCCGTGCCATTCGTTAGGCGGCAAAATTTGTGTGCGCATTAAAATGAAAAATTGTTGCTTTGCCAGGAAAAAGTTTCTTTGAATGTAGTTTTCCACCGAAAATTGTGTGAAAAATGAGAGCAGCGAACAACCGAAGGCTGCTTTTGCATTCATTTGCGTGTAAAAATAGTTTTGGGAAATGCTTTCAGGTGGCATTACTTGCTCCGAGTCTTCAATTCGAGCGTTAAGCCGCCAGTTAGTGTTGCTCTTTGACTCTCTAGCTGATATGATGTCTGCTGCCTAAGCATGTAAAGGTTTGAGGATTTTATGTGCAGAACATTTTGAGTACATGGGAAGGGGTACAAGTATGTTGCCGATTGAAAGCAGCTTAAAATCCTCTAATGGTAAACATTCTTGAGATGTTTACATGGGTTAACTTCTTTGGTATGTTGCTGTTGCATAATAACAATCGGTTTTTTGGGAAGTTCGTTACTTTTAAAGTTTCATTTTAAATGCTGCATGCCTGCCTGCTCAACCTTCAATAAATTCCTTACCTGCTCTCAACTGAACTGTCTCTTCCTTTAATAAAAGGCTCTCTTTTCAGAGAGACGGGGCATAGCTTGCTGGACTGGCCAATAAGTCTTCCCACACCGTGTCTGAGATTCCATTTAATTTGTTTTTGTTTTTAATTTAACTTAATTTAACTATTTTAAGCTTCATCTGTTTTTTTTCTTTTTATATTGGTGAATCTATTTACGCCTCTAACGCCACTTGGCTGTGAGTCGGGGCATAGCTAGCCAAAGGCAAATAATATTCCCCCACCGGGTTGGAGGGGTTTTACTAGGTATTATTGTTATTTTATTAGATTTCTACCTCTTAGGCTTTCCCAGCTTATGCTGTTTTTTATCTTTTTTATATACTTTTTTATATAATTTGTTATGTAATTTTTTATATAATTTTTTGTATAATTTTTTATATAATTTGTTATACATTTTTTTTATATAATTTGTTATATAATCTCTTTTTATATAATTTTCTACATTATTTTTAATATCATGTTTTATATAATTTTTTTATAATTTTTTATATCATTTTTTATATAATCTTTTTCTATACTAATATTATAAAGAGGAAAGATTTTATTGTTTGCTGGTTTTTATATAATTTTTTATATATATACAGTTGGAAATATTTCGTTCGTACTGCCGAACTATTTTGTAAACCTGCTGATTTAACAAAGGCTTGATATAAATGCTACTGCCCTTCACCTTTTAAACGAATAGGGTGCTTCTGTAAGTGAATTTCTTTTGGATTTATCGGAAAAGTGCCATCGCAGTGAAAAGTTCGCTGATAAGATTAATGTAAATAGCAAACCATAGCTGATATTTAATAAAATAAATTTACATTGCCCATCTACCTGCGATCTAAAACGTTGTTCCTCAAATATAACCACCTCTCTCATAAAATCTAAGATGGGTAAGAGTATTCTACAGTCCACTCACCTCATGCAGCATATCGATGAGAAAGCTGGCCTCCCCGGGCAAGAAACTCTGACGTCTTTGTAGGGTGTAATCAAAGCACGCCTTCAATATGTTTGATGAGTTTGTTTGCTGAAATCCCGCACTCAGCGCCCTATATCGGTTGTAAATGAGCAGCAATTCATCACGTACGCAGGCCGAAAAATCGGGCAGCAGCCAGCTGGAGTTTCCCGCGTCGCGTTGCTCGCAAATGCGTCGTGAGTGCCCCTCGAAGCCGCGCGGACAGTCCGTAATAATGGGGGCGCCTGGAGCACTTGTGGGCCAGTGTACGCCGTAGCTGGACTCGGCCAGGCACACATGGGCCGCATTACGTTCGATGACATTGATGTAAACACTCCTTGACACGGGTCGGACGCTGTTCGACACCAGACAGGCATATTCCGCTGACTTTTGAATGTTATTGATTTTGAGGATGCTGCCATCTGGATAGAGATCCTCCCACATGGCCGTTGCTGGATCTGATTGGAACAGCACGCCGTTCCGTGTCCAGCTGTAGCCGAGCTGGGCATACCGCTTGATGTCATCATTGCCTGGCGAGAGGCAACGCACTCGCAGCGAATCGCCACGCTGCAGCGTCACACTGGCAGGATCCACTCGCAAGCGCGGTGGCGACTTGATGTGTATATGGAGGGAGCGACACTGCTCCACGCCCCAGTCGGTGACCTGAAAACGCAAGTACGAGTAGATTCGTTATTTATCATTCCATGTAAGACATCAATTGAGTGGCAAAGTCAGCAGAACTTCATCTAAATGCATATACTCGCACTCGTATGTATAGTATAGGCTCGTTATCTATCTACCAATGCCAAGAGTGTCTAAAGCCAAATACATAACTGTCATCAGGAACATAATGTCATTATTTTCATTACTCATATGTATATCTACACTTGTAACTGCATACATGGAACTGCCACCCACTACCCACTAGCCTGTCAGCCAGGCATAAGGCATAAGGCACAAGGACAATGCTGATGGCCTCTGTGCAGCATGAACATCATCAGCTTTTGTAAACATCGTCGATGACAGGCGACAGACAGTACTTGACAAGAGCTCAACTGATGTGCCAGGCTGGCAGGCAGGCAGGCAGTTGCATCAAATGGGCCGGTGACATTGCTGATGTCGTTTTTATGCAATGGGCTTTGGGTTAAGAATTGCAAACAGTTGTTTGAGTGCACATGCCCATATGGATAAACAGCAGTGATCAAAACAGGAGGAATGTGCGTAGAGCCTTCTCAAATGACAGAAAATGCTTGGATAAGGATGCGCTAAGTTTGGTTAGTTTTAAGAAGGATAGGTTGGTTTGGGTTAAGAAAGACAAGGTTAGGTAAACTAAGTATGGCTTAGAAACGACTATTAGGTAGGGTAGGGTTAAATAAGATTGGGTTATGTTTTATTATGTAAGGTAAGTAAGTTTGGTAAAGTGAGCTGATGCCTGCAATTTATTACCTTAGCCAGATTCAAAACCTTTTATTAATTCTTCCATATACGAAAAAAACTAGTATAGTTTCATTTGTCAAAATCAGGGACTGTAATCATTATAAGTGTTATTATAAAAATTTCAAAGTAGTAATTGTTTTTTAATTTAATTCATTCGCTCACAATATAAAAATGAATTATGAGTTCTATTTTAGAACTTAACTAATAATCATTATTAATTACCAAAATAAATAAAACTAACAAAATAATAATTAATTTTTAAGTTTGATTATTTTGCTCAGAAAAAAAAATCAAGTCAGGGCCTTTTTCATAGTGAATAAGGGCAAAATTAATATATATCTTTAAACAATAAGCCGAAAAACATCCTTAAAATAATTATTCTAGGGAAAATTACAGCTTGAGTTTAATTTAAAATATGGTGATAGATAATCCCAAAAAACGATATTGGTAAATTCCTTGCTTTATCAATGTTACTATAAGTGAATGATTTTTTCGTTAAAATAAAAAAAACAAAATAATATTTGCGGTTCCTGATCAAACCTGAAAGGTCTATTAGCAGAGCCTTGAGCTAGACTATTTTAAAAACGGCTCCATGAAGTTATATTTTAATTCATTTGGTAATAAAGTGACCCTTGGTAAAGAGTTTCTGGTGTTCATTTTATTAAACGACTCTCATCTTACTTAACACCTCAGAGCTTGTCTGTATTATTTTCCTATTTCTTTCCAGTCTTGCCCAGGTATTTCTTTTCATGCTTATCCAAAATTCATCCCCCTTAGTGGTGTGTTATACGAGAGAATAGTTCTCTGTACTTACAACTATAAATCTATTTAAGATTCATATTTTATGAATTCGCGGTTAATTATTTGACTGCCTGTTCATTGCATTGACTTCAGCTCTAAACGACATCTTTGTTAGACAATTGTTTAGCCACAAATTGGCTTACCAAGGTTATTGACCTTGGATTTAAAGTTGAGGAACTAAAGTTGAGTTTGAAGAATATTGCGGGTGGAAAAGTTGAAGTACATGCTCTGAAGGTGCTCTGGAAACCAGATCCATTTCAATGTGAGCGTGCAAGCAACACGAACCAATGCCTGCAACCAAACGAATTGCAAACTTTCTGTTGTGCAGGCCCGTGGGAATGCCAGGAGACTCGTGGCATAAACAGTCATAGTCATGACGACGATGATGAGGTTGATGGGCATGATGGCGGCACCACACGGCCGCGCCCAGACACTCAACGAATTTCCGTCTCAAATTTAAAAGAGCAGAAAGTCGTTGTTGTTGCTGCTGTTTGGTGTTGTTGTTGTTGTTGTTTTCATCGCATTTCTTGCTTGTTAGTCTGTCTGGAGCGGCGTCGACGGCGCACACCTCGTTCGAGTCGGCGGGAAGCACAGGCAAAAGCAATGGCGACAAGCGACAGGCGACAGACGACAGACGACAGTATGTGAAGGAGTTGGCTGCACTTGTCTCGTGTCATGTTTGTCTGCCCGTTGGCATTCTGTTGCAACTGAACCGGAAATACTTTGGAGCAAGTGTGCTAGGGATTCCTATCACCAACCAACCCATCCCCTCTTTCAGCGTGTTTGAATTGGGTTTGGCTTACAATTTGTGCGGAAAATCGAAGTGATTTGAAATTCTGGAGACTACACACACAACGCTTGTGGCCCATAGTCTTCATTGCCATTTTTATTATTACAAGTATGCCTCCAGTCCAGAGAATTTTTATGGCATTTCGGTTTTAAATTCGTACGAGTAGGCTAGGCTATACTTGTAGTTTGGCTTTTACGACTCGTCGCTACAGTCGTAGTCATCAGTAAATCAGTGCAAATGCTTTCGACCGCAAAACAAAAGCGCAATTAACTCATTTAGCTTCTGAGCCAGCCAGCTCCTTGCCATGCCGCATACTCACAGTAAAAACGACAAGAATTTTTATGTGGCAATGGCATTTTATTGCTTTCGATGGGTATACGGGTGTACGGGATTCGGTGCCTGTCGGCATCATCGCCTGTGTCGCGTCTCATTAACAGTCGAAGTCGTTAAACAACAACAATGCTATATTGTGCGACTAATGCCATTTCTGCCTTCCACTCTCCCGCCGCGCTGTCTCTATCGCCCGCCCATTAATAGTCAATAAACATTGGTCTAGCGGTACCAAAGTGCGTAACTTCTGCCGCGAAACTTGCAGTTAATTATGCTGTGGAGGCTAAGCCACCCTAGGGTTATCAAAATTAAAGCCGAATTGATAGCCCCGGACTTTGCAGCTCACATTATTTAAGGAGAGTGGTTGCAAAGAATTGTTAATTTTTTTTAGGTAGTTCGACTTTTCACCGGCCCTGTATGTGCATTCTTTTTGATATAGAAATCCCTATTGTTTCGCTTGAAAGAATCCTACGAGCCTTATCTTTCATAATTATTCAAGTTAAATGTTTATCCATTCCATGTCATCATGCATCAGATATCTTTCATATGTTCGCTGAATGAACATTAAAATATTAAACAGTTTTACGTTTTTAAGAGAAAAATATATTATAGCTCACTGCACCAGTTTGAAAGGCTTCCAAAATTATTCCAGAAGTAATGAGGCAATATTTTTAAAATGTTGCATTAACAACTTAAATGATTAAATTGCATTTTGCAATTTAAGTTATCAAATTCTCAGTTGCAGCTGGAAGTCTTGTTCGGCTGCACATTTAATTTAAAATGTTACACTTTATTTATGATGTACTTCAATACATAAATAAGCAACTTCTATAACTTAAACTGCCTGCTGCTAGCTTTGTTAACTTTCCAGACATTATAACCACAAATCGACACACCAGTTCGATGCCGAACTCCTCGTAAAGGCAAAAACGTTGCCTATCTAAGCCTCACATGTGCCACAGCGTGCGCTTTTCCAGCACTCGAGGATTAAGAAGTTGGTGTTGGAGCCAAATTTAAGAGTTTTTATAAAAAGCAATAACACAACCAAGCCCTTAGCTGACACTTACATGCTCTCTATAAACGAGTGCTTAAGACAAGCGCTGAATGTAATCCCCAGAGCTAATGAACTAATTGCAACACAGCGTATACTTGATATCAATAAATACATAATAAATGTACACTAAGACACTTTCTAAGAGCTTAGAAAATTCGTTTTGAATTTTACTAAAATAGTTATAATATTGAATTTTTATCTTAAATACCTTTATAAAAATTGAAACAATTAGAAAAAAACAATCAAATATATTTAGTTATGTGTATGCATATTTTGTGAAGCATTTTTTTTTAGAAACATGCTTCTTACTATACATGATTAGTTGCTCATGGTTTAGTGCTTTTTTAAGGCGATTTAGGTAACAATTTTTGTTTGAAGTGCAGTCCTTAGACAAGCCATGGTCGAACGCCATTAGCAATTGAAGCTTGAGTCAGTATTAATGGACAGATTTTATGCTTTTTAGACAGCAGCCAACGACTGGTAATAATCAGCTTTTGGGGAAAGTGCAAAAGAATTAGCTATACGAGCATGCATATTTCTTAAATACAGTCGACTGTCGTTAATTCGAAGCTCGAGAAACTCTTAAAATATTACGAATTATCGAGTGTTTGAAATATCAAATGGTTCGAAATTTGTGGGAGAAAACGGGCTGAGCTCGCACCTGTACGTTGATACAAGTTTGAAGTTGTCGGAAAATGTATTTACATACAATCTTTCCGGCTCTTTCTCTATGCAACTTTGAATTGCCGAGTGTTGGACGCTGATGAGTTCGAATTAACGCGTCGTTTTGTTATGTAGCAATGATTTTTTCGTTCGAATTACCAAGTGCATAAAAATGTATTGATTCAGTTCGAAATATAAAGAGATTTTGTAGGGAACTCGTGATAACTTTAAATTATAGAGAGGTTCGAATTATCGCAGGTTTAAATTAACGAGAGTCGACTGTAATTTGTTTAGACATGTGTTTCTCGGTCATGGTTCTACTATTGTCTTTTTAAGCGAACTAAGTACAATTTGTTGTTTTAAGTGTAAGCAGTCCTTAGTGGTTAACAAGACAAGGCTTGGCCACAATATTGACATGAGGCTGGTCGAACACAGACGCCACTCGCAGTTGAACCTTGAGGCAATATTATTGGAAAGGATTTATGCTTTTTAGTAAGCAGCCAACGACTGGCAGCAATCAGCCTTTGGGGAGTGTGCATTAAACTTGTCCGCGGAGAGTCAAACGAGTTGAGAGCGCAAAAGAAAGGAAAGGAAACGCAAAAGCGGGAATGCGAGCAGCTTTGCTGATTAACGTACAGTTGCTGTTATTTTTGTTGTTGTTGTTCTGGCTGCTGCTGCTGCTGCTGTTGTTGTTGTTGTTGTTGTTGCTGCAACTGTTGAGTGTTTGGCGGGGCTTGGGGGATGTGTGCAAACAAGCGAGTGCAGTTTGCCTTTGATCTGCCGTTGGCATCATTACGAGCACCAAGACGTCGACGATAAGGACGAAAACGACAACGACAATGCCAACAATAAGTAAGCGGTGCAAGCGCGCAAAGGCACAAAGGCGATAGCGAAGGGGAAAACAGCGACAGAGAAAGCGACAGAAAGAGAGAGAGAGAGAGAGAGAGACAGAGAGGGAGAAAACACTGTAGAAAATTATGGGGGAGCTGCATTAAAAAACTCAACAAAATCCCCTTGGACAGAGCGAACACAATGGCGTATTGCTCGGCAAAAATACGGAATACGTTTGGGCTAAGAAAACGGATGGTCGTTACAGCTGCACATTTTTTCATTTCTTTTCGCTCCACTCCACGGCCTTAAAGTGTGGACAAACTAATGTTTAAAATTCCAAAGAAGTACATAACTACATACAAGTATTTACGCATTTCTTAATTACAAATTGCAGCAAAGGTGTAGAAAGGCGCACAGCAAAAATGGTTGGGGAAAAAAAAACAGAGTGAATAAAAGATGAATTAGCAGGCAAGGCGGACAGTTGGACCTACAATCATCAGAGGAACACTCTGAAACCCTTTTTATTGGAGGAATCCAAGGTGGAAGCTTTTTTTAATGTTAACTTGAATTTTTTCCAAGTTTCGCAGGAAGTGCAGGCTCGAGCAATTACAGTCTAATCTACAATGCAAAGGGTCAGGCAAATACTTTGCACACGAAATGAAGGAAAGGTTCTTCGTTTCAATAGAACTTATAAAAGACTCAGAGCTGTCTACACAATGAGATGCCATATTAATTATAAATTAATTATAATTGTGATTTCCTACAATTGCCTTTATGTTGACACAAAAGTTTGTAGCCAGTATCTGCTACGAAGTAAATGAAAATACTTATATTTTCTATCCGTAAATGATTATTCAAATAATGTAAAATGTCATAGAATGTCTGATTAATTTTATGTTTATTTCCGCACAATTGCAATATGGCAAATTTTAAAAGGACTCGCACTCATTCTCACAATCAGTTCACCACTTTGTTATGCTCTTGGCCAATATTTTGAACGCATACATTTGTGAAATAAGAAAGGCCTACAAGCTATTCCCTAAACATTTCAATTGAGAGGAAATACGGCGCCCTAAAGTCGTAAATATGTTCAGGCATTGTCTAAGAGGCTGCTGTCTGGGCGGTTCTTAAAGGGATTGTTGGCATCACGTGGCCAACATTTTACGCAAGCTGCCACGTGCAGAGGAGAGGCAAGGATATAAAACATACATATACCTTTACAGGACGTTTGCAGCCACTGTTTTGTTGTGGTGGCAGTAGATGTCAATATTTTTTTTTACAAACCATTTGCGTAATTCGTAATTCGTTACCGAAGCCATAAAGAAAAGGGCTGCGGCATTGTTAGTCAAATGGCTTGGAACGATTTAAAGCTGAGTCTGAGCTGGCGCTGAAGTTGAATGAAGCCACTTTCTGCCTAATAGATACTGTCTTTAAATTGAATTAAATGCCTGGGAGTCTTGGGAACCACACGCGAGTAATATAAATGAAAAATGTTTGCTTTTCAGGGCAAAAATGTCAACACATTTACAAATCAAAATAAAATAAAATCAAATAAACGAAGAAGCCTCCCCGCAGAGTCTCAATACGTTAGACGCATTTCTCATGTTCTGGGCGGGCGGCATGCTCTTCACGTAGTATTTTAATTAGTCTAATTAGAGGCAAAGTTGCAGCAGCGCTGCTGCAAAGTTGAAAGTAATTATGTGGCATTTTGGGATCTGGGAGCTGGTTAGCTGTCTGACTGCTTGTTGATATGGCTGCTTAATGCTTGGCAATTAAACTGATTAGTCAGTTACAACAGGGGCTGAAGCAGTTAATAAATTCTCTGATTCTAACCTCGGGCAGGTGAAGTGAGTCTAGACTTTATGGGCTAATTACACAGTTGTGTGTGTGTGTGTGTGTGTTGGCATTAAACAGAAGAACACATAGCGAAATATATGTGATCTGCATAACTCTTTTAATGAAGTAAGCTCGTTGTGGAAGGAGGTGGAAAGGGGAGTGTGTTTCTTTTTTGGGAGACCTCCAAATGTTTTATATTCTTTACCATTTCTTTTTCATTTATGTACATATACGTAGTTCATACATATATAACATTGTGGAGTTAAGTTATAGCATTAAAGATGTTTGATTTGATTTCTGCAAACTTTAAATATTTGGCTGTTAAGCCTCAAAAGTAAGTGCGAAGGAGTTTTCATACTCTGTACATAAAATGTACAAGAGTATATTAGGTTTGCGGGAGCTGAAAATGTAACAGGCAGAAGGAGGCGTGGCAGACCCCACAAAGTATATATAGTATATCTAGCCCTGTCTGTCTGTCTGTCAGTCTGTCCGACCTGGATCTCAGAGACTATAAGAGCTAGAGACACAAAATTTTGCACAAAGATGCCTTATGTGTGTACGCTGTGCAAGTTTGTTTTATTTTTTTGATTTTCCGCCCCACTTCCTCCCTATGGGCGTTTTCTCGATTTTCCATTCGTATTATCGCCTATATCTCAGAGACTATAAGACCTAGGGACACCAAATTGTAGTCCCAGATGCCTTATGTGAATACGCAGAAAATGTGTATTTTGGAATTTCCCTCTCTCTCCTCTCTCCCCCCTCTCCACGGCAAATCGTAACTCCCGTAATTCTTGGAATTTCGAACTCAAACTTGGCAAATACCTCTATTTAGTTATTATAAGTCCAAATGCTTTGCTCAGGTACACGAGACATACACAGACACACACAAATACACACATACACCCATAATTATTCTACACATATGTACAGAGTATTTCAAAGTCGGGATACCCGACATTAGCTTCTCTACTTGTTTATACTATTTTTGATGAACCAAGTGAGTCCAAATAGGAGCCCAAAAATGTATATTGCTTTAAATCAGCAAGATAGCAATGATTTACGAGCTAGTGACAATGTGGGATTTCTAAGGTAAATCAGTCAGTTGTTATTCATTTAATTTAATATTAACCCTAATAAAACAATGTGCAGCACAAAATAATGGTCTTCGGGCAATCAATTATTATTATGTTTAGCACATCAATCGATTATAAGTACACATAATTCTGTTTTTACACGGAAGAATTAGGTGTATCTCTATAAAGAATCGATTCTAAATCATATTAGCTTTTTCATTTGGAGCCTTCAAACCAAAGAACTACCCAAAAGTTAAACTCAACTTATCCGTCCCTGCAAAGCTAACCTCTTCTTTCGATACAAAATATACTTTTTTAATAATATGTATGTAGTAACTAGCAGCTTATGCAATCAATCGCCACTTTAGAAAATATAGTTTAGAAGCAAATATCCCCTGATACGCACCTTACAACTGTAGACACCCTCATCGATGCGACTGGCCTTCGTTACGCCCAGTATGGCGGTGTAAACATCTTTTGTGTCCGGTGGCAGTACGGTGGTCCAAATTTCTCTGCAAGCGATAGAAATATTAGCTAATTAGTTTGAAGATAATACTTTTGCTTTCGCACAACACTCGAGACACACAACAGACAAACAATACGATGAATAGCTTAAGGCAGGCAGGCGGGGTGGGCGGCTGCTACAAATTTTCCAATTTTCACACCCAATACCCTCGCCTGCAGGCGAATTGGAGCATATGTAGTAGTTCCCTCGCTAATTGGGACACTAATCAGAGCAAGCTCACAGCTCATCATCGTTTTCTAGAACGTGTGAATGCGCGGATGGGCGCGGGCGATGTTTACGGATCCGTGTGGTGTTGTGGCTGTGGGTGTGGGTGTGCGAAATATTATTGCTAATGTGAAAACAATCGCGGATGCTGTTGCGGTTCGAAGTCAATTAGCAGGCATCATGTTTCATTTTTCGCAATTTTCAAATGTTTTTCAAAATATCTGTTTCGCTGCACAGCCGCCGACGCGTAGTCGCTGCATTGTTAATAGCTTTTGGCTCTCTGGCGAACTGGGTCAACGCATTGGCTGGCTCTGGCATGGGGCAGACATTCTGGGCGGTCGGCAGCATTATGCAGAGATTTCTATTTGCATTTATCTCCCATGGCTGGCTAGCTGTATCAATATTTGAACAGCAGACACATTTGCATACTTAGTTGAGTCTGCAGATGGTGGGATGTTGAGATAATGGGATGATGTGATAATGTGATGATGCTATGAGCATGAGATGACGGTGTTGTACGCGAACAAAATCGACTATTTGCATTAAAGGATATTCTACTTAATTAGCTCAAATGACGAAGGAGTAAATATTATAATCAGGATAGCAAATGCAAATTGATATCATTTTAATACTAATGTCATATATGTAAATAAGGATGTTTAAGTTGTAATAAGTAATAGACTGCTCAGTCAAGTATTGCTTCAGGTACAATTATACATAACTATAAGTAGGTTTCGAAAAAAATTAAATTCTACGATAACTACAAGAGTAGTTCGTTAAAGTCCAGAACGCAGCTTTGTAGGTAATATCGATGAACACCCACTTACGTGCAAAACAGTCAGCTAGCTATACATAAATTTAGTATATGCCTATGTTAAGCAAAATTGCATCTTAGCATTAAAGCAACTGCCAACTGCCAAGGGGCCGCAACACCAACCTGCCATGCAACGCGTCTGAATCAGAAACGAGGCCGTATGTGGCTGACGCCTCGGTTCAATCAAATGGCAAAAACAGGACCCAGAACCCAAAACCAACGCCTTGAACTGGCAACAACTTAAGTGCTGCTTGAGGTTTTGGCGGCAAACAAACACACGCACACACACATATATATATTAACATACATACACACCTGTAAGCCTGTGAGTGCACTTCACTAATAACTTTTACGCATGAAGGCCTTACGCCATAAGGCAGTAGGAGCCAGGAGCACAACACATTAAAGGAGTTGAACGTGAAAAAGTGCCAAAAACCGCAGGCTGCCTGCCTACCAAAGAGAAAGTGCGCAAAACCACGGGTACAGGTACACTCAGCGAAAAATATTGTAGAGTGCACAATTCTAGTAGGATTATGTTTGGGTTCCAGGCTATTTATTACTTGAAAGGTTTTATATTCTGAATCAATCTCAGCGAAATTGATTAAAATTCACAATTCACATACCCTTGATGCACGCATTTTTTTAAATAAATGTATCTAATTATTGCGTTTTAAATAGTTGTTTAATCATTAATAGTGGAAATATTAATATTTAATAAGCTTGGTCTTAGAACAATTCTTACTAGATTTGAGATTGCAACTACTTGTCATTTTTCTGAGTGTACCGTCTGACGCTCTCAGAGCCTCAAGCCAAGTACATGCACACGGATGTATGAATGTATTGGTGTATATGTTTGTACATGCACCGTCAAAAGTAAATGGCTCAGCTGCAATCGCTAAAAATGCGTTTAGTGCGTTGGTTAGTTGGTTGGCTGGTTGTTCGGCTGGCTGGGCCTACAAAGCACTTAACCCACAATTTACTAATGGCCCATGGGTGTGACTACGTTCCCCACTACGGGAGCCATGGCTACCACCTTCAAAATCAATTAAATGGCAACGGATGTAATAACTTTTTGCACAGGAAGTGTGTAACGGCTAAATGCAACAACAACAACCACAATAAAAGCAGCGGCAGTCGACTTCACGTGTAACGTGTTTTTCGTAGCGTCCGTCAGGGTGACCAGGAATTACAAGGAACCGTGAACTAAGCGAACTTATTATTTTTCACATTTATGATATTATTTTCTGTTTTTCCAATTTTTAAAAATCATTTGTGTGCATCTGCAAATATATTTAGACACAGCTTAACAAAAATATCAATTACCTATTATTGTCTATGTTTGTACAAGTTTTCGAGTTAATCAAAAGTATTTATTTAACTTTGAAAAAGGCGTTACAGAACGTCTAAAATATGTACGATATGTTTTTGATTAAACGGTTCAACGGTACACTTTAAATTAAATGATATATTTGAGAAAATATAACTAATATCAACGAAAAACTACTTATGGACAAGGGAGGACATTTTAACTGATTTCTGATTTTAAAATTTTCATGGTTGGTGATACTAATAGTAATATAAAATATTTACAAATAGCATAACAAATTTACAATATAATACTATAAAATCAACGCAACTGAAATGAGTAATATATTCCTGGGTAGGTTAGGCTTTGATAAGAATTGCTAAAGTTCTTTAAACAGTATCGTCGTGTAAATAAATGGTCACCTAGTCGAAAATCCCTTTTGGCGGTAGCCGCAAAAATAGCAGAACCGTCTCATTTACAGTTTGCTGAAAATGAACTGCAGGTAGCAACAACAACATCAAGAGAAAATCCAAGCGCACATACGAATCTTACATTCCCTTCTCTGTATTCGGCTTTGTAAAACTCGTTTAATTTAAAACTTGGTTGTGCTTATTTTTGTTTAAAAGTTTGTTATTCGAGTATTTTGTGTTATTAAAATTCAAATGGAGTTGATAATTTAAAAAAAAAATACAATAATATAAAAAATACAAGTCGATCTAGTTTAGTAAAGCTCTTTGATATTAATATTTTTTAAATAAAATATTTAAATAGTAGTTTTTTGCTTTTTTAGTATTTTAATCCACTACTTTTCAATTTCAAATTCTTTAAAACTTAAAATAATACAATAATATAGACGGACGGTTCTGGAGCTACTCATATACACATACGTATGAACATTTTGTGTGTCAACTACTTTTAGTTGCTACAAAAACTATACGATTTCTAACCATCTTAACCTTCGGTAGAGGATAAAACTAGAACAACAATGGCCCAGGAAGTGGACGAGGTCTGACTTAATGCGAGTTGCTCGGCTAACACAATTACTCCGCTGCTATGCGTGAGATGCAGGAGTGGGGGAGAGAGATAGATAGAGTGGCGAACACACAACATTAAAGCGCCGCGATACCATTTACAGTTGACTGCGACTGCCGTTGTTCGCCCTGCTATGACAGCAGCAGCTGTTGTTGCTCTCTTTCGCTCTTGCTCTGCGGTTACCAAATGCATTTCAAACGTGAGGCGCGTAATAGCATTGGAAAGTGAATGGTAGGGGCGACGGGAGCAGGGGGGAGCAACGCTACAAATTGACCGCAAATGAGAACGCATATGTGTGCATGTGTGTGTGTGTGTGTGTGTGGAGCAGCACATGGCGGAGCATCACTCCTCTAAAGAGCTTTTAAAATTTGCGCCTATTTGAGTTAAGCTGCTGCTATGATTTGTGATTTTTGAGTTTCGTGCGTGAGTGAGCAAACACGGGAGAGAGCACATTCAGCTGCTCAATTACGCAGAGCATGTGTGCACAGTTGCTGCTATAAGTATGCTTGCTTAAGGATATGGCATACGTTGCCCTACAAAGGCTGATGAGTTGATTTAACTTTGTTCATTTCCAGCAACTAAATATGCCGGCAGATGATCAACATTTCATGAATGGATTAGGAACTTTAAAGTGAACTTTTATGGAGAAAATAACATTTAAATAACTTAAGTTAATTATATAAGAAATAAAAATAAATAATTAATTAAAATTAATAATTGAAATGTTCAACGTCAAATAAAATTAAATTTTGTAACTAATATACATTAGGTTAAATTTTCTTAGAAATAAATATGTAATGACTACCGTAATAACATAAAAGCAATCTTGTACTTGTAATGCTAGGATAAATTAATTAAATAAATAAATGTGTTTTTGCACAATTTCTTCAGGAATTTTCAATACTTAAGCAATCAGGCTAGTCATCAGCATATCGTAAAGCCCTCAATTCAGTATGGTAGGTGAAATTGATTTTCATTTAATAAAATATATATAAGTTTATAATCGGGCTTGTTCTCGTTTGTTTATTTGATAAAATTGTGCAAAGTCGAAGTTAGTAAATTTTGTGAATCTCCTATGATGGCGGACCATTATTAAGGATCGGCTTAAACACTACCATCAAAGCAGCATTAATGTAGCCAAATAATATAGTTGATGTTCGGATCAGAGAGCATTTACTAATTCCGAATCTACATAACTAGATCGAATTCGAAAATATATCACTTCCTAGCTATTTTGTGATGCCAGAGCTTTAAGGCTAATACTTTAAATTAGTAAACATGTGAGAGAGATTTAAATTTCGATGCCACATCTTATTGAAAACTTTGTGATATTAAGTGATAAACTTTCCTAATTCTGCTATATGTAGATATATAGTAAAAGGTATCTGGTGTTTTATGATTAAAATGTTGGAAATTTTTAAACGTCAAGAAAGGTATAACTTTTCTCTATTCAAACTAAAAATATTGTTCATAAAATGTAATAGTTTTCTAATTCTTTCTAATTTTTTTTGTCAGTAGACCAAACTGCAAAATAAATAATAATGTAAGTTTTGGACTTAAAGATACAAAATCAGTGTACATATGTGCTTCCCTTAATTCTTTGTGTAGCTCCGAAATAAAAAATCCCTTTTAAATACAAAATGTGTAGCTTTTTCCTAATTTTTACTGCTAGTATAGGCTCCCTTTTTCATTTTTAAACATAATTTGGCTATTGATAATGTGAGTATTAAGAAGTTAAGGAGCAATAAATAGATTTATAAGTTATCGGGAATACTGTTTGATTATGTTATAGTTTTTATATTGAGGAACAAAAAGGGAGTAATGCTCAAGTTTTAAGAATAAATGGTTGGGCAGGTTTTTTATTTTTAAGATTCCATTAAAAATATTCAGATAAAAGATAAAACATTGCTTAATAATGTCAGAAACCCATCCAGGCAATATGTTGGACGTTTCAGCACTTAAAAGGGCAATTGCAAAATTTTAATTAGCGTGAATAGTTTTTGTAGTTTAGAATGTAACTGTCGGTGGACTTTCCAGATCCGCTTGTGTGCAAATGATTGAAAAAGTAGGCCACAAGCGTTTTATTTATGCGCAACACTGTCGTTAAAAATTAGTTTTCAATCAAAAGCATATGCAACATACACACATATGCTGTTGGCCGCATAAAAATAACAATATATGGCTTAAAGCAACAACCAACCGAAAACCAAATAAACAAATATTCGCTTGCAAAGCACTGTTGATTGACTGCCTGTCTGGCTGACAACGCGGAACTCAAATCCAAAAAAAGAAGTGATGGAGGAACATTCGTATTTTTATGTCAGCACCGCAAAGTCGAAATCCAAATCTAAAGCCGCTGGCTACACAACAAAAATCCATCCAATGTTTTTATGAGTTCATAAAATTGACGTAGGTGTTTATTGTTGTTTGTTGTAACTGTTTGGCCTTTGGACGCACAACAGAGAGACCGCCACCACCCCCACCCCAGCCCCGACCTTGTCCTCTAGCATGGGAAATTGAAATTGTGAAGTTATTTGCTGAATGTTTTATGCGTGTTCTGTAATAAATATGAATATGTTGGCCATGTCGGCCCAGTCTTGCATTAAAGTTGCAGCTGTAACTTGATTAGAAAAACAGTTCCCAACAACAAAATTCAACTTCATATATACAAGTTTATGTATGTGTGTGAGTGTGTGTGTGTGTTGTGGCCATATAAAAACTTTATTAAACGCAACTACGCATAAAAATAAAACGATGACAAAATACGCGTCCTATTCGCCTTCTTTGCTGACTCCGCCGAGTCCCGTTGGAGGCTATTTTTTGAGCTTTCTCTGTTTGCGGCCTCAACGCGCACATTTCACTTGAAGCTGTAACAAATTTCATTACAATCGTAACAGGAAAACGTGTCTCAACAACTAAATTGCAAAATGCCGGCCGAGCAACGCTCCAAAATGCTCAGAAGCACAGAGAACGAGTGAGATGGAGAGCGCGAGAGTAGAGTGAAGGACACTGAGAGCTGAGCTGTTTGCACAAACAAAGGGCTTGATTAACTTTTTTTCAACACCACCAAAAAAAGCAAAGCAAAAGGAGCAGCCAATAAGAGTGCAATATATGTGAAGAATCGACAAGCGGAGTGTGTTTTGGAAAAAAGGGTTACGGAACTGATACAATATTGGGCTGAAAATGTGAGCTGACCTCATTTGCGAATGAATATTTTGTCATATTTATGATTTCATGCAGTTCGTTGACATTTCATTAACATATTTTTATATTAAATAAATAATAATAATTTTGAAATTTTAAAATCATGAAATATTACTCGATTATTGTATTATTTCAGCGGTTGCTGCAAAATGAAATCAATAACATTTCTAGAATCGGGAAGCTCTGCTGATGAACAAATGCCAGGGGAGTCGGGAATGAAATAAAACCGACTTGACTTTTCTCTTTCCAGCAAATCGGTTATTCCTGGGATCTTTACGTTCGGGCAGGTGAATTACGACTTGTCTTATTATTCTCATCAAGAATACACCTTACACCATTAATAATTTGCTACGTTTTCTCTTTTGATTGTTTTTATCGTTCTTAAACTTTAGAAGTTGAAAAATATTTTAATATATTTTTTATTTTACTTTTGTCTCGCCCTTCACGATTTCACTTAACACGAGGTTTAGTTGTATATCTATGGGTTCTGACACGTCTCTTTCTGCGTGTTACATACAATCGCACTAAACAAGTATACCCTTTTACTCTTTAAGGGTACAGGGTATTAAAAAACCTCTCGTCTGTGCAGATTTCCCCATTCGCCAGTTATCTACACACCATGAACGACTAGGAAATGGCTCATGCATTGCCTATCCCAGTCACGCAGCTCTTGATTAGCGAAAAATTTGAATAAAATTCACTAACACCTTGCACGTCCTCCTTACGGCTGCCATACGCTACAATTTTCATTGTAACCTCACACACACACAGATAGGCGATAAAGAACAACAAGAGAATGGCTTGTCAGCAGAAAAACGTCCTGGAAAAAAGGGAAATACTTGTATATACATAGTTGCTTTCTCGACCTTAACAATGACGAAGAAAAAGAAGAAGAGAAAAATTGACAGCAATGCGCCAAAAGGCAAATATTATGAATGGCAGAAATACGGTGGGGCTTGGTTAGGTTCAGTTTTGAAATATAGTTGACGGCTGACTCTAACATGTTGGCAGGCACGCGAAAATATAAAAGCATTTATAACTTGGGGCCAGTCAATACTTGACTCTTGGGGAAATATCGTTTTTTAGAGGCTAGTTAATTAAAACAGGCCTTACAAAAAGTCAACAATCAGCTGGTCTGGGCGGCAACAGCATCATTGGAGGTCGATATTTATATGTACATTACATATATACATTACTTGTATTTCAAGTAATTGTGATTGGTTTTTATACCGAAAAAAGTTGAACTCAAGTATTTTTACTAAGGTAGGATTGGAAAAGAGAATCCAATCCTGTTGAATTTTTATAAGTCGCATTGATTTTGACGCTCTATTTTTACACACGCTTAGAAATGTTCCTTAATTTTGAATACTATTTATCTTCAGTTCTATTAAATATTTTTTAAATTTCACTCATTAGGGTGTTGAATTATCGAAATTGTAGAGTGTTTTCCTAAATTGGATGAAGAATATACAAGTATAACAGATTTAATATAATTTTAGAAACTTTAATGGCTCTCCTGCCCTACAATTAATAAATACTGATTAATTTGTAAAACAATTTGAAATTAAATTTCTAAGTTTATGATACCCATATGGGGGTTTTTTAAAAGCACTACTTGTACGTTAATTTTAAAAAAAAATAATATTTTAAGAAGTTAAATTTCAGATGCGTGTGTTAAACATTTTGTTATAAGGTAATATATGATGGGGAACTACAAAAAGAATAATTATAGTTTCCTCTACATAAAGTTTACAAACAGCTATCGTTGTAATGAAAACGCAAATTCTGTTTCATGATAAAGTCCTTTATTGGTTAAGTATAGCAAAATCGCAAGCACCTAAAACCTTAATGACTATGTTCCTTAGTCGCAGTTGCTGCAGTTGAATGTTGAACTAACGAACGCCACATTTGTAACGCTTAAACAATTTACACTAGGTGTAATAAATAATCAAACTAATTGCTTTTTAGTGGGATAAGTATCTATACTTCACTATGTGTGAGTGTGAATGTGAGTGTGTCTGTGTCTGTGAGAGTGTGATAATATTTTTGAATAATCCACATCATACTCAAGGCGAATAGTTCTTCTCACGAGCACGACGACTGTCTCTGACGGTCTTCACGCGCAAACGCCTCACGAGGCATTCCCATAGAGGGCGTAGTTTGCGCGCAACCGCCAGACGTCGTCGGCTTCAAGTGTCCGGCGCTGTGCCAGCAGCAGAAGCCTCGCCACCATTATCATCACCATTGCCTTCCCCCTGCTCAATGGCTCTGGCCGCACTGGGATCCGAAATGCTGCCAAAGTAGTTGCCCGTCTTCTCGATCTCCACCAGCCGCTCCACATCGTCCAGTTTTGGTGGTGCTGGCACCGTAACCATGAGTATGCCATCGGCGGAGAATGTGGCACGTGCCTGGGTGGCATCATAGTGCCGGGGCAGCTTGTAGCAACGTGAGAATTCACGCGCGATGCACAACTGGCCATTGGCCGCACGATCATCCGCCTGCTTGCCCTCAACTGTAATCGTGTCAGTGTTCTTCGCCTTCACCGTCAGCTCGCCGAGCTGGAAGTGATGCACGTCCAGCACGACTTTGAAGGTGCCACGGCCCTGCGAGTCCGGCTCTGCGCCCGTCTCTATGACCACTCGCCCAACCAAACACGAGCCGTGACACCAGGCGCTGTCATCCATTCGTAAATGGAAGTCTCGGGCACACACATCCAGCTCATGGGAGAGATAATAGCGTCGCTGACGGCACTTCACCTCTCCCGAGGGCCAGTGTCGTCGAGGCGGCCAGTGGTAGTGGCCGCCATGCTCGTGCTCGTGATCCCAATCCCAGTCCCAGTGTATGGGCATGTTGTGTGCCACGTCTGCCCCTTCTCCGGCGCTGTCGCTGACGATAACGATGCCGCGTCGTAGTCGTCTTCGTTTCGTTTTCGTTGCACTTGGAACAAGCGTGTTGATTTTTGGCTAACCGACCAAAAAAACCGTTGTTCACTGCTGTCTTCCTGCTCGTCTCGTACTAATTCGATGGCTGGGCGTGCGCGCGCCTTCTGGTATGCAAAGTAATTCGCCTCGAACTGAGCATGGATTGCATGCACTGGCAAGCTAACGGCCTAGGGCAGGTCGGTTTGCCGAGCTATTTTTGAAATCATTGCAATGCGGCACATAAATAACAACCTCAATGCACACTGGGCCCAAATTGAACGAAAATTGAGGAGCACTAAGCGGGCCAATTAGGCGAAGATTTATAGGGAGTTTAAATTTTTTTCTGGAGTGATCATATTAGACGACCTTTTATATGAATATGTGGGCTGGAGATATCTTCATAGATACAATCTGTGTTTTGTACTATCTATTTAAATTCCGATAGGTCATTGATTTGACAAGTTATTTCTACTGGATAAACAGAAAAGCGATCCTATCCAAAAAGTTGGTTTATTTATATTTACTCTTCTATTATATCAAATTTTGGAATGCTGGAGTACATGGGTTGTATGGTGAAATTTATGGTGCAATAATTTCTATCTTGGAATGAAGGACTATTATAGGTTGCTATAACTTAAATGCTAGAATCCCTAATGGCCAAGGGCTGAGCCCAGTGTCCACCTAATTTATTGCAACTTTCGATCCAGTGTGCCGTTTTACCCAATTTCAACCCGATTGCTGTGCGTTGCCTTCGACTGCAGCAGCACGCACAAATTTGCAAGCCAAACTAGAGCGACCCCTAACCTCAGTTTGTTTGATCAATAAGTGGTAAGCAGCGGCCCCTTTATAGTTCTTGTTATTTTTGTTATAACCCCTGAAGCTATTTTTATTCACAAAATGGAACAAATGAATTGGAAAAGGCGACAAAGAGAAAATAGCAAACAAACGAACCGCACACCAATTAGAGATAATGCGAAATTATGAAAGAGTGGCAACGCCATTATGCAACTAATTGTGGCATTCTCATTGTCGCCATCGCCATTGCCATCGTCATCGTCACAAAGCACAGAAAGGCAAACAAGACAAGCACAGACATGCGGCGCGAGCGCGCGCTCTTTCCGCCAAATGAAACTAATGAAAATCGTGACCCCCATTTGGCACGTGCACACATGTGTGTGTGTGTGTGCGTTTGAGTGTAAATGGAAGCGTGTGTGAGTGTGTGGAGCAGCTGGAAAATAAGAAGAAAGACAACAGCAGAAACAACAACAACTGCCAAGCAAGCATTGCATTTTGCTAGACAATGAAGATGACGACCAAGTCGCACAGTGGCCCAGAAATATATTTTGATCCTCTAATTTACATATTCATTAATACACTTAAATAAAGCGTTTGCATAATACATACATATGTAATTAGTATTTGTTGAGTTTGTTGAAAACAAAAAAGATATAATCATCTTTAAAAATAAAAGCAAGCAGTGCCTACTGAATATAAAATAACTTTGATTTGTTTATAGAACTTATTTTGGGTGCAAAAGTGTTCTACAATAAAATATTTTCCCCATTTATCATTCAAAGTGTGAATGAGCCTACGTTTTTAGATTGAAGACACAATAAAACGAATAATTATAAATGATTAATACATTATACACTTTCTATGTTTACTTATTGAAAATGTAATTGTATTTATTAATATTTAATGACTTTATTTTTGTAGTTTTTTAAAATATAATTCATATTTATTGTTTACATATATCTACAAATGTTTTGTTTATATATTTTATGTATAGATATTTGAATTAAATATTTTTAATAAAATTTTAAATAGTTATAGATATATTGTATAAATAGTTATTCATATTTACTTATTTATTTTATAATTATAATAACTTTTATTTATTTAAATAAATAAGTTGCAATTAAAATTATTGTTATCATTTATTTTTGCTCGATAGATTTGGTTTCTGAACCATTGAGCTTCGCTAACGCTAACGCTAACGCCAACGTCGTCGTTGTTGTTGTAATCTTTACTTTTCCCACGTTTTAGTAAAATTTAATTCATTTTTATTTACATAATTGTTATTATTATTAGCTTACAATTTATTTTTGTTTATTTATAAATTTTTGTAGCCATTTTTGTGTTTTATGTCAATTTATATTCATGTATAGTTATTATATATTTATATTAATTTATATATTTAAAATATTTATTTATATTTATTTTATATTTATGTTTTTATTTTATTTATACCAATCTATACTTATTAATATATATTTTTCGCAATTAAAATTTTTGTTGTAATTTATTGTTGACCAATAGATTTGGTTTCTGAACCATTGTGCTTCGCTAACGCTCGCGTCGTCGTCGTTGTTGTTGTTAAGACAAGCGCAAAATGGCTACCGATTGCAGTTGTTGTTGGGCTGTTGTTATTGTCGTTGTCGTTGTTGGTATTGCCGCTGTTATTATTGCTCGGGGTGAACCAATTTGTAAAATATACGAAATATATTTTACTTATGCTGTCGTGCCAGACCGAGTGGGCGGCAGACCGGGCGGTTGGCGAGCGAGGAGGTCAGCTGAAATTGAATTTTTTGCTTTTGGCTTTTAAGCAAGTTTGACAAATTTTTGGAGCTACAGCTGAGCTAACCAGGACAACACTGACGGCAACTTGGCAGCACATGTTGGCACACACGCACACATACATACATATATTTCTGTGGTATATTGTGATTGCTTGACAAAGCTGTAATTTTGGTTCGAGAGCCAACGATAAAATTGAAGTCTTAGTCTTTCCCAGTTGATAAATATGTATGTATTTGCCGGAGAGCAGTAACATTGTTTCAATATTTTCCCAACTTTGGCACAATTGTGCAAATGACGTCAATTTGAAAATGTGCAACGTGTTTATTTGTTTCATCTCGGCACGTTTGCAAACAATTAACAGAGGATTGCTATACGGCTAAAAAGAAATAACGAAAACGAAAATGCATTCAGCTTGAAAATTCCGATTTTTTGCAGAGCTTGTCTCAGTCGTTGGCGATTGCTGGAGCTGTGCATTTAGTGCAAAGCTTCGAAGAATCAGTTTTAGTTTTAAAAGAGTGATCATCAGCATGGAGTATATGAATTTAAATAACCCATCGACTTACAATTAAAGGAGGCTTTTCAAATAACTCATCCAGAAACAAGTAAGATGCTCAAAAGCTATTTCGATTGCTAATGTTTTTATTCAGTTTTTTTTTTTAAACTCTTCGCAAGTCTAATTGATAAAGTTTGTAAAATCTGTTGTGGTCTACTTTACCCTTCTACTTTACTGAATAACAGTTTTTATTTTGCAATTTTCCGAAAAGAACTATAGTTTAGAAAATTTCCATGAAAATTATGATTTTAGTATCTTTTGCAATTTTAATAATAGTTCAACGATTTCAACTTTTTTTTTTGGAATTTCTAGCGATTTCTTCTGCAGATTTTAACACTTTTTTTAACATTCAAAGATTTTTAAAACAGCTGCCATTTTGTTATTCTTTGTACCCAAAATTGCTCCTGTTGCTTTACACTATTTGATCGAAATGAATGTGCGACTATACAATTTTCTAGATAACTCTTTGGATGTTATACAAAGTGAAGAAAATTACATAAAATATTTGCCAGAATTTCTATACTAATATCAATACAGTTATCTAGGAAATTGAGTTACATAAAATGTGCTTATTCAATAATTTTTCAAAATATTTAAAAGACATTTTACTTCCAATCAAATTCACTTCTTTTTGAGACTTTTTTAACATGAATTATTTGTTTAACATTTCTTGAAGAAATTATAAATCTTTTTGGTTAGTCAGCTAGCACCAACTTCTCAAAAGTATTTATCTATAGAATCAACAGATATTTACAAATTTGCACTTTTCAAAAATTAGTTTTACCTTCTCTGAACATTAATAGCTTCTGAAATATTACTAGAAATTCTTTAGAAAATTTTATATAAGTATGTAAGTACGGCAATAAGTTAGAAGCATTTTATTTTAATAGCTATACCGCAGCTTTCTAAGATTTGGAAACAGTTTACTGTCTTCTGGCAATGTAGCTAGCAGCAGTTCATGGCAAGTTTTGAAAACTATTCTTGCATATTCTTTAAAAATTCTGGTACTTTAAGATAAATTTTGAATCAAGCCACTTCAACTTGAGCCAGCATTAAAATATCCCAGCTGGCCGACGAAGTAAGCCCAACAATAAATATTCGGCCAGCTCGCAACTAACAGTAACAACATTAGCACCGTTGTTGCACTTAATAAGCGAGAATTTGCTGCACAATCCGTGGACCACACACACACGTCTAATATACACACGATTAGGAGCACAATTAATGGGCGCACTTGGGGGCATGCCTTGGAGCCCGCTACAGATACCGATACATGCGAGAATGTGTCTGTGGTGTACGCCTCAATTGAAATTGAGGACAGTGTGGCGAGCAACTCGGAGTAGCGGCCACATTCTGCATGTTAATCAAAGTGATGCGGAGACTGTAGCAGTTGTTGTTGCTGGTGGGGCTCAGGGATGCGTTAGTAATGGGATTGGATAGTAATTGCATTGATTAACCAGTTTACTGCTTAGGCATGTTTGCTGGCAGATCGCTGCCTGACTACAAGTATATTTTTGTAGTGCCATAAATTTCCATACGTTGAGCTCCATTTTCAGATCCATTGGCTCATAAAAAGTAGAATAATGTGCTGTCCAGCACATGCTTATGATGATAAATTACATTCCACCCCCTACCCCATCAAGAAGCGCCAGCATCAAATCATGCATTAAAAATCTGCTTACTTCCGGTTATTTTAGTGCGCAAAAGTAAAGCCAAGTCGGCAAGGAGCGGGGCAAGGACACACACCCGATGCTTAGTCGTTTGTGTAATGCGAAGTTAGTAAATGTCCAAATGAATGACTTCACTTCACTTTAACTAAAATATTTACTCATATTTCGCCCCGCAGCAGCCGCCGAACATGTGTTGTTGTGGCCTCCACAGCAGCCACTTTTTTCCACATCAATGCGTTCGAGTGGGTGCAGTGGCAGTGGCAGCGGTGGCAGTAGTGGAGGCTGCCCCGTGGTTACTGCCACGTGTGCCACTGCGCATAAATATGCATACAAGTAATCAGCATGCCTTTTTTTTTTTGCTGGCACAGTTCACAGTTTTATTCCCGAAGGGTCAACATCCGTGGTCTGTTTTGGGGGGAGTTTAGTTGTTTATTCTATTTATTTATAAGGTCTTCTTGTTCTTCGATTTTTGAAGTTTTGGGCCAAATATTTTAAATACCAAGATATGGATTTTAAGAACTAATATCTGAGCGTTTCATGGAATGCTTTCAATTTCATTTTAGGGCAATTGTTTGAACTCCACAACTCTTGTCCCACATTTCTCTTTGGCTGGCGCAAAACACATTAATTTGTGATTGCAAATAAATGTAAAGATTTGAGTTGGCTCTGCGCTGGTTTAATTATTAAAGAGCTCCCTCCACAGGGAGCGTGTTTGTTTTTGTTTTTCAGAAATTCTGTTTGGTTTCGCATAAATCTGAATAGTAGCTGCGTTGCTGGCTCTGGAGTATTTAGGCGCTTGCAAGCCTCTGCTAATGGTTAGGGGCGCCTAGCTTATACCAGTACATACCTAATGCGCACTCACCCCTAGTTGGGGGTTGGGGCTTTAAGCCTTCTGCACAGTGAATTGTCAGGGCAACCAAAACATATGAGTATAGTCGAGCTGTGTAGTTGCGGCTAAAGCTGTAAGACCTCCAGCTGCTGCGATTACCGTCCCTTCTTCAGTGACAAGCCCTCGTTAGTTACGGCCATATGCTTTTTATGTAATGTGCAAACACACACCCACACATCCACACACTGCAGCCAACTCCAGAGGTACTACACACACACATGTGTCCGTGTCCGTGTCCTTCTCACTTTGAAGACTGTGCCCTGACTTTATGATCAATCATTCGTCTAGGCCGAATGCGGTTTCGCTGCCATGGAACTCCTCTTCAGCTCTCTGTTTGCTGCCTGACAAATCTTTATCTTTATCTTTGCCTTGACTTATTTATCCTTTTTGGCCGTTTCATTTTTATTTTGCCCGGCATTTTTATGTCATGTTTATTGATGTGTAAAAGTCATAAAGTCAAATTGAACACTTGTGCTTGGCCCCAGCCCCAGTCCCAGCCCCAGTCCCGACCCTAACACGAACCGCATCTCCATCTCCACCTCCACCTTTTCCGTTGCCTGGTTTTTGCCGTTCGGTTACGTTGATGTGAACATTTTGTTCACAGGGCTTGTTTTTTGGAATCTTATTTTATTTCATTTTAATAAAATTTGCTGCAACAGACGCTAAACTTGATGGGATTTTCGAGACTGCAGAATTTGTAGTTAACTCTGTGTTTTTTTTTTACGTTTCCTGCCTGACTGCACAAGGAAGTCGGAAAGTGACGACGCCTTTTTATAGTTTTTTGCATCAGTGGTCAAATTATTGGGCTGCTGCTTAGATAAGCAGCTGCTGGACTACTTCGAGTTCTACTTAAACGGGCTGAACAATTCTTGGGACGCGTCAACAAGTGAAATGTTCCCACTTTTGAGAGGTTTTAAAGCTTTTTGGATTACAATGATTTCTAATAAGAAACACAATTCAATGAGATAATCTTTTTATATATTTTGTTCTCTATTTATATATTTTTCAATTAAAACTTTTAGTATATTTACATTATTTTAAACATTTCACGCTGCCTTTGTCACTTTTTTTTTATCAAATATTTATAAATTATAAGTAACTCCTTTGGCAGCAGAAATAACAAAATATTTACTTATTTGCAAACTTTTTGCCTGTCTTCCTGTGCCAATGCGTGGCGTTCATGCCCTAAACTTTTTATTTTTATCTTTAAAATATAATATTATAATGGTTGTCCGACGATAAAAGTTAATCGCTTGAAATAAGAGGCCTGCTTATGTCTTTAACACGACTATAAACTGGCAATTTTTAAATTGTGTGTGAAAGAATTTTTAAGTCTCGCAGCCGCCTGTTTAATGATTCAAATTGTAATTCTAAATTATTGATTTGCAACGTTGTTAGCCATCGCTAAACGATGAATTGTTTGAACAACATTTAATGAAATTCCCATTCCCATTTCAATTTTATTCCCATTCCCCGAACTTACCTTGTGGCCCTGGTGGCATTGACTGGAGCGCCATCCTTGTACCATTGAAATTGCATGCGTGAGGAGCCCTGGGCCGTGCAGGATATGATGAACTCACTGTCCTCGCGCACGGCTGCTTGCGGTTGATTGACGCTCAGCTCCTGCAGAGAATTAAGCAGAAAGAGTGAGTGAGAGCGAGAGATAGAGAGATAGAGGTGTGGAAAAGGAGCGGGACAATGTCCAGTAATTAGACGCCTGGCAGTAACAGCATGAACTCGCTGCGCTTATGGCCAGGACTGCTATTCATTTGCTGCCGCAGCTCGTTGAGCCTGTTGCGGTTTGTTCGTTCGTTGGTCGGTTGGTCAGTTGGTGGGTTATGTTAATGCAACTTAATTGCAGACTGCCGCCTGATGAGTCCAATTGTGCACATGACCTGCACAATTAATAAATTATTATGTATTTTTCGATTTTCGCGCTGCCACATTGTTGACATATTTATGTGGAAGTCTTTTTTTATATTTCTGTCGTATTAACCCACCACTTGGCACTTGTTCGGATATTGGTTTTAAGTTGTCTCTTCCTGCACCTGTCAGCGAGCGCTGTCAATAAATTATTGGCATAATATGCAGCGGAAATGAAGAGCCACTTAGATACGCAAATGCATAACCAGGTACGAGAGCTTTTTATTCATTTTATTTATAAAAAAAAATAGCTCACATGATGAAATCAGTGATGCAGGAATGGCATTCAATTGATTGATTGATTCATCGGCCGCACACGAATGAAGTCATTAATGTTGCACAGAGTGTGAAAAAGTTAAGTGTAGAAAGCCATTTCATCAATGAAAATAACGAATATAGCTTGTTCTATATAATTATAATGCATAGTTGTAGCTTTGTAGCTAACAGTTATAACTTATCTGTCGATCGGTGTTCCCAAAAACATACTACATTTTCTACATCTTTTTAAATAATTTTTATGATATTTGAAATTAGTTTTTTCATATTAATCGAAGAGCTTACCAACAAATTCAGTGGTGGATTCTCATCAAAGTGATGGAAATTCGAGACAAGCGTAAAGTTTCCAATCCGCCCTCGTTCCACCATTCGCGTGATGGCCTCACGAATACGCTGTGAGTCGCCCTTCACGCCAAAGAAATGAAATGTTATGTCCAGACGATCGATGGTATTCGAAATCAGTTCAAGATCGCTTATTTTTGTAATGTTGAAGTTGCGCAGCACACGTGTGAGCTGAAAAAAGAAAAGCATTGTGCAACAGGAATGAGTAAAGGGTTCAAATATTTATGAAATACATTTATAGATGGCTCTGCAAATGAGGCTAATTTATAAATCGAAGAGCTGTTAAGCACACAACTGATGTCGTTGCTATGTTCTGTTCCCCAGGCGAGGGCAGGAGCACAGAATAAGAATACATTGGTTTTTATTACCCGTGTGGCTAGCTGCCTTCGCAAAACTAAAGTAAAGTTAAGTTGGGCGCCTTTGCGGCATATTTTTTGTTTGCTGGCAAACTTTTTCATCATCATTCGAAATTAATGATAATATATTCAGGTAAATAGCACCATTGAGCATTAGGCACGTATATTGTATAAAAAACAAAAATAAAGAAATTCAAACAGCCACAAAGTCACGGCTGGGATGGTACAGTTTGCAACAAAAGTCGCTCATCGGAGAGCGCTTAAACGGGCGCATTGCTTGTAACATTTTGCTGGTCTCCGGCTTATCTGACCAACTTGAAGTGAAAAGTTTCCTCCGCCAAAATTGGCTATGAAATGCAATTTTGCAACTTTCCTTCTTCTCGTGCTGTTGTTGCTTGTTGCAACAGCTCGTCTCATAATAGCTGGTTGTTCTACCTTCTTATTTAAATGATTATGGATTATGTTGAAGTCGTTTGGTGGTCGCTTCGGCCTTCTGCGGATGCTTGTTGGTCGCCCTAACTAAAAAGGTTTTCTTTTTTGTTTTGTTAAACTTTGCCAATGTTGCCTTTTGCGTTCTCGTTGCCGTCTACTAAAATATTAAAAATATTGAGCCACTTTCTTTTTATATGTCGTACAGGCTTTTGATGTCAATGGCTTGACTGCAAAATATTGTAAATATGCGCCAACAGCGCCGGAAAGATTTCCACGTTCGCTGATAAAATTTTGCAAGCCCTTGGTTTGCGTCGCTTCATTAAACACAAAGAGGGCAGCCAAGATTGCGTGTAAGCGAAATCACAATTAAAACAACAAAAGAGAGGAGGCAAGAAAACAAAGAAGCTGCTGCTACGGACATGAAATTTGAGTAAGCGTCGAGTGGAAAAATGTGTTGCATACCCAAAAGGCGTGCACAAGTGAATGACCGAACAAAATCCACAAAAATTAGAAGTGTGCGAGCAGCGCAGCGAAAAACTTTAGTGCACCAAAAAGAACCAAAATGAAAATTAAGAAAAATGTCCACCTGAGCGAAAGGTGCGCTGTGTTTAAGCACATTTTGTTAAAATGTGATATTCTTGAAATACTACGAATATTTTTGATTTTTTTTTTGTTTTTATTTTTTTTAAATAAACTTTAATTATACTTTTATTATTTACAATAACTTAAATTAAACTTATAGAAAAAATACAAATACAAAAACTAGGACTTTAGTCTTATTTAATTATTTATTCCATTTAATTATTTATACTTTATATAAAGCTATTGGCAGTTGTGTTTTGAGATGTTAGTTTAAAAATATTGTATATTAACTTTATATTCTCAAAACATATATAACTTTTTGAAGATCATGCGTAGATAAGGTAAGGTTAAAATCAATTAAGCGGTTAATTTGAAAATAATCGCAGCATAGCATAGCATAGTTGCACTTGAAGGGAAAGCCATGAAAACTATGCTAATTGGTCTAAGCCAGTCTGTGTCTAACTATATCAGTATCAGCATTTGTGGTCCATTAAATATTTGTGGTTTTGATGAATCAATTGTCAGTTCGTTTGTTTATTTTAACTCTAGTTAATAACTAGTTAGTGTGCTGACAAAAACAACCCAAGTGGACTGGTTTAGAAAGCTAAACAATGTGGGCTGCTCGTTAAATTCTGTCAATTGTTTATTTCGCTATAAATAAATTGATAGAGAACTTACATATTATTATTCGTAAAATAAGCTGACAATAAAAGCCAGTATTATATGTGAGCGAGTATATGAAACGATGGTAATTTGTAGACTATAAAAGGATAGAACAAGGTTTTGATTTCCACTGCTTCTCTCCCCTAATGACGCCAGCACATAGTGATGCAAGAAATATTCATACAAGTATGCATATAGAGAGGCTCTGCCTACGGCGATTGTTGAAGTTTATTATTAAATGTTTTGCCTATTTAAAGCTAATTTATTACTCAATGTTGATTCTGTTTTCATTCATTGCACATTATACTCGTATATATATATATATATATTTATATGTATTCTATCTACGAATGCATTACAAACACAAATCCTTGCACATATTTACTCAGAATAGGGACTACAAATTTCCAAAAACTAAACTAACTCACAAAAGTGGTCGACACTTCCAACGCCTGACTATTTTCCTGCAAAGTGGTAACACACACACACACAGATACATAGAGAGGCACACAGACATAACCAATTAGCGCCTTTAATTAACACAACATTAAAACGTGGCAGCAGAAATGAGAGGACAAGAGTGTAAAAGTAAGCCAAGCATGAAATCAAAGCTGACAACAAAAGTCGCTGTGGGAACTTAAAGACGGCACCAAGTGACCGACCGACTGGGCGTGGGTTCGGGTCTGGGATAGGGCTTGGGGTAACCGGACTGGACCGGCAAAGTTTCGAAAGCTTATTGGCCATTTTGAAGCTCTCGGGCTCTAGAAAATAGCATTGTGCGAGTATATGGAAAAAATTGTGCTGCACGAGTGCAAAACTAATGAAATTTTGTTGCTCTAATTAGTGTCTATGGGCCGGCGTCTTCAACACTCTGAACAACAGCGTGAAATTAGCGCGGCACTATCAAGAGTAAGTACAACTACGAGTACCAGCGAGGTACGAATGCTTGCAAGTGGGGGGGAAGCTCTCCATCCCTCCCCACAACTTCACTCAAGTTCTGTAAATATATAGTTACGAAATTAATCAAAAAGTGCATGGCGGGGGAAACGAATAAAAAAAAGAGAAAACAAAAATAATGGAAGTAAGAGAACAAATATTTTCGGTTAATATAAAAGAATTTTGCGTTGGCGCAAAATGGAAACTGCCAAGTGGTAGTGGGGAGAGTGAGAGAAAAAGTGCAACAGCTTCGGCCCGAGGATTCTTTACAGTTGGTGTGTGTGTTCTGGTGGTGGGGGTTGTAGGTACTTGGGTTCCTAGGGGCTGGCTGGTGGCTGTTGGTTTGTTTGTTTGTTTGCGGCTGTTGAGCAAACTGTTTCCAGTAAAAGTGGCAAATGAAATAAGCAGATTGTTTGCACAAAAGTTTCAGGCGTTTGCTCAACGGGCGCTCTTCGGGGAACTTAAATTGCCGCGCAAAAATGTAAATAGTCTAGGCCTATAGTTTGAAGTAGCTGCGCAGTCTACTCTCATAATTGAAAATGTGATGGAAACACAATTAAAAAGGAAATAGTCGCTCGAATTAAGCGAAAAGTGCACTGAACTTATCTGACAGCTGCGCAAACACATACGCACGAGTTTCAGATGCTCTTTTGCCTTCACATTCTGCCATATCTGCTTTAACAGGCAATCCACCTTCTTTTTCAGTTCATACAGACACATATTGTTCGTGTCAGCCTCTGCTACTTATATAATTTTTATCTCAACTCCGTGCTAATGGCATTTTAATTTCAAGCGAGAAATTCTGAAGTCTTCCCATTCCTCTTCTTCTTATTCTTCAATGCCCGACAGTCGAGCAAAAAAAAAGGGAGATGGGAAAAATCTGTTGCCAGCATTGAGCCACAGACGGCCAAGGAGCGGCTTCTTAGCCGCAGGATATGCGCACAGACAGTAAAATTTCGCCGATAAAGAACTTTGCCAATGAAAATATGGTAGTTAAATAATAAAGGCCAAGTGAAGTGAAGAAAGGAGAAAATCTTTTTTATTCATTTGTCTTTGTGTGTCGCTTTTAATTAAGTGATTGAAGTTGCTTGCCAGAGGAAGCGGGAAAGGTGCAATCGCTTTATAATCGTACTTGCAATACGATTGCCTGAATCAATACGAGAATTATAAAAAACCATAGCTCTTAATGTGCAGAGTTTTACTTCGTCACTTTCTTAAATTAAATTTTCGATGAGAAAGTATTTGATATTTTAGCATTTACTGATCAATAAAAAGTTGTAGTAGCTTTAACAAAAAATTAGTCTGCTTTCAATTTTATTTGCTGCTTTTTCTTTAATTATTTTTTAAATAAATGTTTGAAGTGGTGCCTTAAGATGATGATAATTTTAAATTTTCATGTATTGCAATAAGAATAAGAAGAATAAGAATAAGAATAAGAAGAATAAGAAATTTATTTTCTCGGCATTATACAAGTACTATATGTGCTTAATGTAAATGTTTTTTTTGTTTTACTTTGCATTTGTTTTGCCTAGTTCGAGCTTTAAAGCGAAAGCATTTGAAAATATTTTGCAACTTTTTGGTGGATTTTCTGTTGTTGCATGTACAGCTCTCATTCACACAACTAGTATTTCCTTTTTTGTTGCTTGTGACCGTGCGCAAAAGTTGGTCCACCTAATGAGGTCTAGTTGCAAAAAGTTAACAGTTTAGTGCGCAATTTTCGGTGAAAATGAAACCGTTTGCGATGCAAAAGGCAGACAGACAAGACAGACAGACAGACAAACAAACTGGCTGCGAAAGTAGACCAGGAATTGCACAAAGTTGCCCAAAAATATATATGCAAAAGGATTGTGTTCATGAAGTATGAACGACGACGAGCGACGGACACAAACAGGAGTGCACACATTTTTGGCGTTGACAAGTTTTGTTGCCAAAATTTTATTCTGTTGCTACTACTCAACAGCTAGCACCAGTAGAATTAAATTTAATGCGATGTAATGCAGAGTCTGTGCTTCGGGCCAAGACTTTGCTGTTTAGTAACCATTTCGGCCCACAAAAGTAGGCAACACATTTTGTAACTAAACCGGCCACTTTTCTGCCTTTCATTCACAGCTCCAAGTTTGCAGAAGTAACAGCAACAATAGCCACCTAGCAACAGCAACAACAACAACAACAACAACAACAAAAACATCAACAGCTACTACAGCATCACGAGCTAGAAAATGCCAGGCGTTGTCTTTTTAATCGTCGTGCCAACGGCAAATTTTGAACGTGAACTTATTTACGGTAAGCATTTTAGGTCTATACACATTCACACAACAACAAAAGCAACAACAGAAACAAATTCAATTCATCGTCTATTAAAATGTGCGCCTAATTATATACAACCATAGAATTTGTTGCAATTTTAAGCCCCCCAGTTACTCTCAGCCTTTCTCCCTCTTTTTGTCTATCTGTCTGTCCATTTGTTTTTCCGCATTTTCGTGCTTGGCACACATCTAGGCCTTTTACATATCCGTGTTTGAACGTATATAGTGTATATTTATACATATGTAGCCATCATCTACACAGCGAGAATGTGGACTGAAATCAAATACTCAGCAAGAACTTTTAGCCCAACTGATTTAATAAAAAGAAAATAAATAAAATGTCAATACCTGTCGGTCAAAAGGATAACAGGAGGGCAAACAAATACCTTTTAGGACGTTGTACAATTTTCTTAAGGATGCTTTACATTGCTGAAGCGAAACATATCGTTATTGAAAATTGTACCTATTTTTACAGCATAATGTGGGCCCAAAAATAACAACAGCTATTCAAATTATTAATAATTTAATAATATTTATATTATTAATAATATTTAATTAGAACTTTGCAAAATTTTATTCTTTTCTCTCTGTATACATAAAGGTTCTATATAAGGTACTGGCTGAATCATTTTTACATAAACATGTCTTTTAAGTGAAAAGTGTACACTTTTTGTGTTTTTTGTGTAGCGATAATATAAAATAATCAGTGAAAAATCGTCAGTCTATATTTCTGCAATGTGCGTTAGCAAATTAAATATTTCATGTACAAGTATCTCAGAAAAAGGTTGAGTGAATATTTTCATTCTTACTTTCCCTACCATTTTAAATAAGTTAAATTATTTTAATTAGTTCAATGGACTTTTTAAAGTAAATATTTAGTTGGTGATGCTGCCTTCGTGTAAAAAAGCCTCAGAAAACCATTATGTTTATTATGTGTCTATCTATTTGGGTCAATATTTCTATACGAAATAAAGCTTCCCAGTGTTTACTGTGACCTCAGAGTTGATTCTTGATTTAACATTTTATAAAATTAATAATTATAATTCCTTTAAAAAGAATCACAGTTCTTTGTTTCTTTAACAATTTTTATCATTTATATTTATCTTAGTGTACATACTGAGAAAAAACCAAAGAAACAAACTAAACTAACTAAACTTGTATATTTTATATAATCATTTCTCATTAACCCCATGACCCTAACTGAAAACCAATCAGTAAACAACACTAACCTCATATTAATATGTTTTTTCATATGTTTTTTTTTAAATCCTCAAATTTACATACAAAATTAGTTATAGGCCCTGGAAGCCATTGCTAATACAACGGCTTCTGTCAATTTAAAGATTTTAATCTTAAGCTAGCATTACACATATATAAATAAATACAAATAATATAGTTTGTATAATCCGTTTTTCTTCCAGTGTATACATTTATAGGAATTTGTGTCTACCTGCATGACTATGTGTGTGTGTGTGTGAGCTTGCGCGCGCTTAACTGTGTAATTATGTTGTTTAGTGGCGTTATTAATTATTTTATGACATCGTAAAACTGTTTTTGCGCCTAAAAGCATGCCATGAATGTTGCATGAGCACATGTACACGTATACACACACGCATACACACACATGCATGCAATCTGTGGCTTGATGTTATTGTTGTTGTTATTTCTTTCGTCAGCCTTGTATTCAACTTTTTTTTGCGGTGCTTTTTTCGTGTATTTTATGTAACCAAAAGCTGGCAAATTGTGTGTGCGGCTGTTTAAAGAGCTTTTCGTTGGAAAATTTGCAAAAAAAAGGAGGAAAAAATAGAAGACAAACATACTCTGCTGTCTAAATATTGAATATTAAATTTTAATTAGCTGCAAAGAGTGAGTTTCTATGTGGAGGTAGAGGATGCAGGATGTGTGTTTGTGTGTGTGATGTTAAAATTGTGGGCTATGGCTATCAGCTTGTCGGCTCGTGCAGGAAATGGCGAAAAGGTAACGGGTCGAGCTTCTCCAGCGAGAGCAAAAGTTGTCATACTAACTAATGAAATTTGTCATTATTTAATTAATGCGAACAGTTAAGTGGAGTGGGGAGCCTCAACTGAGCCCAATTAGTCGGGATTAGGTGTGATTAAGGCGAGTCACTGAGAGTGAGGATGTGCTGGAGAGGATACAACATTTTAGGCGGAAGCTTTGTTATTAATTCAAAATATTTACATTTTCCCCAAAAAGGGATCATTCTACAGGTGAATTAAATTAAAAATTCGAGCTTAACGGGTGAAAAATTGTCATTGGGTGCTATTAATAGACTCGGTTCAATTAACTCGACTGCTGCTTACAAAATTGATAATAACTACTAAACATAAATTAGCACGGCTGGCATACAAGTATTGTCTTTAAAGTTTGAGTTGAGACTGGTTGGAGGAGTGCTAGTTTGAAGGATAGCAAAGAGGTCAATTATTATAGCTTGCTTACAAGTTAACTTTATATCTAAGACACATAATATGCCGTGGTAGACTTCCCCAAAGTATATAATCTTGATTTATCTGCTTTTGTCCATCGAGGCTTTTTTCTGTGCGAAGTAGAAAACAAAGGACTTAAACTTTGTTTTAATCTGGGCGCTTTAATTTTTTTCCATTTTCGGAAATGCTTATAGTTTGTCGAATATTTCTTGCAACAAGCATTACTGACATACAAGACTTTTTATACAGCATTTATTTTTATGTCTCAGCTTGAAAAAAATTAAGCGCAAGGCTATAATTTATCATAATCAAAGCCTCAAAAAAATGTGAGTGCAATAAAAACACATAAAATGCAATAACTTATGAAACAAAAAGAGAAAAAAAATAAAAGATATATACTCGTATAGAGCAGCTTATCGGCGTGCGCATGCCGATTATTAATCAAATATTTATTTAAATAGCGCCGAGAAACACACAAAAAAGGCAGCAACGAAAATAATCATTAATTTTGTTTGTCACCAAGGCAGCATGTTGAAGCCAAGGCTCTCGATAATAGCGGACTGTGGCAGCAAAATGAAGGCAAAATAAATGTTGTTCTAGTCAGCAAGCAGCATAAATAAATCACTTTCGCTTGCACAGAGCGGCCTTGACAACAAACAGCAGTGTAAAGTAGATACAACTTGTTTTTGGCCAAAAAGAGGATCCCATGCAATTGAAGCATCATCAGCATGCTGCGTGTGGCGTGATGGCGAGGTGAGGTGCGAGGCATAAATCACGGACCACAAGCTGAGAGTCATGTGTGCTTTCTAGCTATGGGAACGCAAACCAAACTGCTGTGGTATAGGACATGAGAACCTTTAAGAGAATTGAAATTACGTACATTGCCTTCCAACCGAATAGGTTCAATTAAATATAACGATTAATTTTTAATTATTCATTGTCTATTTATAAATTTGAAATTTCTAAAAAACTGATCCGCTTCGTTTGCATATACATATATCAGTTATAGCATATATATGTATATATCTGCATACTAATAAGCTTTACCAATTACAAAAACGATTAAATAATTTTTTGTTGTTTTAAATGTTATGCTGAGGCTTTTATAAAAAGTATGTTAACAATTGGTCAATCGAATTTTCCTTTAAAATAAAAGGTTCAAGGTAATTTTTAGTAATTAAGGATAAAATTTGTCTGCTTACAAATTTGAAATTTCTAAACAACTTATTCCGTTCGTTTGCATATATATGAGATCTAGCTTATATATATACAAGTACATATCTATATACTAATGAGCTTTACCAATTTAAATTTTTTGTTTTGTTTTGTTTTAAATGTTAGGCTTGTATAAAAATTATGTTTGCAATGGATAAATCGAATTTTTCTTTAAGATAATACATTTTGGAGCATTTTTAGTACAAAAGAATAAAAGTTAATTTCCTCTTTACGTTTCTATTTTAATTTTAGAAATATTAAATTAAAATTTATTTGGAAATGTCAATTAATTGTCAGGCATTGTCTTTTCTTTCAAATAGTTGCACTCTCAATATGTATTGACAAAGCGGTGCAATGTTGAACCTATTTAGTTGAGCTGCAGTGTATATGTATAGTTAAATATTATGGAAGGCAGGCAGTGGCAATTGAAGAGAGAACTCAAAGAACTTGCCAAGCTTGCTTTGGTACGTGCAACAAGAGTTGAATATGGCCAAAACAACACACACACACACACACACATACATACGCATAAGTGGGCTACTTGGTAACCTTTGCTGTGCGCCTTTCTCAAACCACACTTAAGCACATTTAAGCTTTCTTTTGGCATTTGTCAATGTACTGGGATTTATATAACATTTCGATGTCTGGCAGTCGGCAAACAAGCTCTTCACTCAGTTTTCTGCTATATATAGCATTATATAGACAGCTAGACATATGCTTGTTTAACCCGTGTCCGTGTCCATGTCCGCGTCTATTTCTATCTGCAAATGTCTGCCCATTATTTGTTTGCCGACATTTATAATGTTGTGATCCTTTTAATGTGGTTTCCAAGTGTGTTCTAGGCTTTAATTTCACTGTGGGCTGGACTTTTGTGTGTGTCTATGCGTGTTTGGCAAAAGCATTACATTTTCTATCAATCACTGTAAAGTACCTTAATTCGTGCATTACATTATTAATCTAATTTGTTTAATTTGCTGAGCGCCAGCCGTAAATAAGCCAACATTTTCACTAAAAATTAGCATGCAAGCAAATATTTATTAAATGCTTTATTGCTGATTGCCAAACAAATATTAATTTAAATTAAATGTTATTTGAAGAAGGACGTTGCTTTAACAAAGTGTATAATTTCAGTATTATATGAAATTAAAAAATGCTTTTTTAATTAATAGTTAATTAAAATTAAATACTATAAAATAATACAAATTCATAATTAAAATAAACGAAAAAAATTATTTAAAATAAATAAATAAATTAAAATAGGAAAAACTAAATTAAACAGCAAACATATCACGATTAATTAATATTAATAAATAAAAACTAAACAAATGGAAAACTAAAATGAAGCTAAACTTGTTTGAAATTAACAAATGAATAAACCATAAAATACATTTTTAAAATCCATCAATAAAGAGCGTTTAAGACAATTTTTAATAATTATGATTAGTTAATTATTAATATAAATAAATAAAAATTAAAATAGAAAAAACTGAATTAAACAGCACATATATTATGATCAATTAATGTTAAAAAATAAAATAATAAATAAATAAAAAGTAAAAATAAAAAATGAGAAACTAAAATAAAACTAAATGAAATTTCAAACAAAATTAATAACAAATGAATAAACCATAAAATAAATTTTGAAAATCCGTCAATTAAGAGCGTTTAGACAATTTTATAATGTTTATATATATTTTACATAAAATAGCTCGAATAAAAACAAAAAAGTTTTTATGGTTTAAGATAAACAAGGGCTTGTAGCTTTAAGTAAACACACTTTTAGTTTGCGGAACATATTTTATTTATTCATTTATTTAAGAGTAAATGAAAAGTGTTCCCAGTGTGTTACATTTTAGAGAATTGCTTTAGAAATTGTCGCTGCTTCTTTATTTACTTGCAGGCACTTCAAATAATGTGATAACCGAAGTAGTTGCCGGCACCGGCGCTGTTGGTCAGTCGCAGCCCCGGATGGGCATTGGTGGCACCGGAGGTGGCAATAATAATCTGAACATCAATCTTCCGGAAAATAACAACGCAGTACTACGACTCGAAGTTGAATTACGTGACAAGAATGTGCCCAAGTATCGACGGGGTGTGGGTGCTGGACGGGCAGGTGGCGGTGGTGCCGGCGCTGGCCCTGGACGTGGCGGGCCAGGTGGCGGCAGGCGAGGCGGCGGTGCTGGCGGCACAGCAGGTGCTGGAGGTGTTGGAGGTGTTGCCGGCACAACGGCCGTCTCACTGGACAAACGCAATTTGGTAGTGCCGCTGGAGAAGGTGAGTGGCGTTTGTCACGCCAAACGTATGGTATAATCCTGGCCCTGCTCCTTTCCCCCTCCCACGCCCAAAAAAACAAGCACCACTTCAGGTTGTTTGGTGCACTTAACAGCAACGAAACGTGACTCAAGCACTGGCCATACTTTTGTGTGAGCTTTGCGGCTGCTTGGCTTAATACTCGGTCTAAAATAGCCCACAAATTGTGTTAACTTAGTGAGTGTCATTTGATATTGATTAATGGCATGCCAGATGGAATTTAAAATGTACAATACGTATGACATCAACTGTTATGCTGTGGATATTAGAAATCGATAGCAATTCCTAATAAAACAGCGAATATTCGTTTACACATAAATTCTAGATATTTCATTTCTTGAATTGGCAGTCATCTGACAAAAAAGTATTCTACAAGTAGTTGCTATAAAACGTTGGTATACTTGTATTTTACTAAACTATAATATATATGTATCTCTCTTGTGCGTCAGATACTTGAAAAACAGAAAATCCACAAACAATTCCTGGTTTTCATACTGATAGGCTTTGTCGAATATATTTTCCTTCCTTCCCGCCGGATTTGCTAATGTGAGATGGTCTTTTAGCCATGCAACTATACTTAGCTAACTATTTGAGGTATGGGTTTGCTTTAAAATAGTTTGTTTATGGTTCGTCCATTTTTTCGAATGCTATAGTATTTAATAGCTCAGATCAATATGTTTAGTTATTGGTTAAACACGTTTACATATTGTAACACCCCCCATGAAGTGAAGACATGGCAGCACCACTTAAAATTTTGTAATAGAGTATTAGACAATTCACTATATATTTACTCACAAACCCAAATCCTGCAACTGCAAATATATTGCAATTCATGATTTGAAATGATATTCTGCATTCGTGTGCGCATAAACGCGGAAACAATTGATAGACAAATGAGAGTTGAATTCGGGCTATATATGTAGAAGCATCAGAGTTGAGGTGAAATGCTATTCTTTGAATGACGTGTGTGCGTTACCTTTCTGTGCTCTTTTCTATTTTTATAAGTGTCTGCCAACATAATTCATTTTATGGCGGCAGTCGTTCCTAATTGGGGTCTTCTATTTGACTTTCCACAATTATATTTTCTCTCAGCGCTAATTGGTGCCGATTTCGGCACTTGTCTAGGATATGTTCAACATGTTTGCTTGTTATGTAAGACGAGTATTTTGCTTGTGCAAGTGTAAAAAGTGCAATATTCCTGAGTTCTAATCAAATGGTTTTTCTTGGAATTTTCAATGAAGACTTCTCTTGAAATATTCAAGAGTTCCACTAATTGGAAGCTCTGGTTGAGGTGTGAATTGGAGAATTGTTGGATTTATTTATCAAATAATGATTTATCTTCTCTGCATAGCTTAAATAAATTGGCATATGCATTCAAAAACTTGGAACTCTTTTAGTGCTTAAATCGTTTAGTTTTGTAATTTTTTATTAGAGAAAATAAGCATTCAAATCTTCCCTTTTGATTATTACTTTTGCCGCATAAATATTTAAACTAATATTAATATTGTTAAGATTGTAAAGGATTGGAAAAGTTGAAATGATTTAGTTTCTACTCTAAGAACGCTCAATGCATCACAGAAATTTGTTCACAATGATGATACAAAAGCTAAATTTCAATAGAAATTGTCCAAATTTACATTCAACAATTATTCCATCAATTGATTTGATTTATATACTTTAGTTGGACCTAGCTTATAAGCAGATGCTATATGTATATATATAAAAAAAGAAGATTTAGCTTTTCCGACTAACTTAGCTAGACTAGATTTAGCAGTCGAGGCTCTTCAGCTGTTGCAGTTGAAGCGTCAAGAAAAGATAGTCGAATTATGCTGCAGTTGGCGACGCGAACGCGATTTTACTGCCAAAGAGTCCAAATCCTATAATCCTTTATCTGTACCCACAAAGAAATTAACATTTTACAAAGTATTTTTGCACCTAACTACGTATTCTCTGAAGGTACATATCTTTTTACTTGGAATTTTCATTTTTAATTTGTAGTTTACAAAAGTATTCAATTATTATTGCATGCCAAAATTAATTTCTCTTGCTCACAATATTCATATTTCACTTGAAGTGGTTGTTTGCTTAAAACGAGTTTTTGTCAAACGTTCAAATTGGCAAACAACAACAAAGGTTGAAGCTCAGGGCTCAGTTCAAGTGTAAAAGTTAACAACAATTTTTGGCTTACATTTCAGACATCAGTGCAGCGTTCGCTTTTGATGTGAATAGAATTTATTTGATGGAAAAGTGTGTAAAGTGTTTCTCAGCTAAATGCTAAATGCTGAGGTACTCTTTCATAATCCACTCCAGAAGCAGAAGGGCGTGCAGTCTGCATAGTTTCAACACTTTGTTAAGTTTCCCATTTTCGGCTGAAGAATGCTTTTATTTGTTTGTTGCTTTCTTATCGAGTTGGGTGTCGGTCTTTGCAGGTACTTGAAGAGTTACTTGTCAAGCTTGAAATCGAGCACGTTACTTGGACAACAAGTAAAAAAGGATATTTTCATCACGTCGTTTTTCCACTGCAAGCCGGCGAGCCCTGTGAGACAACATTACACTGTCTAACAGAGTTGGGCATTGGTACTAAATTGAATTCCAGTGTCAGGTAAGTTGAGACATTGAGCGAGCGCCAAACGGCTGGGCATTGGGGCGTGTGCAACGTGCCAGGAAAGTCAAGTAGTCTGTCCGTCCGTCCGTCCGTCCGTCCGGCAATCAAGTTTGCAGGCAGACTGCCTGTTCACAAACTGCAGACCCACTCAATGCCATGCAACAGCTGTTCGACGACAACGGCGACGTAGCTTTTAATAAAAAATGCAGCCAGGACTTAAGCCAAAGCTGCCGGCCAGTTGCTCGAACTTAGCGACTGCGGCTTGGCAACTTAGCCAGCAGGTGACCGACTGGGCAAGTTCATATTTTGATTGCGAGTAGGCGGAAATGGAAGTGAAAAATAAGAAAAGCAGAGCTACCAATACCTCCCCCGGGAATAGGTCTGGGAGTGCGTATTGATTTTGCCAGCAGAGCCCGGACGGTTCAAATTGCATATTGAACGCTATTGCAGTATTTAAGAGAATGGCACGTGAGTTGAGAATAAGAGGCAGCTAAACTAAAATTTGAATTCAGGCAGCTGGCACAGTTGACAGGACCTAAGAAACGATAGAGGGACGATGCACGGAATAGCTAAAAAGTGGAGTATAAGAGAAGAAAAGATACAGTTTTCTAAATAGTTCTAAATAGTGAAACAGTTTTTAAGAGAATATACAATTCCGTTTCTAAAAAAAGACTCATTTAATCAACAGAAACCAAGTCAGTACAGTTTACTCAGAAAAAGCAGTAAAGGTGAAAAAGCGATTCTTTATGAAGATACTAATGCCTAAAATAATTGAATACTGAAGTGATATTTTAATCAGAAAGAGAAGTTTGGTGAGTTTTAGTTTGAAATATTTTAAATTTTTAACTCCACTTTTATTGAAAAGGAATGAATTAAACTTTTTATGCATTATATTTTTAAATCAACATTTGAAAAGAGTTACATATCTTTGCCCCATTCAGCTATAATTTATCTATTTTTATTCAAAAGAAACCCATAACAAAGACTAAATATTTTCAAGTTTTCAAAAATACAAGACTGCATAAATGAATATATATTTCAAATATATATTACACCGTATTCTAAATTTAGTAAAGAAAAAACTAATGGTTTGTTGATGTAAAATTTGAACACTTATTAAAGTACACAACAAATTATCGATGTGTTCGAGGCACTTAATTGCTATTGCTTTAATAGTGTATCTTGAACAAATAACTACACTAACATCAATTTAAATTTGAAGTCTGTACTTGAAACTAAATTTAATTTCATTCGACAATTTAAAGTGCACAGATACGAGGCAACGAATCCCCTTTTCACCCATCCTAGGCTGATTGCCAAGCTCTTAAGCACAGTTGGGGTGGGGGGAGAGTAAATAAAGCTGCAGAACATTCAGAGGAAGAAACAATGAGCTGTGCTAAGTAGAAGTACACGATAAATTAAAGATGAGTTGGCAAAGACCAACAGCTACAGATACTAAAGGTGAACGAGATGGGGGAGGGGTTACAGGAACAAAAATACTGTTCTGTAAGTGAATAAGTGGGTGTGATAATCATTTAATGGCATTAAGCAAAGGAATTAAAGTGCAACAGAAGGTGTGGCCAGTTAGCCAGCAGCTGTAAAGGAAGCCGTTCTTTCAAGGGACAGCAACAAGACAGTGTAGCTCTGCATCTTGAGGGCAGAGATTGAGGCGGAAGCGGAAGCGAAAGGAGACTGACCTGTCACAAAGGACTTGGGCTGAGCAGAGCGTGTGTGCGAAAAGCAAACTGAGTGCAATTCAAGCTGTTTAATGAGAGAAAGAATTCAATTAAGTATCCTAGCCAGAGGCAGTTTTTATACCCTAGTAGGGCAAATGGGCATACCAGTTTAGTGCGAATGTATGTAACAGCTAGAATGCGGCCTGGCAGAAGATATATATTCTTGAACGGCAGGAGATCAGTCGAACTGCCCGTCAGCTTGTCCGCATGAACGCAAGGATTTCGGAGAGTACAAGAAATAGTATCCCCAAACTAAGTAAGCTTGTTTTTCAGGTCCGTTTAATGGCGAACATCCTTTATTTCCATCTAAAGAAGTAATCTTCGACATTTAATTCTTGTTAATTCGTTCTCGAATCAATTGTCTTCTTTTAGAACTTAGGAATACAGTATTATATAGTAATATACATATAGTATTTAGTTTTCTGTACTGTACAACTGTAAAGTATATTATATCTGACTATTTAATCTTTGTGGTTGTTGTCGTTCACAAATGCATTTTAAATAGCGTATTCACCTAGTTATAGGTTTTATTTGCAGTTAAGCCTAAGAAATTGTTTCTAAGCCTGATGCAGGGTATATAAAAGTCGAGCGCACGCTTCTCGTTTTTTTTTTCTTTAAAAGCTGTTGCATGCATGGAAGGACGGGTGCAAGAGCTTGGTTGGTTGGTTATGCAACACGCTTACATTCCTATGGCATTCAGGCAATGCTAAACACGGCAGTCATCTGTCAGTTTTCAGTTGTCGGCAGCCGAGCGAGTCATGTGTTTAACGAAAGCAACAAAGAATGCATGAGTTATTTGAAATACATGAATATCTCTCTCTCCGTCTCACTTTTGCACATTTTTTCTCTCAATCTTTCTCTCGCTCTCTTTCTCTTTCAACAGCGTGCTGCCTTGCAGCGTCAGTTATGATGCCATCACAGATGCCGCCAACATGCGGGATGACTACAGGTAAGTGCAGAAGTATGTGTATATATTAGTTTTCAGTGGTGTTTTTTTTTTTGTATGTACAAGTATATGGGTATTGTATTGCATCCCTGATCAGTGATTTTCGCAGTCACTAGAGGTAGACTCTCATCGACTCAACATAGATAGTAATTTGATAAAAAAGGGGAAAAAGGGCTGCGGAAATAAAAACAGTGTAACAGCTTTATTTTCTCGTGGGAAGAATGGAAGGAATAATTTCCTCTCAAGCGAATAATATTTAGGGCTGGCAGGAGAAGAATAAATGTAATTTAGAACCAAAAATTATTTTGTGATATTGCTATTTTCCAATATTAATAACACGACTTTCAATTCTATGAATAAATTAAATAGCTTTATAAAGTTATGAATTATGTTTAATAAAATCACTTTCTAAAAAAATGCAATATATAGATGGTCCAACACATCTACAGCACTTATCGAGCATGTGAGTCCAGCTTTAAAATTTATATTTATTTGAATTTATAGAATTCTAATAAATTTTTGTATCTTTTTACATTGACCCATTAATTCATACCTGAAAAGAATAAATACAAATTGCAAGTAGGGCTCATCGATCGATGATTTTTATGTGGTCGAGAATGTAATATTCAGTGACAAATCAGCTCGGAAGTTCTTATACCAAGACTAAAAGTTTTGTTTCCATCAAATTTTTTAAATCTTACAAGATTTTTATTGTGGACTTGGAATTGATATTACTTGGCAACTACAGTCCTAACTTCAAAAAAAAAAAAAAAAAAAAATATATATATATATATATATATATATATAACCTAACACCAAAATATGAATATGAATATATGAATATATATGAATATATATATATATATATATATATATATATATATATATATATATATATATATATATATATATATATATTCATATATATTCATATATTCATATTCATATTTTGGTGTTAGGTTAAATGGAATTTCTTCTTGAATTGCTATTGTTATAGGTTTTCAGAAGCACTGTCAATTTGATTTAGATTCGACGTAAATTGCAGATCGCCCTTTTTCGCTGAGTGTATGTGTGTGCATTGCATTCCATTGTATTGCATCGTGGCGTGCAAAAACCAAAAAACAGTTATGTATGGTTGTCGTTTGTTTTTTTCTTTCAAGTGGTTTTGTAAGGCAGCTAAGCGCCCCACTTCACTAGCTGCCTTGGGGCTTGTTGGCTTTTGTGTCGCTGTAACAGTCAACTCTCTAAAACTAATTTTAGCGCTTTTTACAAGCTACGTGTCAAAGCGATGTCAGTCATTTCATTAACTTTCACTCTCACTCGCAGACTCACTCTCACTCGCAGTATCACTTGCCAGTCAGCGGCCATTGTTTGTCTGTCTGTCTGTCCACAGGCAGTGTGACATTTGCTTTTGCCACGTCGCTTTTTATTGTCTTGTCTAGCCACAGACCGCAGTCCAACGCCCACACACACCCCTAACACCCCATTGTCCTGTCAAGTTTATTACTGCCTCAGAGTGATTGTCCTTAGCTGTGCATGTGTGTGTGTATATATATATATATATTAGGAAGCTGCCGAAATGTACATGCATATGCAAGGTCTGTCTATGACTATTCCTCCCATAAAGCGCTAGTTAAATGAATTTTTGAATGCTAGCTTTATGAGCACAATGGCAGCAGAATGTGTGGGTAGCAAAATATTTTATGCTGGACTGGACAATTAAGGCTGAAAAGATCATAACTACTCGTATGTACGAAATAATTGTAAGGTTAACCGAAATACTTAAGCATTAATTGCAGCCTCTGGGTAATTTGAGGAAACTTTAAAGGCAACTGACTGGTTTAAGGTATTTAATTTGAAGTTTTAAGAAACTCATTCGCAGACATTACAAATTAAGAAGTTGTAACAAAATAAAGGTAATATATATTTATAAACATAATAACTAAATACCTTAAAAAAAGAATTAAAGAAAAGTGCAGACGAACTTATTTGCCTCTGTCCACACACAGTAGTTAAGAAAAGTTAGCTAACATTACGTATACGTCACGATGGCGCACATTTTAGAGCACTGACATGAAGTGGTAGACCACAATTTAGATTGAAATATGCATTTCGCGCAATTGGTAGTAAGTAGTATGGGCCATTTGGAGCATGCTGCTGTAATTACAGTTAGAAGAGCAACCCAACCAGAGGCAACTGTGTAGAGAATAATTTTCACCTTCTGCTCTGCCCATTGAATGTTATGCGCGCTCGTTTATTTATTTACAGCGAGGATGCCGAGGACGAGTCCAAGTGGAACAATTTTGTGGAATCAATTAAATCGAAACTGACCGTCAAGCAGGTGGTGGACGGCGTGCGGGCGGGCGGATCGTTGTCCTTCGACTATTTGCTGCTAATTGTTACCGCCGAGTGAGTGTTCGTTGAGATATAAAAACAAATCGCCGTGCCCAGCAACAGCTGCAGGCCATTCAAAAGCAAACTGCTACCCAATAATGCGTATCTTTCCCCCCACTCTTTTCATTCCATTGTTCAGCTCCCTGGCAGCGCTGGGTCTGGTCGAGAACAACTCTCCGAATATTGTGGCGGCCATGTTGGTTTCGCCGCTTATGGGCCCCGTCATGTCGATTACATTTGGCGCAATTATTTCGGACAGAGAGCTAATGGTAAGAGTCTAGTCTATATGGTATAAGTATTTGGCCGCAACAAATATCGCAAATCCACATGCACTCATGCTCCCAAACTGTTTTCCAACACTGCCGCAAGCCCGTTAAATGGAATTGTCAACACTTTGAGCGAAGTTGCACTTTTTTGACTGATTTATGAGCAAATGACATATGGAAAATAATAAAAATGCACTGAAATTGCTCTGTGCATTGTCCCCAACCCAGCCTCCTCTTCCATCTGTGTCACTGTCTCTGACTCTGACTCTGTCAAAACTCACACAAAGCTGGACAAAAAAAAAATACAAAAATATATATATGACAAGAGTCGAGAGTGTCAAATGGTTGGTGGTCCTGTGGTTCGTTGACTGCTGGGGGTGATGAAAAATGTCTGCTGACAGCTTTTGTGTTTCAACATTTATCATCGCTATTGTGGTAAATGGCAATGTTGCTAAATTGTTTATTGACAAGAATATTTGACTCGCACTTTATACAGTCATCCATGCGTGGGGAGAATTGTTTATAGAAAAGAAAATGTCTACAGCAAATAAGTATTTAAAAGCTCTTCAAATATTGTTTTGTAATAATTGCAGCAACTTTTCAAAGGTCATGGACATTTTGGAAAAAACCAATAAAATTGTTATATTACAAATAAAGTTATGAGAGAAAGTATTTATAGATTGCAAATACGTGTATTTAGCTACATTTAGAATATTGTTTTGCAACAATTACGGAAACTTTTTAATAGCCATTAAATGAAATTCTTGGGGAAAATTCATTCACCTTTATAGAGTACTAATACTTTTCGAGTATTGTTTTGCAATAATTTCATTTAATGGAATTCTAGGAAAAAAGTATTTACATTGTTCCATTCCGCTTAATTGTAACATTACTGCAGAAATTATTCGAGGAAGTATTTAGAGAGTAGCAATAGTCTTTAAATTAATATTCTTTTGCAATTGAATGAAATTTGTAGCAAAAGCATTTATACTGTCTCATTCCAATTCATTGAATCCTTACTGAATCAATTATTTCCTATTGAGTGGAATTGCAACACATTGAAAATTGAAAGGAACACTTTTTTAGGGTGCATTTGTATGAGTGCTTCGAAGACATTTGCTAAAAAGTTATCAAAAAGAATTAAATGTGCGTATTTAAGAAACTACACAACACAAAAGAGCTCTAATGTTAAAGTGTACTGGGAAAAATTTGCAAATAAATTTGTATTCCTATACGTGAAAAGTAAAGTTTTCTTTAGGTCGGCATTAGAACATTGTTCGGAGATTTTTTTATAATGTTAAAATTAATATATTACTTTTTTATTAATATGTATTTACATATAACTTTTTATCATTTTTTAATTTCGAGTTTGTCTACAAGTCCATTTTCTAAAGTCCTTCACCCGTTCCACTTTCCATTCCAGTTTTTTCAAAAAATATCTATTATTATTCAATTTGTTTTGTGCATCTTATTGCAAAATGTTTATGCTATAGTAGTGCGATTCAAATCCAATCTTGCACTAGCTTTGATTGTCAACAAATGCCCGTTTCATATCTGCTTTTTTCAATTTAAATGTTGCCATTGCTGTAGGATATAATAGTTAAATGTTGATCAAAATCTAGTATATGTTGAAATATTATATAGAAGCAACACAAAAATATTTGCATTGTAATAGCCTTAGAAGGCAAGATTGTCAAAAGATTCCAATAATTAATTGAGCTAATTACGCTATTAATTAATTAATTATTGTGCCTTTCTTGAAACTTTAAAAAGTTGTGTGCAAATTATGTGTCACTCAGATTTAAATATCTTTAAAGTTCGTAAATTATTCACACACCTCTGCTTAGTTAAAGCATATAAATCTCCCAAGCTTGAAAGCGATTCGAGTACCCATACCGATCAGTACCTTTTGCTGTAATATTTAGCCATCTATATATAGCAGCCCCTGAAAGTTGCAAAAAGTGCCAACTAAGCTCCTTAAAATTTAGGAAAGCCCCACTTTTGGCATTATCAAATAAAATGATAAGCCAAAATAAAACTCAACTTCAGATGCGATGTTGTTGACGCCGTCAAAAGTGCCATAATTGTCAACAGCAACAACAACAACAACACCGTCAAGTAGAAGGGACCTTCAATTATAAAAGAACACTTGGCGCCGCGTCAAAGATAAGACTTGGTTCCACTTCTATTTCTTTCTCCAAAGCATTTTCCGCAGAAGCGGCTTTAAGATTGAAGAAGACTGAGTGTGTAAGCCAAAGTAAATAAAAGCTGTCAAAAAGATGAAATAAAGCAAACATTTTTCGCAACCACCCAGTTCTAATGAGTGAGAGGAGCATGCAGACAGCCTATGGGCTGTGTGTATAAGTTTGGTGGTAGTGGGTGGGCGAGTGGTGTTAAGGGGGAGACCGGTGGAAGTGCCGCCTGGGGGCATGCCTTACTGCCTGTTTGCTGACACAATTTTACAGACGGCACGGCATTTACATAGACACACATAATATGTAGGTATGTGTTAATGTTTGTGTATGGTGTAGAGGCATAGCGGTATAGAGGTGTCTTGACTGCTATTTGACATTTGTGTCATCGTCTACTTCAATTAAATTTTAATTGAAATGAAAATATACTTTTTGGTCGCTTCACTCCATTTTCGTGAAGTAGCTCGAGTTTTTTCTGTACGCCAACAGGGTGTGTCATGCATATAAGAATATACAATTCTTAAAAAGCAAAACAGAGCCAGAAAAGTGTGCCCGTTTTCAAGTGAAAAGCAATTACAGTGTTTCATTTGGTTTCGGGATGCTTCTAGCATTGAATGGAAATAAAACACAATTAAAATTCAGAGTATTTCAGTTTAATTTTAAATTAAATGTGGTCGGGCCATCCGCTTTGATAAGCCATGGCAAGCGGAACATTAAACTTGATTTTGTTTTAACGAAAATATCAGTTCACAGCAACTACCAATGCCAGCCAAGTATTTTGAAAATTTGCCGAACAATTTTTTAGAAATTAGGACAAAAGGCCAATTTAAAATATTTTATAATAACATGAACGCAAACGCGTCTTCTGTGTGTGTGTGTGTGTAAGGTTTATATATGAATTTATAGGCGGACGGTCTAAAAATAATGTCAACAAGCAAAAATAACGACGAAACTAAAATCATTTAAATTTGTTGGCTGACGAAAAATTCCAAAAATAAGTATATGAGAAAAATATTTGCCTTCCCTGTTATGTCTACCGATTGGCAGAATTTGTGGACAAAGGATGGAATGCATGTACAGTGTGTACAGTGTATACATATTACGTATACGCAACATGGGTTTTAAAATGCAAATACTTTTACGTCGTTTCCAAATTATTTGTGAAAGTACTGGAATTATTTTTTGAGAAAGAAAAGCTGCCTTTTAAGCCTATGTGCCTTTTTTGTTGGTCTTTTCCAGCTGTTAGACTTCACAAATTCATCATTTCGAGCGTGGAAATATTCAAAATATGTTGAAAGACTGCATACCAATAATACCTTTTAAGCATACCAAATTGGAAGTGCGGTAAAATGGAAAGATTTATTTGCAATGAAGAGAATTTTTCACATTGCTGAAAAAATACCCAAATAGACAGTTTGCACAAAATGTTGACTTTAGGATTGCACGAAAAACTGATAAAATTGATTTAAAAACGTAATAAAAAACATTTTCTTTACATTTGTATGGCAATGATTTAATTTATTAAATCATTTCTATTAACATTTCTATTGATGTGCTCAGAATATAATGCTTAACTCAACCGATAATCATTATTTTTGAGCACAAATAATGATTATTCGAGTAATATTTGTTGCTTACAAATAAAACTCAAGCTGCATTTTCTCTTTATGGACAAATTTTTTTAAGAATATATAAAGGATCGTCTCTTATATCAGAGAGATAATTAGCTTAGAATTTCAATTAAAATGTATATTTTTTTTATTAAACTTGCGTGTAGTAATTCTAAACCTACTTACTTACATATATATAACAAAAATCTGTAATGGGTTTGTTTACGAAAATGGCATATTACGCAACCAATTACATTGAAAGCATTTTTGTACTTGAAAATATATGTATATGGCTTAATAACTATTACTACTCGTAAACTTCCTTTCATATTACGTATACGCGATGTGGCAATGTTGTCAATTGCTATCAAATGTGCAAAAGTTGAAACATATTTACCTGCTTGACAAGAAATTAACACAAAAGCTTAATTCCATTTAGTCGCCTGCTTAGTGACTGCTGCCAAGCAAGTGGCGCAAGCATTTTAAACAGCGCATTTCACTTTGCAACTTTTTAACTAAATTCAACAATTGTGCGCTTGTTAAACGCCAGACGACGACGACGACTACGACGTTGCAGTCTTAGCACCTCCCCCTATCCAGCCGCAATCCTTTTTGTATGCGTGCTGTGAGCGCAGTTGCAAAAGAAGCGTTCAACTACTTGCTAGAGAGTGTGTCTGAACTCGCAACGTTTTCGTGACGATGACGATGGCGGCGGCGGCGGCGGCAGCGGCAACGACCGGCAATGGAATGTTGTTGTCGTTGGAGAGGAGGGCGACATCATGTGGCTGACATTAGAACATTTTTCTTTGTGAGGGTTGCCAGCGAACAGCCAACAAACGCAACAAAAACAACAACAACAACGATTCTGCATGCTTGCAGTATTTGGGTTAACATGTCACGCACCCACTCGCTTTATTTTTTGTGCGCTTCAAAGTATGCAACATTATAGTTTAAAGTGTCACTGACTTGTGCGTCAGTTGGCGTTTAACAAGTCGCTCCCACACACTCACACGCTCACTCACCAACTCGCCAGCCCCCCAACTCCCTTTCTACACTTGCCGCTAACCAGAGCTGGCAACTCTTGAGTATCGGAAAAAACTAGATCAAGAGTTGAAAAAAGCTCAAAATAGTAGCTACAGAAATTAAGTTACTCGCAAAAGGCTCATTTCTCATTAAAACTCTTTGTTTGCGTTGGTGTAAAGGCCAATAGCCATCTTTATATTTTAAACAAAAGAAGACCAACCACAGGATATTGGCATGTTTAAATTACATCCATTTTTAAATTACATCATAATCTTCAAGCATATTCTACAGTAATTCGAAAATAATGTAAATAATTTGATTTTTTTTTTATATATAGTAGTTATATACAGGGTGCGCCATCTTTTATGTCGGTATGTAAATATTGAATAACTTTGTCATTAGTAAACCGATTGAACCGAAAAATTAGTCTGAAGAAATTGTACAGAACCAAATTAAATAAAAATATCTCATACTTGAAAATCGGTTGTTTATTTTCAAAGATATTCAATGTTTACATACCGACATAAAAGATGGCGCACCCTGTAGATTTAAGTGCAACCTTATAGATATATCCTATGGACAATCCTTGTATTCCCCTTTAATGTACAACTAGCTTAATCAGCTACCACATTAGATAGCAGTACTCCTCTTAATAATATATATTTTAAATTTTTAATAAAAACAAAGAAGCTCCTTTTATTCTGCATGAATCTTGCCAGTTGCAATTTCTGCTATTTTCCTTGCAATCTGTAATAAGAAAAAGTCTAGAACAGCCGAAAAATGGCTAATACAAGTATGGTAGCATCGGCGCTAACGGAACAGCTCAGCAACCAACTCGTACTCATTCTCTCTCTTTTTTTCTCTTTTTTTCTCTTTTTTTCATTCTCCTCTGGCCTACTCTACTGCAGCGCGTTGGCTTTATAAGTCTGGCTCTGGGTATGTTCATCTCCTGTCTGTTTGGTTTCATTTTCGGTCTAATTTTGGGCACCACGGAAATGCCTTGGGGTCAGAATGCCGATTGGCCCACGGAGGAGATGCGAGGCAGGTGAGTAAATGGCTCGAAATTGCTGTTCAATCAATGCCGCATAGATTAGAAAAATTCGTCACGTTCTAAATGTGAATTACTCGTATGTCTAATCAAGTGCTAATCACATATTCCAGATACACTCAATTGTTTGCAAATGAATTTCCATGTAATTGAATCGTTTTGAGTTTCAATTGTTTGCTCGTGCGCGTGCCTTTTCATTTAGAGCTTTTTGTGTACCAAACTACCTACCTGTTAGGTTACTTTGATTGCATTTAATTAAATGGCGTTCTTGATTTCAATTTCATGTTAATTTCGTTGTTATTGTTGTTGACTGCCCGTCTTTGAAATGCAGTAACCACGCGCCACCTTCAAAATAATGCAATAAGCAAAGCAAAGCAATGCCATTCATACGAAATATGGCGTAAGGCATTTTTCCAACTCACAATCATCAAAATCAAATGAAATATGAACTCGGAACTCAATTCGGCTTTGTTGGCAAGGCTTTGTTCCCGTTACTGATAGGTGGGGGGTACGTAGTAGGAGCTTTGAAAATAATAATGCTATTTTTTTTTCATTCTGCTTTTTTTTGGTTCGCTGGTTCCGCTGACAATACATTTTCATTACTTCTTACAATTCTAGAAATTAAATTGTTCCCCACAACTGGAAAACAATAGGCACCTCAAAGAAATCGTTTAGATGAAATGCCATTGAATTATTGTAACTAGGAAATACGTATATCTGCAACAGTAATTACATGAATAAAATATTTGAGTTGCTGTAACTCTTACAAATGCTTTTCAGATGCAATTGTAATGCGATGAAATTTCAGTATAAAGCAACCAGTTATTTGTAACTAGCAAAGTACCTTTTGAATGGGTTTCTACACTAAATCTAATAATATTTACTGAAATTATTAGTTCACTTATTAAAATATTAACTGTGATGGAATAATTTCGTCATTGCCTTGGTGGATCTTTCAGGCTTTTAATAAGCTGGTGTTTCTTAAATATCAAGAAAGTGCAATTATAAATGCCATTGTATATATTGATATACTTTTTCCCACTCAAGTTTGAAGACAACTTAAATTTTTTATTTTTAAATAAATCTTAGTCTTTGTTAGGAAAGAAAAGAGATTTTGTGTTTAATTTCACGCATTTTTTAAGCTTACGATACGCAGCAGAGTGAAGCGAATTTCGAAAGAGCCGTAATACACTTACGGTTCTCTCAAATACTCCACTTTACTGTCAAGCGAGAAAAAGCCAAGCTATCATCTAATTGCCTGCCAGCTAGGCTTAGACTTCGACAAAATCAAAATCCATTAAGTGCGTTAATTACGCGCATATCGTGGAAGAGCGTCGCGACGCCTCGAACTTCAGGCACTTCGCAACTTAAAGGCTGTTGAAAATCTATGGGCGAAAAAGTAACAAATTACTTGCAAATAATTCAACTAATCTGAGTTGTCGTGCAATGTGAGTTAAGCATCGGTCCTCCGGCCCCTGTCTTTTGGGCTTACCTACTTGAGTGTCTATATATGAGCTCACATTTATTACGGCTTCGTTTTTGCGCCTCTCTCCTCCCTTCTCTTTCTCTCTCTCTGTCTCTCCCTCTCTCAGGCAACACAAAGCGCACATCTTTGAGTTGCCACGCGCCGCAGACGTAAATCTCTCACACCATTCACCGACTGTGGCAGCAACAGCAGCAGCAGCAGCAGTGATGGGAAAATAGGCTTAGGCTCACGCACACTCGCACTCGCACTTTCCCTCTCACGCCCACACGCCCACATGGCCATGCAACAACAGCAGCAACAATAAATTAAGCTCAGCCACAGCTCGCCGGAAGTTGTGTGAAATGAATGTGCGTCGGCAATTGTGTTAATTGCACAAAATAAATTGTTAAAATAATAATACGCATTGTGGGAGCATGAGCTGAGCACAACGAACGATCTACCAGCTAAGACTATGAGTATTTGGCCCAAAAGATACAGTGAGAACAGCCTAAGCTGACTCCACAGTTGACCAACACATTGTGCCAATTTATATACAACTTTTTCTGAGTTCAGATCTCGCTCTTATTATCTCTGCAATGCAAATACGTTTTTGATGCTTTTATGCTTCAATCTCATATTTTTAAGCTCTCCATCTACGTTTGGAAGCTTTTTATTCCACTAAACGATATTACAATGTTTGAAGATAGTTAACTAGCCAGAGGCTACTGTATAAATCGGAGCTTCTATATACACAGTTAAAATAAAGAGAGACCAGTCTTAAGAAACTGAATTTTAGATTAATAGATATGGAAGCATTTCTTTTAAATAGCAAATATTTTTGCACTACTTCATAAATGGGAGCTTTGTAGAAAACAAATCATAAACGACTAATATAATTTAATTTAATTTAATTTAAATTTAGAATAAATTTTTTGGAAGAAAGCATGTTCAAATCGTTATTGTTTGTTACACAATTACCATTTTTTCACATTGGAATCCAAAACATAAAAACTTATATTGATACGTTTTCGCTAATAGTCTGTCTTAAGAATTAAAGCATTAATTTGAATTACTTAATACTAATATTAATAATTCCAATAATATGCAGCCTCCAACATTTCGATGGTAGTTGGACTAGCAAGTAATTTTTTTTTTAAACTGATTTGTAATAACTTTTTCATGACGAGAGCTTTGAAAACGTACCAGGGGCAGTTTATAGTATATTAAGAAACCAGCTGTTTGAAGAATGCTTCTAAGACTCTGAAGAATGATTTTTTGTTTTAAATTCAAAAGTAAAGCTAAGCTTTAATTCTAAACCTACTGCGAGTTGTTAGTTTTTTCTTGAGCTACATCTTTTTTCTGAGTGCATAAATGTTTATATGTACATGGAGTATATAATTAAGTGGCTTTGTCTTGTGCATTATTGTTTCGCAAGCAACTGTGTCTGTCGCTCTTCGTGAGTGTTGGTCCTGGGCTTGGGCATGGGCTTGGGTCTGAGGCTGGGCCTCGGTCGATGGCTCGTGCACACAATGGTCAAACATACAAATCATCAACATAATAATAATAATGAAAGCCGCTTCTATAGCGCTGATTGCGCGCCTAGTCGCTTGTCTCTGTCCCTCTGTCTGTGCGTACGTGTGTTTGTAATGGCCTCCACTGCGGCAATTGGCATTTGGAACCATAGGGAAGCTCTACCTCTCTACCTCAATCTCACGGCCATTGTGTGCACGTAATTGTGTCACGTGGCCTGTGAAAATAGCGTCAAAGCGTCGCAGCTCGTTGGGCTGACTCTGACTCTGCCACTGGTTTTGGCTTATATGGATTTGGACAGGGACTGATAATGGAATTTGCAAAGGCCATAAAAATGTGGAGCATGGGTCGAAAGAAAGGGACAGATTAGCGGATTGAACGAGATAGGGAAGCAACGCTTGAATTTAACTGACTTCCAACGTCTCTTTGCTAAATATTCTGCAGATAAATGGGCCAGCAAACCGAACCTTGGAATTACCAAAATAAAACGATCAGTATGCGGGCATACTAAATTCAAAGTTGGACATGAAGCGAGCAGACAGAAAGCGAGTAAAGCGACTAAAGGTGTGGTCCAGACATGGAAAGAATTTGCATAGCAGCCGAATACATTTTAGAAAGTCTTTAAAACGAACTGCTTTTATTCCTGTAAGGCAATTGTACTGTTTTAATTATTGCGATTTATTTTTATACTAATCTAAGGGCACTTTAACAAAAAATGCAGAAATATCCCTCTACGCTATAACAGAATTATCCCTGTTATTATTTTAACTAAATTGAAATCAAATTAAGAACATGAAATGCATTTTAATGTTTCTTATTTTATAAATAATCTGTTTTAAAATTTATTCTCTGTCTATTTTTATAATAATTTTCAATTTTATTTATTAAACAAGTATGTTCAGCAAAAAGTAGTTAGATTTTATATTTTTTCAAAACATTTAATTGCTTGCTTCGCATGAAATGAATGAAACGATAAAATAAAATCCCATTTGAAAATATAGCATAGCATATAGTCCTCAAAAAAGTAGAAACTTTTCAAATGTAACATTTTCCAACCATCAGATACATTTGTAAGCCAGCGCTAAACAAAATTAAATTTATGCTACTTTACAACATGGGCGTGGCAGACAGACACAGAGAGGGGGGAGGTGACCACGCCCACCTACGCCAGCACAGCGTGTCACATGCAAATTAACAAAAATAATCACAGCAAGTGGAGGCTGCGGCATTGGGCGTGTCCGACTGCATTTCTAGCTGGCTGGATGGCTGGCTGCAGTCTCTGAACGTTAGTTGGTTTGTTTAAGTGGCTGACTACCTAGTATATATGTGTGTGTGTGTGTGTGTGTGTGTCTATGTGTCTGTGTGTGTGTGCATGTTTTTGTTAGGTGCGGGGCATGCATATTTCATGGCTGGTGTTCTGCGTGTGAATATTACATTTTAAAGCGAACAAAATTGCGTTGCTCGGCACTTAAACTGCAATTGAAGCGACCGCAGCTGTTTTAGGTTTTGGGCGCAGTGGTGGCCTTTGTTTATGTTGATTTCAGTTATTCAGATATGTGCGAAAACATATTAATTTTGTATTCAGCACACTAGAGAACATGGCAAACAATAACATTAGCTAAAAATTTCGTGTTTTATCTAGCGAGCGAACAGATGAAATGTTCAATCAATAATTAAGCGAATTTACTGCATAAACCTTTTGCTATGCATCTGATGTATAGCCGTTTTATTGAAAATTCATTGGAGATGGGGTATGGAAATTTTCAGCTAGATTAAATAAAGCTGTTGTTCCAAAAAAAAGAGCAAGCTTTACTAAAAGCTAATTATTGTTATGAGAGTAAGCATGTTTACAGCATATTTTCTGCTCGATACGTTGAGCGCTTGAATCAGGCAGACGGAGCTATTGAACGAATACAGGCGGACCAGAGATATAACAGCTTTAAAAGCGTCTTAGTTACTGTTTAAAATAAAAGTTTTCTAGCAGTGTTTGGTGTAAGCTCTAAAGAATTTGTTGTCTGCGTCAATAAACCCATACCGGTCACTTGCAATTTTAAAGTTCTTAATTAAAATATACTTGTAGTTATTTGAAACGATAAACGCTTGCCTCGTCTGTTGGATGGCTTCTTTGCAGGCCATTGGTGGCTACAACTGCTTTGTCAAACACAGATTTGAATAAAGTTTATTGGTAAATACGTACATACAGCTCTAAGTATTCTTATAACATCCTAAACTCCAAGTTAAAGCTAAGCTGGCATGTGCAATGTTTGCATTGAACTCATTTTATTAAGTGCAAGTAGATATGGGTGTACGAACTTAGAAGCACTTTTAATTAGAAAAAAGTGCTGCCTTAGCAGTTAAAAAATATTGAATAATTGCAGCCAGCTGTGTCCTTTTCGCGTAGATAAAACATTCCATGATTATGTGGCTGCTTAGCTTAAAACAATACTCTTCAGCTAAGTACTGTTTATACTTGTATATTTGAAATCAACTTAGTCACACTTCTCTTTTCCATAACCAAGCCAAGTTTCTGGTCAAGTGTTTATTAAGTGTGTCACATAAATGGCGTACAATGTTATTTTTCTCAGCTTACTAAATACGCATTATCTTTACAGCTTTAAGTGTAACTTGAATACATTTTGCTCTAATCAACTGTCAGAATGAAATATAGAAATGCGAAAGCAAATGTTGTTGATCGACAGTATTCATTCATCAAGCATTTGATTCTCATCTCATATTCAACAGAAAGCTTTGCTTAACTTTTTTGAAAACATAATTGAGCGTAAATTGGCAGCCGTAATGAAGTTGTAGGGCGCATATAAAATGTAAAGTACTTAATTCTGTTTGACAGTCGCGGCAGAAATCACGACTACGCACACCTAGCCATTTACATCCCCTCCCTTTCCATGCACCGCAGACAGGACCTGGCGCCATTAATCACGTAAAGTTACTTCAAGTTGCAAAGTGAGAGGAAAAAAATGAATGAATGTTGAAAAATCTGAAAATTTCCATGTAGGCACAAATGAGGCGCATGAATCAAAAAAATAAAATAAAGGGAAAGAATGTTGTGGGACGAAGTAGAAAGCGGCTCGTGAAAAGTTTACAAACATTATTCACATAGAAATGACTTGCGAGCCAAAACCAAATACCGGCGACATTGTGGCGGAAATGATAACAAAAGCCGCTGACACTTGACAAAGTTGCAAGGCGAGAAGTACAAAAAAAAAAAAAAAAAAAAAAAAAAAAAAAAATGGCCGCAAAAAGGTGGAAGTGAAGCACCACCTGGCGGGCGAGCGACAGCCATGCTGACAGGCAGGCAGACAGACAGACAGGTTGGGCAGATAAGCGACCGCCAAACTCGACGGTGGCAGAGGCAGCGACGTCACAGCCAGCTGCGACTTCATTTGCAGAAACGCGGTCAGCGCCCACAATACCGAGCACCGCCACCTCACCTGTCACTCTCTCGCTCTCCCCTTCTCGCCGCCCCCTTCTCTCTCTTTCAGCTTGTCATTCTTTATCATTTTTTTGGGCGGCTTTTAATTAATTTTTAGCATTTTACACTTTGCTTTTCATAAATTTTTCAAACTCCTCTCATACCACTCTTTTTTATATTTTTTAGGGGTAACGTACGCGCCTTATGGATGGGTGTGCTTTGGGCTCTCACATCTGGCACTGGCGTTGCGGTGGCTTTGCTGCAAGGATCGGCAGGCCCGCTGATTGGCGTTGCCATATCGGCCTCGCTGTTGCCACCCGTTGTGAATTGTGTGAGTATTGAAGTGTGCAGCAAAACAAGCATAATAAGCTAACAATTCCCTGTAATTGGTAAGCCGATACTACAAAACATACTATATAGTATATAAGTATACACACACACACACACACACACACACACTTGTAAACACATGCAACGAGAGGAAAATAGGAAATTTGTTGACAATGTATGCTGCTTATTGTTTTGGTTATTTGTGTAACGGCTTTTGCATATTACGCAATAAATATTGCACGACCTTGAACAATGCTTACGATACGATAACATGGCATCGTCAATTTAATTTTGTTGCGCAAAAACAATTTTAACGACATGTTAAAAAGCACTTCAAGGCTAAGTCAGGCAGGCAGGCACTGGAGGCAGTAAAGCGCACAAGCAATTTGTGTCAGCAGCTCTCAATATGTTTAACAAGCAAACAAAATTTAAAAAAATCAATTCAATTATATAAAATCAATCATTGGCTGGCGCGTGAAATGTTGGTGGAGTATTTCAACAATTCTTCTCTAAGGAAGGCACTTCGATTTGGTCAGACAATCTATGCAAATTATGCAAAGGATTGAGTCCATTACAGTTTCGAATATATATTGTACTCGCTTATCAATTTAAGCTGACTTTTGACTGTTCTACTATACAATTTGATTAAAAGCATATTTCCATATGACATTAGAAGCTAGCTTCATTTTTTGAGTAGTGAGTCATCCTTCATACCCCAATAGCTCAGAAAGACCTTCACCATTAACTTATCTGCCACGTCTACACGTCTATCTGTCCCCCACTTTTAACAGCTTCAATAGCTTACAACCCACACACAATTAAAAATATTTCACATTCTAGACTAATGCCCCTATCCGTAGATTTCCATAAGTCTGTATAAAGATAATCACAATCGTCATAAAAGAGTTTCATTTTGAAAGTTAGAAGCTATTAACAAATGCAGACCATTTTTCTAATAATTTGATTCGCTTTCAAAAGCCAAAGTACAGTTTTCCAATACTAGAAAATTAAAAAAAGTAGTAAACTTATGGGAAAATAAAGTTTTGACACTAAAAAATTCTGCTGTTCTAAGACGATTTATTTCAGTATACAGACACAATTATTAAAGTATTTTAAGCACTCCACACCATCAATTTATCATTCTGAAAAGTTGGTTACAAGTTTAAAGTTGCAATATGCAGCTAAAGAAAACATAACCTCCTCAAGTAATATTACAATTTTTGACCAGTCTTTCTAATGTCTGTCCAACGTTTATTTTAAAAGCTTCGCTAGCTTTGGCAAATATTTGCCAATACTTTGCAAGCCACTCGAGCTGACAGACTTATGAGCATCATGACAAAGTAAACAATAAAAGTTGAGCTGTCGAGATTCATAAAGTGTGTGCCGTTTGGCTAAAAAATTCGTTGCAATGGAGAGGGAAATTTCTGCTTGCAGTGCTTTCCCTTTAGATGGATGAATATATTTTTCTGCTTTGCGGAGCTGGGAGAATGAATTTCACATAAATTAGGCGAAAAATACAATTTGCTGATTAATCTGAAGTGCATGGCCCAAAAAGTTTTGCCCATAAATCTGTCCGGGGCCCGAGTTGCAGCAACTTAGCCCAGCTGTTTGCCTACTTTGTGGCAAGGCGACCGCAACGAGTGCATAAATTTCGACCCAATTTTCAAGTGCAAATTGTGCCCAGAACTGTGCCTCGTCGGAATCGGAATCGTCGTCTACGTCGTCGTCGTCGCCTGTAAACGGATGTTGCGTAAAATTATAAAGCGAGGGAAATGCATGTACGGAAAATGCATGCGAAAACTTCCCAGAGAGGCAAACAAACTCCCAACGACGACGACGACAACGACGACTACCATGCCGGCTGACATTTATCAAAGTTGACAGTTACAGACAAAAGAGCACAAGGCTGCAAAGGCGTAGCAAGCGCGGTTCTTGGCTGGGCGGCTGTAAATGGGTGTGGAAATGGATAATGGGGGCAGTAGCCAAAGACCACAAGCATGACAAAATGATGCACAAACAAATTATGGAGAGTATGGGAAATGGGGGAAATGGCATCCTCCCCCCACATTAAACAATAGCGCCGAAATCGCTTAATCATGACAGCGGCGACTGCGTCCAAGCATGTGTGGAGTTCCCCCCTCTGTGTACAGTCAGTTTTTGGAGAAAGCGCATAAATCAGATACACACGCAACGTCTTTCGCAGACAGAGAGAAGACAGCAGGCGGGTTTATGCTCTGTTGTTTTTGTTGCAACTTTAAAGTCAGTAAGGCGTTAAGTGGCACGCCCCCTTTAAAAAAGGTCAGGCCACAATTAATTGCAGACATGCGTCCGCCAACAATAAAATCAGCCGCTAAGTCTAGTCGCCAACCACCACACCAGCAGAGCGTATGAGTTATTTTCTACACAAATTATTCATACGCCATGTTGGTGGCTACGAATTTAAATTTTGTGAGCAGAGTAAAATGATTTTTAAAGTATCTAAATAATTTTTAAAGGTGGACTAGTTTTACTATTAGTTGGTAAAGCAAAATGGGATTTTTGATTGATTTTGAATTAATATTTATTTCGTTTTGTTGAACAGATAGATATATTAATACTTTTTCATATATTGCGAATTCTTTAAATATACAATTACAACATTACTCCGAAAAATGAACATAATTTAGAAAATGGTTTTAAGTATATTTTTCGCTGAGATTTTAAAAGAAGTTATGTATTTCGTACTATTAATATTATATTTCTATTTGTTTTATGATATCTAATATTTGTAGCGTTGTTCAATTTTCAAAAGAATTAATATATCTAATATTATATTTAAATTTCAATTAATGTATCTAGTTTACCAATAAATGAATTTTTTAAATGATTAACTTCATTTCTGATTGTAGGAACAATTAATTTATATTGTATTCTTAATATAAAAGTTCGGAAATATTTTTAATAATATATTGGTAGTCTATCGAGGGCATTGACACTAACGGATGTTCCCTATGTAAAATATAGCCCTGTACAAATTTAGAGTATTTTCGCACTAGTGCCATTTCATATTCTTTTTTTAAAACAAGGGTAAAAAGTTAACTTTAAATTAATTGCAATTAGCGCTTCGTTTATGAAGTTTTAATAAACCTGCAGTCTCGAACGCCAATGTTGCTGTACCAGAAACTAAAGTTTTTCGATTGCTTTTTCCCAAATCCGAGCACGCAATAATTTAAAGAGAAATGGCAATAAATTTCACAGGGAAAACGAAAGCACAGTCATGAACTCCAACGAAAACCATGCACATATGTGTGTGTGAGTGTATATTTATATGTGAACACACTCTTCCGGGTTTGTGGGCAGTCAGTTGCTGAGTCATTATAATTTATAATAGGAAAGCAAAGACACACAGAAGGAAAGAAAGTAACGAAACTTGGCTAGAAGAAAAAGAGAAGAAGCCGACTAAGAGCAGACAATGCGACAATGAAATTTTATCTATATATAAGTCTTAATATCTGTGTCTGTGTTTGCGAGTGTGTGTGCGTGGGAAGGCGGCATAAAATTTATAACAATTCAAGGACAGCAAACTACTTGGTATGGCAAGAGTGGCAGTCGCCGCCATCGTTACAGTTTCAATTTCAATTTGGCACACGCGGCGACCTTATGACCTCGACGCCAGATTTTCAGCCTCATGCAGATTTACAACACGCGCACATGACGCGCCCGGAAATGGCTTTACATGACTACAGCAGAGCGCGGGAGAGTCTAGCACATAAATATATAAATGACAAACTTCACTCCCACCGTCTCTCTATCTCTCTCTCTATGTACCTCTTTCTATCTTTTTGTTTGTTTTGCAGGGTTTGTTTTGGTCGCTGGCCTGCATTTGGCTCATCTATCCGGAGAAACGCATTCCGCATTTGAAGAACGAGGCGATGAACTCGACCAGCTCATACCCTTTCCTCTACACGGACTATTTGCCAACCGAGTTCCTAATCAATGGCATTGTATCTGCCTGCCTCACTGTCGTAAATGTGATTTGCATTTTCATCACCGCCATTATAGTCTTGAAAATCAAAGAAGTTTCGGCGCCATACACAGCCAGTCCGGATCTCAAGCGGTGAGTGTGTGTGACTGTACAATTGTTAAAGCCTCCTGCATTCGCGCGTGCTTAATAACTGCCTGCTTGTTAGCTTATCATTTCCGTTAGTTGCGAACCACAGAGTCATTTATTTGAAATGCCTATTATATAGTATATAAACGTGAGAGTTGCTAACTTTACACAACGAAGTCGAGATATCCTTTCATTCCATACCATTCCCAGTTGATTTTGATTTATCCTTCAAATTTATTATTTATTATTAGCAGCATTCGTTCTTATTGAAAACTTCTATGTCAGTTTAAATATATTATTAATTTATTTTTTGATTAATTATTGTTCTATAGATTTTTATAAAAAAAAAGTGGTCTGAAAATTATTTGCATTACGAGCCAGAAATTTAAAACGTTTTCTTGAAATAGGTTTTAAATGCATTATACATTAAATTTCTTATTAATTACGGTCTTCTAGACAGAATAGTTGCGGCCAGAATTTATAAACAATAACAACATAAATGGCAACAACATCGTCTTTATCAACAAATAGAATCATTTACCATAAAGAAGGAACTAATTTTGCACATGCTTTGTCATTTAATCAGGCTGAAATGACAATGTTCTGTTGCCATTGCCTGGCGTAACTATGGGCCACAATGACTCTATTTATAGGTCACTTCCATGTGGGCCGACAATGGTGTATGGATTTGACTAAATCGTACAATAGTGCGGCCATTCACAAAAGAGGGTCGTTACATTGTCAAGCGGCAGCAAATAAGTTTGCACTCTATACACTAAGAGGAAGATAATGTACTTCGTTGACGAACGAATTCCAAAAATATAGTCAAACAAATAATATCATTCATTTGAGAGAGGATGTAAAATAGTAGTTTTTTTACTTGGAAAATGCTAAGAATAAGCAAAGACTACAACCAATAGAATGACGAGTCCTTTCTGTTCTTAATGCTTTAATGTGTCCATGCACGTGTGCACAAAGTTGGAATGGTCGCTATTGAACAAACACAGCTTATTTATCGCCCTTTAAGTGTTTCCACACCATCTAAATAGGGAGAGGAGAGACTGGCCAAGTGAAGTGGAGTTTTGCAAAACATGTTTTTGGTAGCTGGTAACTGGTAGCTAGACAGGCTTTGCTTGTAAGTTTACTCCGACGAAATCACTTAAGGCCAAGTGAAGCGCAAAACTCTCGACGCTACTTAATCAAATTTAATAAAATGGCTAAGGCGCAGAGGCTTCAAACATGACAAATCGTATAATTAACTGGCTTATTGTTTCGTGCATCTCATAAGAAATTACTCATACGCACTGTTTGACGTGCCACGACTTTAAGACATGTCTGGCATGGCCTTAAATGAAAATAAATGCGTTTCTATTGCGAGACTTTGCGTTCGTCTCTCGACTGACATAACAAATGGCGGCGGCCTAAGCGGTCGTCTGACCGACGCGTCTTGCTGTCGGTTGCCGCTTCTTCTTGATAATAATAGCCGCCATTTTCAGCCTTTCGGCACATGTCTGATAAATATGGCGTCGCCTGCTGTTCCTTTTTGCTACAATTTTGATCAAATCGTCGCGGCCGCCTGCCTTTAAAGCCCATGTATGAACGTTGTTTGTTTTGTTGAAAGTTCGTTCGCCAAAGTATGCTAAAATTTTGTTAACTTCCAATTTCCTTCTAACTATTTGGCTCTACATTTTTGCTTATTTATGCACACGCACACAATCGTTTTGCTACATCCCCCAACTTCCCCACTCCCCCATCCCCTGTAGTTTGTTGGTAAAGCACGCTCGCTGCACTACAATTGTTTATGCAATGTATTTCTGTTTGCTCTTCCTCTTGAGTGTTTGCCAATTGCAGTTTTTCCCCATTTTCTCGTTACGGGGCGTTGCAAGTGGGTGTGGCCGTTATGCCGCTGAGGCGTACAAATGAGCCAAATAAATGTCATGAACAGGCGGCTGCCCTCGATTCATATGCAATGCTCTTTTTTCTCTTGGTCGACCAGCAAGTGCATGATTTTAGTGCTTTGTTCTTTTTTTAATTTTGGAAAATGGGGGTATTGGGATAGAACTTTAGGCTTCGATTTTCTAATGTTGTGAAAGGTTTTTTTTTTGATCAAATGAGGAACATTGCTAGCTATTTAATGGGTTGCTATAATATGGAAAAGCAGCTGAATGGAATTTTCTTAAATTGAATCTCTGCTTTGATCTGTAATTAATAACACTTTGCAGTTATTAGAAGCACAAACAAATCAAGTACATTCACGTTTTTCGGAAACTTTTTTAGTTTCTCGAGAACTTATATCTTTTGCATAAAGCAGTTTATGAAAACACCTTTGCTCTTCGTAAGATTTTCGAAAAAGTATGTTTCATTAATGTTGGAATTGGGAACGATTTGAACAAATTTAAAATGTACATTATTTTAAATTTGAACTATCAAGCTTACACTGTAGTTGTATTGAAAAAATCACTATAGAGTAGAGCCATTTGGGAAGTTTTGGATTTTGAAAGAAATAAAGTTAAATGGAAATTGTAGGCATATCTAGATATTTCTTACTTTTCTGAAAAGAGCGAATTTCAGCAGCTTTCTTTTTATTTTATAGTTTTTGTTAAATAGTTCTCACTATACAAATTTTACTTGAATTATATGCAATATTTATTTCAATAACAATTTATATTTTCTTTCATAAAAATGGCTCTGTAGAAATGAAAAATAAATGCAAATAAATGGTCGTTCAATGATTGGGTTCAGACAAATTTTATAAAATATATATATATGCATATAATTTCAATTATAAGTATACTAGAATATTAAACTTATTTTTGCAAGAATAATTTGCACTCTAATTTTCAATTATAATTAGCTCTATGTCTATCAGTTATTAATAAATTTTAATGTGCAAATGTGGGACATTTATCGTATTAATTTTAGAGGTGATTTCAGCCCAGTGGTGGGTCTAACTGGCACTCACATCAGTTTATATAAAAAGCAGAGAAAACAGATATTTATTCAATTATTATACCATTTATATATTATGTTCTTGAAGTATTTTTTTTACTTTTTTCCTTCGCTTTCTGGACACTTAATTAGTATGATTATTTTCAGTTGCTGTAGCTAATAGTTTGGAATAATCAATTTAATTATTTAAAAACATTTATATGACACTTCCTTCTTTTCTTTAAGTGGAATTTGCATTTCCACAACAACATATTTGCCTAAAATTTGCGCGTTACTGATTTGAAACGATATATTTTTTTGTTTTTACAGTTTCTGGGAGACGGATCTACGCACCGCACGCAAAACAAATCGCTCCACGATTCGTCAGCGACGAGGCACGATGCGGGGAGGGGGCGGCGGAGCTGGTGGCGTTGACAAGCTCATCATGTAAGTGTTAATGTAAAGTGCCGGTGCGGTTGTATTTTCACGTATATAGTACTATATAGTGGCATAAACCCAAAGCCAAAGCCATGCCCCGAGCGACTTCAAATGTGGCATTCAAGCAGCTGCTGCCATTCGCTTTTATTTTATCATTTTGCAATTTATGTCTGTTGTTCTTATTGCCACAGTAATTGAGTGTGGGTGCGTGAATGTGTGTGCGGATATGAGTGTGTATTTGACTGTGAGCCGACATACTCCCTCAGGGACAACGTAATTTACTCATATGTGGCATTGCGGTGAGAGTGAAAAAAAACGAAGCGAAAAAAAGAAAACAATCTCCAAAGGTAAATAATAAACGCGGGTACTCGTGTCAAGTTCCTCTCTCCTCCCCCCCCCCTCTCTCTCTCTCTCTCTCTGTCCTTCGTTTGCCACTCTCCCCACCAACAATTTGTGGCAAGGTTATAAATAAATATTATTCTTACAACGGAAAAGCGCGTGGCGGAATGCAGGCACGTAAAAAAAGAGAGCGGAACATACAAAAATGTTTATCGCATAATTGAAATCATTGCAAGAAATTTATGACATTCCTGCTCCTGTTCCTGCTGCTGCGCCGGCCGAGCAAAACGAAGAAATAAAAAGAAACAATAATAATAACAAATAAAGTATGTCACAGCTAAACGTCAGGTTGGGAAATAAGGAGTAGACAACAAATTGCAGCAGCGTCAGGAAATGTTACCGAAATTGGTTCATAATTGTTTTGCCAATACCGACTTTTGCAAACTTTGATTCATTGTCGAATTTAAGCAATAATTTAAACAAATTTAAAGGTATAACAAGTTACCGATTTCTTATTTAAAGCCCTATAGTTTGAGCAGATGTTTGTAATGATTGGAGGAGTAAGTCGATTCGCACAGCTATCAGGCAACTGTCGAGTTAAGGTGGAAAATTCTGAAGTAAGCTTGCAACCTGAAGAATCTCACCAGTAGCTTTCCTCAACGCCTCAGAAGAGCATAAATTGAAATAAAGCATAGTATACTTTTGGGGTTTACTATTTTCTCAAAAAAGCTTCGAAAAGTAGCAAACAATTTAAGGGCGATAATTAATTAATGTTCAAGCAATTGCAGCTCTTTTGACCACAAAATGTAGCAACAAGAATTAAATCTAGATTGAATGAATATGAATGGATATATGAAATATCAAATAGGCAGATAACTTGTAGAACTTATTCACAAATCGTCGGCTATAAAACGAATAGAGTGTTTTATCAAAATAAATGCATGAAAAAGTTGATTTTATTAAACTGAATTTGACTTAAGAGTATCAGCAAGATACTAGCTATAACAAAAATATAATTACAATAGTGGGTTCTCATAGTAACAGCTCAATGAGTTCAATGCATGCTGGACAAAGGTATTTACTTTTTGGGCTTCGTCGTGCCTTTGTTTCTCTTTCTCAATTATTTTCAATCAATTTTAGAAATTCATATACTATACAAAAAGAAATCAGTTTAAGTCAAATTGACCGAAATAAATTTTTCAAACTATGCTTCAGCTCTGTCTCCCACCTCATCTAACTCTTTGCTGGCGCATAAATATTTCCAAAGCAACGGTATGCGTTTTTAGCTGGATAATTCAAAATGAAATGGTCGGAGAAAACATAATTGTTAAATAATTGCCAGGAAAAATACCAAGACCATTACGAAGTATACTGAATGAGTCGGCCAAAGCGAATAAAAGCCACAATTAAGTCAAGGCAATGCACACGATGTTTCCTTTCTAAAAAAAAAGAAACATAAGCAGCAAAGTTTAAATGCTTTTCTAATAAGAAAAAAGAAGCCTCATAATAATGTAAGCTCATGCAACAAAATGAATGTAAACCCGCTGGCGAGCATTTTTAATTTAACGCCCAGTGCGCCGCAATTTGTTTGTTGCCTACTTTTCGTTTTTTTCAACTTTTCTGTTTTATTTATTTATTTATTTTTTTTGAATAAGCTGCAACTGTTTAAACACAGATCAGACAAAACCTTTATGAGGCGGCGAGCTGGCCATTTATTTACACAAAAGTTTTTCATTTCGGCGCCGCATATAAATTTCAGTACTGTTTTTGTTACTGTGTGCATAAAATTAACACGTTGTTTTCACACGCCCCCTCGTACCGCACCCCTTCTCTATATATTTGCAGTGGTGGCTATCAGGGCTTGGAGGAGCCACGCAATGCCCAAATGGACTCTGCGTTGGAACGTGCCTTGGCCCAGGCGGAAAACGATGTTACATTCAAGAAGGTTAAACGCATGAGTTACTCAAGCAATGCGGCTGGCGAGGTGAGTAGAGGGGTGGGTGGATGGATGGTTGGGTAATGGGTTAAACCAGATTTCTTGCCATTTACATGGGTTAAGCAATTAGGCAACAACGCTAAATGTGGCAGGAACAGCAGCAGCTGCGTGGTTTCATCTTGACAGGTGGGTGGAGTGTAGGGTCTGTGCGTGTCAACAGCAGTTGGTCTCCTAAAATGAAAAGGATGCAGCGGCAGGGGGTCAAAATTTTAAGAAGTAATTCTCAGAGAGTTCCTATTTCAAGAGCGAAATAGGCTGCGTTTTTAAAGAAGGTTTGTATTTGAAGTTTTCCTCTTTTTTTTTTGCGTACACACATCTTTAAAAAGGTTTTACAATTTAAATAATCCATTTCGAGAAACTCATCCATTCTAGGCAGTCAGCTATATGACTCGTGCAAATTGTGTAAATTGTAGTCGATAATAAGCTTTATGCGATTAGTAAGCAATATTAATTAATTATATGTCCAAGTCTTAAGGAACGTTCCTGGGCTCATTGTTATGTTTATATCGTAATATTAGATATCTTGGTAGGCATTCTGGGCTGATTATCTCGTTGTTACTGTGCCGTGGAAGCAGCTTATCGTCTTATGACAAATTTGATGAATGACGTCTGGCTTGTGCAACCTTCTGGAACTTGTAATGCTTGAAGCCGGCTTAAGTGCTCGCAAAACACATGTACAGAGTCGACTCCATAAACTGCAGCTTAAGTGGATAGTCTCGGTCCATTTGCGGTCCACGCTGCACAAAAAGCCTGCAACAGGACGATGCACAGCAATAACTGTCCACAAATCGCATTTGTCATGCTTCTTTCCCTTTCTCTCTCTCTCTCTTTATCTCTATCTCTCTGTTTGGTGTTGTCTTTGAATTCTTTCGCCCACAAGGCCACTGACATGCAGCATTTAAAGTTAATTACTTGCAATTATTCGACGAATGGACGAAACACAAAGACTGCAGGAGACGGCGGAGTGGAAACAAAAAAAGAAAACTGACCTCAATCATTAGTTGATAAGCGCGGCGGAAGCCAAATGTGAGAGTAACTCGAGATGCGCCACGACAGGCCAAAGCTGCATATATACACACACACACACATCCACACAAACACACAGACAATAAACAATGCAGTGTGCGGCAATAAATCAAGAGAGCACTAACAGCGACGACTTGCTTTGCAAGAAAAGGTCAGGAGCGGCTAAAAAGAGCAGACACCCTAAAAACTAAAGACACACCATGATAGAGAGGGGGTAAGAGGGAGAAAGAGAGACAGAGAGAGTGAGTGAGAGTGAGAGTAGTTGAAAATCATGTAAGATTTATGGTTAGACCAGATGAAGCTGTTGCCTCAACAAAACAATGCACAAAAAGACCAAAGCAAGCGACAAAGAAACAGAAGAAAGAAAGAAAAACAAACAAAAATTGTAGTCAGTTTTTGGGCAACAGCGGCAACAATGACAAAGAAATGCTCAGTTTTATGCAAGATTCTTAAATACACTATAACTACACTTTAGCTAAAATGTTGAGGCAACAAAAATTTGTCTTGCACTTAAAATTTGGTTAATTAATATCTAAACTGCTTTTAAAATAAGCAGCCATATGTGATTTGTAATAAACTTGATCTGTACATGCTAGATAAGAAAAGAGTACATAGCAAGTTGTCTGTTTCTGGCTGTTATATTTTAAGAGATTTCCAGGTTCAAACTGACGGCTACACATGTACTATATACAAAAAATTTTGAATTTTTCACTTCTCACTAAGTCTGTCATATACAATTGAGCTTTTTGGTATACCCTTTCAGTTGAAAAACACAGCCAGTTTTTAGGCTGCAGCGCGACAACAATGGCAACAAAAAATGAGTGTGAGCCTCAAGCTGGAACAATTTTTGAGGTTAAATATGCACACGGCCGCCTGTGGATTCATTCAACACAAAAGCAAACTCCACGAATGCCAAGCAGTGAGTGGCAACTGGCAGTTTTGAACGTAGGAATGGATTGGGTTATAGAGCTGGCGAGCCGATGATGTGCATACATGATTTTTTGAATTTGTGTCCGAAAATCAAATGGCAAACGGCACTTGAGCGGTGGGTGAAAGGTGGGTGGCGTAGGGTCTCTGTTCTAGCCACAGTTCTAGGCAACTGAAAAGGACGACGTAAGGACTGTTGAATGCAGAGGAATTACAATTGAAGGTTGAAAGTCTATTTAAAAAAAAAGAAAAATAAAAAGAAGCAGCAGTTTTTCTTAAAAGTTGTTCCTTTGCTTAAATACTATAACGATTGGTTCGCATATGATTTGAAGAGCCGTAATTTCTTTCTAAAGTGCAGTTTTCTAATATTTATGTATTTCCTTTTTAAATGACTTGCCTTAAGTTTGTGTGAAGCTTCTGTTCACACCTAAAAACTTTTATCTATAATTAGCTTCTAATGAAAAATGAAGAAATTAGCACTAACGATCTTAGAAACGTGCTTGGTTATTTTATTTTGAGCGATACAGCAACGAGTTTTTATCGCATTCATCAAGCTGAAGCTAGAAAAACTTTGTTAATTTCCTGTTTAAAAGCATCAACAACAAAGTGTTCCAATTAAAATGCGCTGGAAAAGCAAATCAGTCAGCTTGTCTCGCCTCGTCTCGTCTAGTCTCAACTCATCACAACTCATCTCAGTTCCGTTCAGGGAGGCCAGCGAAGCGTCAGTTGTAAGAAAGCAACTTTTACATTAATTCATTTGGAGGCCCATAGATGGGCGACCACTTCAGTGAATGACAGGCTGACATGCTCTAGATACTTAGAGAGCGACTGGCAGATGGAATGTAGGAAGCGAAATGTAAAATAAACTCACCGAACTCATACAGTAGAGCTCTGCATGCAATGGCTACACTTTCTACTGATGTAAATGAATTCATTGACTTACTTCGAATCAAATGAATTGCCACTCAACTGCAAGAAAAACGAATTAATTTGTACTCAGTTCGATTCATCGGTTTATTGAATGACAAGTGGCACGGGAATGCATGCATGCAGTCCTCTATTTTACACTTGCTCGTACATATAACCTCTTCCTCCACCCCCGACCACTCTGTTTACTGCTTGTAATCTGTTTAAAGTGAGTCCCAGCCACTAAAACTCAATTAACCCCATTTGATGGCGCACGAAGGCAATTGAAAGAAAGAAAAACGGACTGAAACGAGAAAGGAAATCAAAGAAAAAGACTCGCAACGGAAATGGTGGGTGAATGATGGCGAAGTGGTGTATTGGTAGATTGGTAGATTGGTGGCTTGGTAGCTTGGCAGCTTGTTCTTTGGCTCGCAGGCTGTTCGCATTTTTCACTTAAAACCGCATTGATACTCAATTATATGAACGCTCGACCCCTCAGTCACCCAGGCACCCAGGCACCACTCCAGGTTACCAGTCGGCACTGAATGCGCGGATGTTGAGCACAGGAAGACGGAAGCACTTTGCAACGGAAATGAAACATCAATTAAAGTAGCACAGTTGCAGGCCATGGTCGGTAGTCGGCAGTCAGTAGTCAGTAGTCAGTTTGCCAGATGCCGAAAATATATTGGTTTTTGAGGACCGAGTGCTAGTGCGAGTGCGAGGCCGTGCCGTGCCACCGCCGCAATTTTAAATCTTTGTGTTGGGCACACTGCTGTGATTCAGTGGGTGGCTCAACAGCTTTTTGTTGACCTCCTGGGCACTTGTAAGTTTGTTAAAATCTCTCTCGCGGAGGGCCTAAGGCAGCTTTCCTTTAGTTTATTGTTTAATTACAAGAGGCGCGATCCGAGTCCACAAGTTTAATTGGCCATCATGTAGCACTTTAAAATGCGTCCATCAAGTGTTCTGTTTGTGGAAAGTTTGAAAGACGTTTGCCGAAACCAAACAGACAACTGTGTCTGTGAATAGAGAGCGCCACTTTAGAGCTTGCCGCTTTACTTTCACAAACAATAGCGAATTGTGCAACAATTAAAACAAAACCTCAGGCGCACAGCCATAAACATTTTGATAAACAAACATAAATGCTATAAAGCTTAAAACGAAACCATATACCGTACCATTGCACGGAAATAGGGCTTAATCACGATAGGTGCTAAAAGGTAGTTCTTATATTCAGAATTTGTTTTCTTTTGAAACTATATAACTTCTTGATAAATGCATGTTTCTAATCAATCTTGAATACTTGTAGCTTACTGAACGTCTCGCCAGAATAGCGGGTCTAAAGAAGAGGCATGCGGATGACGATCCCTTGGGCACAGGCTCGAATAGTTTGGCGGGCAGTCGCATTAATTCGATCCCCAACGCCCAACTAAATGTTGATCTGAAGGCCCTGGACAAGCTTGTGAGCAGTCTGTTGGAACAGCATCCGACTGGGACCGGTAGCAGTAGTACGGGCGGCAACAGCCACATGGAGGCTGGCAGACGAACACCACCCATGCAGCGTACCACGTCAAAGAAACTAAATAGATGGCGGCCCTTGTCGCGTTCCGCCCACAGTTTCAAGCGAGGCAATAACAACGCTACAGTTACCGGCAGTTTTACGCAGCTACAGGAGCGGAGTGAGGGGCAGCAGCACGCTCCAAACATGCCCACCATTATGGAGAGCAGTGCGGGCATTTCTATGGCACCAAACAACCAGCAACAACAACGTCACTCTCACAACAACAGCAGCAACACGTGGACATCCTCATTGGAACGCACACCTGGCGCTGTGAGGAACATGTTGCACTCAATTGGTCAGGCTGCGGCCCCCACAGGTGGCGCTGCTGTCGACGAGGACCAACTCAATCTGACACAGAATTATGTGGGCTGACTACGTGTTAACAAATTTAACGGCTTACAAGCACAATTATGGCTTATATGGTAGTTTAGTGCGTGCTCTATTTAAATGAATATATAACATGGCGTATACGTAATGCGTTGTTTTTGGTCAATTGTGGGTAAGGAAGGGGGAGAGGCGAGCCTGATTGAGCGTAAAAATTAAATGGCTGAGAGACAAACAGAAATGGCAAGCACTTTAGTGCCAGCAGAAAAATGTTTAAAATTCTATTCTATTTATTATTTAAATAAATAGCGATTTATTAATTAAAAATAACACTTATTCGGGAAAAGAGAAAGAATGTATGTATCTTAGATGAACTCCACTCTTTCACTGCTCAATATGTTACAGAACTTTGCTATCTATGCTAACTTAAATTAAGCCTGCATATCACATCTAAAGGTGAGACGCGCGCTAATGCTTTCTACATAACAACAAATAAACATTCAACAAAATTGCAAAAAGGTATTGCTTGTTTGGAAATATATTTAAGGCAGAGAAAAGTGCCATCATAAAAAAATTCTAAAAACTCTCCAGCTTTTAATTTAAATATTTTTATGTGAAGCGAAATTTGTTTCGCCAAACAATAGTTCTTCAAAATCATTGCTTTTTCAAAATGTTGTTTCACCAGAAAATTTTAAGTGTTACGAACTCGTGTGTAATTATTGTTTTAAAATTCCCATTTTGGGTTTTTCTTTTTAATTTTATTCCCATTTCTTTAATCAAATAATAAGAATAGCTTCAAAAAAGCAAACATGAACCCGCCACATTTAAAATAACAAACATAAACTAACAAGCGGCGAAAAAAGGCAGAATAATGGAAGCATGCGCTGGGAATGGGGAGTTTAAGAGAATTTTGCAGGAATTTCAAATAATCTGAAAGCAACGAACTGCCGACAGCATCACAGCAGAAATGACAACAGACTGACCGTGGCGGTTAATAATTTCACGCGCCGGAGGGCAGTTGCTTCTTAGAGCTAAGGGCTGGAGAGGGGCTGGCTGGAAATGGTGTCCACTTGGCGCCTCAACACAACACGGATACGAACACGAATATCAACAACGCCATCGCCACCGCCACCGCCACCAACGGTTGACGGATGATGAGTTGTTGCTGATGTTGTCGCTTGTCATCATCACGAATGGAGTTGTCTGGTAAAAATGTTGCTGGTCAGATGGCGGTTGACGTTTTGCGGTTGGCTGAACGCTGCGTTCGTAATGATGATAAAATTGTTCACAGCCTAAAAACCTAATGGAGCAGGCAGGAAGCCCACAACGACAAAAAAAACCTCATTCCCATTTGCTTGTAAAGTGGTCGCTAATTAGCTAGCATCTGACCAAGGCGGATGAGGACCTTTTTAAAATTGGCATAACCTTAGAAGTGGTTTCCATTGTTGTTTTTGGCTAGATTGGTGAATAAATAAGTGCACCCCACACTTACCTGTCTTTCCATGACGCCAGCCAACTGCTCGCGCTCCGCATGCCGATAATAGCCGGTCAGATTGGCGCCCAGTCGCATTGCCACTTCGTAGCGCGTTTTGCCACTCCGGGCGGCAGTGCGACTGCTCTTGAATAGGGAAAACCCATTGCTGGTATTATCAAAGTCGCAGGCATGGTGGCAGTTGTTGGCACTTGCATTGCCAATGCAGCCTGAAATAAGAAAGCAACAAAATAAATGTAATTTTGCTGCAATTTTTGTGAATATTTCTCATTTTAAAAAGGAGTATTTCAAGTAAGTACCTAACTTTATTTAATTTTCAATAAATATGGAACTGATTATTTAATTGCCAATTTAAAAATGAAAAAAGATAAATAGTTTTAAAAAGTACAAAAAACCGTGGCATACCTTCGCACTATTTGGAAAACACAAACATGGTTTTTTTTCGCCATTTGTAGTTGTTTTTGTTGTAGTTGTTTGTACAACAAAGTAACAATTTTGATGACAATCTTTGCTCATTTTTATGTCTGTCAACTTCATGCCTTAAAAAGCACAAGTTCACAACCCAAAAACGTAGCAAACACAAACATATCTAAGTCTGAGTAAGCGGCCATAGAGAGCTATAAAAAATGAAGTATATGGCAGTCCACAAAAAAGTGTGTGAATGTGTGTGTGAGCGTAGGGGATAACAAAATGCGCAGCAAAAGAAATGCCGTTGTCATCGATTTTGACAGCCCTGTCGCCAGAGGTCACAGGTGAATAATGCATTGGAAAATTGTGGTGAGCTGTAATGCATGTGGGTGGCTGTAAGTACACTTGTAGGTGTGTGTGGGTGTGTGTGGGTGTGTATGGCACTTTGAGCATATTTCTCGCATATTTCGTTCGCAGTTATTTCTTTTATTGCATTTTCCGCTCAAGCATCGAAGCAGAAGTCCAAGAGGCTTCAATGACTGAGCTCTTTTTTCTGTTCGTCCTTTATTTGCTCAAGTCTGAGAAAAGTATTGTGTATGCTGATCGATTTTTTTTCCTACTGAATTGTTTTAAATTCATTAAAAATTGCAGCGCCTTGCTGAGCTTCTGTATTATCAAGGTGGGCCAGTACTGATACTGGGGTCTTTATTTGTTCAATCATTTGAAATGAAATTTAAAATGAAAAGTTGATAAATATAATACTTCTGTTAGCAGAGGTCCCAAATTAACTTTTAATCGTTATTAAAAAGTGAAAGCAATTGGTCAGTTAGTCAGTCACTCGGAATATTATTATATATAAAAATCAATATATCTGCAGTTGAATGGAATGAAATAAAGATAATTATTTAAATACGAGAAAATTAATTATAATAATTAAAATCTGCCTTAAAGCCTATTTCTGTGGTTTACAAATAATTAATTTTTCATAATTTAATTTTTCCTATAACTTAAACGCTTAATTTTAATACGCACAACAAAATAAATTTTTCTATTGTTTTCTTTTTTTCAATCTTTAATTGGATAGCAAATTTTGATTGTAATTTTAGGGAAACGTATAAGCTCTAAATATAAAAACACCAAAATAAAAGTTAATTAATGAAATTAAATTAATGAACAATGTTAAACTAACACAAAACTATCTACGAACAATATTTGTTCGCTTGGCATTCTCCGCTAGCATTCTACCTCATTAATTTTGGGCATCAACAAAGTATTGCTCCCGTTTTGCAGTTTATTTTTCTTCGGTTTTTATCTGCCAGCTGCGTTTAATACAAATAAAAAAAAAACAGAGCTTCAGGTACTCGTTAGAGCCCCCTCTTCTATTGTCCTCACTGTGATGCTGTAGCCAATGTCATCGTTCTTCTGTTATGCACCAGCTAGCAGTTCAAACAAACAAATAAATAAATGCTGTTGCACAGTTGCCCGCACAAGTCAACTGGAACAGTCATGCGAACAATAAAACAAACAGCGAGTGCAGCAAGGAACTTTGTTAAACAAACAATCAGCTGCTATTGACAGGCTTGACGGCAATGACAGCGTGTCTGGACAAGTTCGGTGGTATCTGAAATATGCAATTGTATCTCTAAATATCCTTAAATATTGCATTACTGCAGTTGCCTGCAAGCTGATGACATGCAGAGAAAATCTGAAATGGAATACTTGCATTGGCTCAACGGCCTTCATATCAATGCAGCATGGCAGCCAATTCTAAACATGACAGTTCAGTAATGCAGCACTAGGCTCTAAAACACGATTTGAACAATATTTGCGGGCCTGTTCTAACTTGGTTCAATGAAATTCAGTTCTAATCTAAAATTCAAAAAGGCTGAGCATCCTTTTGGCAAATTAAAGAAATGCAAGCACCAGTACATTTTAGTAGCTTAACTAAATTCAACCCACCAGTGGGTTAATCATGTTAATCACTGAACAAAATAAACAAAGTGGTTACCAAACTATTGGTTTCTAAATGGAAATTGAAAACTGTTCTGTGGAAACAGAACTCAATTAGCTTAGTGCATTAAAGCATAAGTATATGTTGCTGTAGGTTGGCCAGAGTATATACTTTAAAGACATGCTACAGTTTTTTCAGCTAACACATTTTTGCACTTTTCTCTCATCTCACATCTTCTTTTCCTCTTTTCTTGTTGGTGTGTATCTGTGCTCCTTCACTTGAAATGAAGTGCATTTTTAATGCTTAATTATATCCTTGATTAAATTTGCCCTCCCACACACCCACACGGACACACACATATTCACACACTCACAAGTTCACATCCTCGGATATTTTTTGTTATTGTTGTCTTTTCAGTTGTTTGGCTTTGCTTTGCCACCCAACCCAACCACCCAAGCGTCCGTGCCTCCTTTACGAGCCTTTTCTGCTGATGGCTGCACAAATTTCAGGCTTGGCGCCTTTCCTTTTCATGCCTCCTCATATGTGTATTTATTATTGCTGCTTACATCTCGTTAAATTTCATCTGCTGTTTGGCTTTGTTCACTTACCCTGCGTCGTCTCGTTTATCTCGGGTATCTCGCATTTGGTTCCTTTGTAGCCGGGCGGACAGTGGCAGGTTATGGCCGCATCGCCGATGTGCCTGCGAATTGAAATTGTTGTTAAATGATTTAAGGAATATTATGCAATGTGCACGGCTTGTGTACACTTTCAATAATTAAATGCTGACCTTAATGGCAGCGATAAAATATAATAACTGTGCAATGGGGCAGGAGAGATAGCGAAAGAGGGTTCTTCCCCTCTTGAATATGGTTTTTATTATTGCTCAATACTTGTAGTTTTGAGTGAAAATATCTGCAATACTATTGAAATATAAGAATTGTTTTGGATTCAGAAATTTTAAATTATCAAATTCATGATAAAAATGAATTGGTAATCTAACTAAATAAACTAAATTAAGAGTAAATAGTTAAATAGTTTTCTTATTTTCCCAATGGGGCAAATATAGTTCAGTGGCAGATCTCCGAAGGACTTAAGACTATGAAGTTGAAATGATGTATTTAGACTGGCGAAATGGAGTTCAAGACTTTTCTAGCTCAAATGCAACGCAAAGTGCTAAGAACTTTGGTAAAATGTGGTAAAATGTATTTACATAAAGGAGTTAAAAATAATCAAATTTAAAATTGGTTTTAAATGGGTTTAAAAGAGATTAAAAAAGTTGAAACCAATGTAAGCCATCGTTTCGAGACCTTATGCTGTTTTAACACAAATATCAGATACAATGAACCCTTAGATGTGATAAATTGAAAATTAAAAACCCAGCTAAATATATAGTAAGTTCATTTCGGAAAAGAAATATCAATGGTAATTGTGATTCTTTTTAGCTCAGAAAATTGTATTTAAAATTCATTTAACAAACGAGATTTTATACCGCAAAATATAATCCACGTTTTGATAATGTAAGTAAGAGAGAAGGCTGAAAAGTTTTAAAACCGATTACAATTTCATGTCCATAGCTTCAAGTTATTTTACATTTTTGATGAGCACATATTTTATTCAATTTAAGAATTTGACTTTGCTCCACTCTTAGTCTTATCTGCAATTTTGAGCTATACAGCAAGCCCACCCCAATAAATTTAGCCATAAATGGTCAGCTCAAGGCCAAAAAGCTTAAGCTGCCAAAGTCCCAACAAACTGTCTAGAAAAAAGAGCAGACTAGCCAAAGCACTTCGTTTCGTAAATCGAAACCATGACCAGTCAGCACCATAAAGTAAACATTTTAATATTTGCCAGATGTTGAATTATGGCCGAGAGGGAAGGGCGAGAGTAGAGAGAGGGGCTTTCAAGTCGAACGTTGCCCATTTCAGTCGCATTCCTAATCAAATAAATTCGAAACAAAGACCAAAAGTCCGAAGTGGCAGAGCATGTGTATTGTCTAGTCCGATTGTCACATTGGGCTGAAACCATAAGCTGGATACGGGTCCAAACAAATTTTTGGGCAATACGAGCAGCTTCATCAGTGCTGCAGGCTAAGTCCAATTGACCAACCGTTTGATGGCTGTGCGACAGCTGCCAAATGCTTCAAAGTCTATGGGCTGGTCCGTCAGCTTTTTTTCTCTCTTTTTTTTCCGTTTGCTAATGATACGATGATACGCCTCCCCATGCCCATGGGGCAGACATTTCAATTTTGAGGTCGCATTTTTGTGCTGTCACAGCAGCAGCAAGTGATGAAAATTATTACACACCCGTACGCCTCCCTTCCGACCACCCTTGGCGTGACCAATTGATAGACAGCCTGAACTGGGGCCCCAACGCAATGGCCCGGCCCGCCGGCCCAACCCGGCCCGCCAGCCTGTCTGTCTGCCTGCGGGCCATCATCAGGTGGCATTAGTGGGATTTTGATTTGAAGTCAAGTTAATTGGAATTTGTGTCTGCTTTTTGTTATTGACTTGATTCGATTCGGTTGAGGGCAGCTCGTTGTGCAGGCTTCGAAGGTTGGTTTTCCATAGTCGCAGAAATTCAATTAATGTCGTTGCTGTGAGGTCTTTGGACTGACGGCATTACATGTTGTATGCTGATTCCAAAGAAACTAAATGACGAAAATAGATTCATTGCATCTTGAAGTACAGGGTGCGCCATCTTTTATGTCGGTATGTAAACATTGAATATCTTTGAGAATAAACAACCGATTTTCAAGTATGAAATATTTTTATTTAATTTCGTTCTGTACAATTTCTTCAGACTAATTTTTCAATACTGGTTTACTCAAGTCAATCGGTTCACTAATGACAAAGTTATTCAATATTTACATACCGACATAAAAGATGGTGCACCCTGTACTGCCAACTTGTATCAAAATTTTTGTAAAACTATGTTGATTGTTTTTTTTTTCTGTTTAATCAAAGCACTGAAGCCGTGCATTCAGATTAGCACCTTAACAATACATTTTTATGTTGATTGTTGTTTACATTTTTTATATACTTTTCTAACTAAAGAGTTCGTCGAGGCTTGGTTGTTTATTTGGTTTCAAAATTCCTGCTACTAGTAGGCCTCTGGAATGCCTTTAGCTATGACTTAATTAATTAATGCCAGACTCTAAAACTAGCAACACTTCACAAACTAAAAGCAGCAGACATTGTTTGTTGTATATTTAAAATCTGTGCCATGGCAAGCGGAAAACAGGCTTCTTTCGATGGAGCAGGTGCCACGACTGGTGTCTACATGCGCTTATGTTCGGTGCCGCGGCGAGAGCCGTACAAGCTGTTGCGTCAGGTGAGCAACCAGAAGGTGGCATTGAAGCTACCTGAGTCCGCGAAGGGGGAGCGACACTATAGATTTCGGCGAGTCTATCCGAGCGCTAGCAGTCTGAGGACAATTTACAAGAGAGTAGCTGCACCTCAGGTGCAGCGTTTGTTAACTGGAGACGATGCCTTGTTGGTGTTGAACGGTTACGAGAGAAGTGGCAAGAACTATGTTTTGGGAGGTGACGGAACGCTGAGAAATCCTGGCATATTGAAACAATCTCTAGACCAAATATTTGCGATATTGGGCTCAAAGTTGGCTCCGCCCTCGCTACTGCAATCGAATGGACGCAATGGGTACGAGCTGGCACCAGAAGATCTGCGGCGTGCACCGAAAAAGCAAAATCGATATTGCAGCATCTTTGTCAGCTATATGGAGTTGGAGAATGGCGCTGCCTATGATTTGCTAAGCCCTTCAATTAATGACAAGGAGTTTAGGTCGTTGGCGATTTGTGAGGATGCGGTTCGATCGAGCTTTTATGTAAATGGTTTGCAGGAATTAGAAATTCGAAATGCTGCCGAGGGTCTAGAGCTGTACAAGTGGGGCCAACGGCATAGAAGCTACTGGGAAAGAAGGTCAACAGAAAGTCAGACCATCTTTAACGTTCGTGTGCTTCAAGCCGAACTCAAAAGGGTTAGTTACAAGCTAAAGCATTTGATGGTCAGCTGTCTGAGATTTGTGGGCTTGTCGAGCGGTGGGGAACTGCAGTCTGTAGATAAAGCATTGCTCATGTGCTTGAATCAGTTGGGAAAAGGAAAGTCGCCAAGCTATGGCAATTCCCAGCTAACGAAGCTATTGCGAAGTGATTTAGAGAGCAAAAACCCCTCTATAAATTTGATAGTGTGTCTCAATCCAGCGGACAACTTCTACAAACAAAACAAGCAGCTGCTGCAATCTGTTAAAGGCTTGCAGAGGATCTCCAATTCAGTTGCCACTAATATTAGGGTGCCAAGTGCAGAGTTTGGTGAAAAGAAATTCGACAAATTGAGGCAGAGTCTAAAGCAGCACCGTCTGCAAAAGAATATACTGCTAGAACAGCAGAAAAATCTGCGAAATGTCATCTTACAGATACGCGATGCCAACACACAGCTGACCATCGACAAAGACGCTCTATTGGGAGCCTACAAAGAGCAGCAGAAGAAGGACGAGCTGCTGAACATTAAATTAAAGAATTTCGAAAACTTCATTGAGGAATTGATGCACAATATGACCGAAACCCAGCGGGATAACGAAGAGCTGAAGACCCAGTTGAAGGAAAATGAAAAGAAAATAAAGCAACTGAGTGCCGAAGTAGCGCTTGCCAAGGAACGAAAAAACAAGATACGTACAACGCTGGAGAAACGGGAACAGGATGTGGTCGACCACTACACCAGACAGATCGCCAAACTGCGTACTCAGCTGCTTTTGACGACCGAAGAGCTACAAAATCATGCATCGCATTGCAGCTTCAAGAAGGGAGGGGAGAAAAAAAATGAGCCGCTGACTAAGGCAATAATAGGGGATGTGAATGGGCCGGTTGACGATCCATATGTTCAGAAACTTGTAAACGTTTGTGCCAAAACCCTGGCACTAAGCAAAAATAAACGAAATAGGGTAAGTTGGGGCCTTAAGTTAAATTGCTCCAGTTTTCACTTAATATACCCATAAGCTGTGTAGATGTGTATATATGTGAGCAGAAAAAGGCTACACTTTTTAATAACTCTCTCACTCGCTTTTCTTTTTCTTTTAAACTATCGTGCACAGTCAAGACGTTCCCGCTCCGAGTTAGACGACCGCTCACTCGCGACCAATCAGCGTTCATCTGTAGCCTTAAAGAATGCCAACTCGAATAGCGCGAAGACCGCTGCTTCGCCAGACCAATCCGAGTTGAAGAGGGTCTCTGTCATAGCTCGGCTATATAACCTGCCCTATTCGCGCGGCATCTAATTGACTTATATATTATAATTTAGTATTCTGAATAAATTGTACATTACTTTGTTGGTTTTTGAGTGCATGGAAATAAGTAGCTTTTGCGTCGACTGTACTTACTTGCATGTGCCGCCATTTTGGCAAACATTTGTCTGCACATCCTGGCACAATGGGCCATGACCACAATCGCTGCCGCTGAAGCCCGCAAAGCAGGCGCATCCATATGAGCTGAAACGGAAGAGTAAATTTGAGTAAATTGTATAAATATTAAATAAATACACGCTGTTGTAAAAATGTCTGTTGTGTGTATTTTCTTGGCCGGTTTGTTTGCTGTAAACAGTGACTGTAAACTGTGTTGACCCCAAAGCCAAAGATGTGCTGACGGCTGTCATAAAAGTTGCTACTTGTGTGCTCTCATACCGAGTTAGCCGCAGTTGTCAGATTCCCTCTATATATCTACATATTTTGTGGATTTACTTGTATCATGCAGCTAGCGGCTTGGCACAGCATGAGAGTCAATGAAAAATCATGGATTGTTGCCACATGAAAGTTTTATATATTAGTTTATTTTTTTGTGGTATCGATCGCCTCGTGGCCAAAAGCACCCAACAATTTACGAGCATAAGCATAGAGATTTTGTCGCAAAGATTGCGACATACAGAGAAACTTATGCCACCCGTAACATACTTATAGTATATGGAAGAAGGAAAAGCATGAAAAGACGGCTCAGCAACAGCAACAGCCTCATTAGAGCTAAATGTGAGCAGCCAGGGGCAATAATTTAAACAAGTCTACGTCGCCAACCCACGCAAAAATTCAAGGACGTGTCAAAAGCTCAAGCGGCAGCAACAAATGAAGAAAAATATGCCGACACAGGCGCATACACAGCCTTGAAACAAGCTTTGCGCACTTATTAAGTTCAATTAAAAGGCACGAGGCAAAGTTGCAGTCGAACCACAACCCCAAACCCCTCCACACCTCCACCGCTCTCCCCACCTCACCCTCTATAACCAAGGAGGGAGGTAAAAGCGTCACTGCACGTTTGCTCATTAAAGTTGACGGTGTAGAAAGTGGCCAAAGGCGTTACTGCCTCTGCTTCTGCCTGTTCCTTTGCCTGTCGGAGCCTGGTAAGTGGTAAGTGTCCGACTTATCAGCGCAGAGGCAGTCAAGGACGCGCAAGGACTACCCCAATGCAAAAACAACTCTATGTGAAGTCATAAAATCAAATTAAAAGCGCACAGTAGGGTTAAGCAAATTAAAAGACACGAACCTGCAGCACGAACAAAAAAAAGCTGTGATCTGCCCATAAAAGTAGGCTAGGATTGGGTTAAAACATATTTCTTTAAAGCACAATGCGTGTCATAAACATAAGATTTGGAATTGATTTGAAATTTTCGATTTTGAGTTGATTTGGAATTTTATTTTAAGGTCAGCTCAATGCAAGTGAATTTTCTGTTCGATTCATCACATATTTAACAGCCCATTTATTGAACTAATTTGTCATAAATGGACAGACTATTTAATTTAATTTTAAGGTCAGCTCATTGCAAATGAATTTTCTGTTCGATTCATCACTTCTTTAGCAGCATATTTATGAAAATAATTTGTCATAAATGGACAGATATTTTTATTTTTGAATGACAGTTTATTTTAAGCAACACAGAACTAGTCTTTATACTTCTTTGCTTTTAAATTTGGTTAGTAGCAGACAATAATCTGTTTATGGGAAGACTTTTGATTTGATGCATTGTTCGATATAGAAACTAATATCTCCAAAGGTAGGTGATGATTTTTGGAATAAAAAGGCTTATATGAATAAATCTGAGCATTCTAAGCTGGTGTGTATTAAAAATTTAATATTTTTACAAATTTATTTTTTTAATATATGTACTATATATGCATATGTATTTCAGAATAAATCGAATATGAAAATAAATCATTTTGAACTCGCATTTGCAATAAATGCTGAAACGAGCAACCTGTGTTTGTGCATGGCACTGTATTTGTATCAAATTTGGCTTAATCAGGACCTCAATTTGCATTGTGTTATCCCGTTTAATTAAGAGTCCTTGCAACATGACAGCTGTCAAAATCAATTGTAAAATGTTATTCCCGCTGCCTGCAAATTAAATGTGCGCAAAATCACAGAAATTAATTCACATTTCGCTGTCCACGGGTTTTTTTCGCTCCTGTTTTCTTTGACAATTTAATTGGGGCTCAGTGAAAGGCTCCAAAATGAACACAAAAAATAAAATAACAGACCGAAAGGTCGCAACAATTTTTGTTAAATAATTGCGCATCCTTTTCCATTTATTTTACAGCTGTCGCAATATTTTTGTACAGCAATTGTTGCTGTTCTTGTTTGTCATGCGTCGTTGTCACATGTCGACATGAATTAATTTTTAGAAAAAGTTGTTTATTGCTGTTTTGACACGGGCAAGCATCGGCAGAGACGAAGAAAAGAATAAAACATTGGATAATATTTGGTTTTATACAAAATAAATGAAGCTTATATATAACAGCAGACTTGTTCGAAAATCAGAGATAACAACGAGGGTGTTTTATATTTTTATACTCTGCATCTTTTTTAAAAAAAGCAGGGAATGTAATTTCATTGGATTGGAAGCGAATAGAAAATTGTGAAATAATCTACAGATTGTTATGCCCTGCAGGGTACTCGAAAAGTGACAAATGTTAAATGGTGTAACAACAGAAGATGTGATTGAACCTCAGCTATAGACCATCAAATAAACAAATGACGTTTGAAAAGCATGCATCGAGAGCTTAAAAGGAGATGGAAGGCGGTAGAAATGGATAGGGTGAAAAATAAAATGTTCTTTCAATATACTCGTTTTAAAGACCTAGTTAAAGGTAATCCTTTTAAATTTCTAAAAGGGATATATGGAAAGACGGATTGTTGGTAAAAGATTTGATGGAGATTTTGGATGTAAAGAGTGTGGTTGATGTTTATTTCAAAGAACTTTCTATGAGTTATGAAAATTTAAGCCAGGGTTTAATTATTTTCCAAAGCTTGTTTCTGTGTTATTCCGCAACTTTCTGAATTGCCTTTGTATACATTTCACAGAATCAATAACTAACAAGCTCGTAGGTCTCAAGAAATTAGTTTTATTTCCTCCTACTTAGGCTTTCCTAGCTTACAATTTTTTTCAATAATTTTATACATTTATGTTGTTTTCCTATATCGACAGTCAATGTTTGTTGACATAAATATAAATGAATAAATTAATAAATGGCTCAACACACATTTGAAAGCTATTCTCAGTTTTGTAATCATTTACAGCTAAACTTAAGGTTTTATTTAAATAATATACTTCTTCTCTTCACTCTCTGAAATCGTTTTTTTGCTTGAAAAATCCGTACTATTTAGTATTTATTTTAATTTCTTTTATTCATAAATTTTGCTTGCTAAAATGTAATCAACGACACTGATTCGTTCGCTCAGCATTACCAATACTATTGGCGCCTACGAAAATCGTGTATCAACTTTTTATATCGTTAACATCTATTAACTTCTTAAAAGCCATATGATCACTAAATGTTGTGCTAACTCGGAAAGTTGTTGTTTGGCATTTAAATGCGATCAACTTTCGTGCATTTGCTAAACTAATTGATTTGCTATTAACGCCACACGGCGTATAAGCAATATACATAAGTTGTCCTACATATATAATGAATGTTAAGTATACGTATATGTCCGGCAAGCAACATAAAAGTTTCGTTTGACATGGCCAACAACTTTAACAAAAATCAAAACGTGCCCATGGGTGCGACAAAAACCAACAAAGGCGACAAGAAAAGTTTTCTTTGGAATTCATTTCATTGGCCTTTTCTTTCTCTTTTCATTGCTTTGCTTCAGCCTTTGCGACAACGATTTTCGTTTGGATTTCGGCACATTTCATACATGTTTGTGTGTGTATGGGTGTGTGTGTTGGTTTGTGTTTGTCAAGCAATAAATTTAGCGCGGCAAAGCTAAATGTCATTAGTACTGTGTGTGTGTGTGTGTTGTGTGTGGGCATAGTTCTGAGGTCGGGGGCGCACAAAACTAGGCAACACTTTTGCTCAAACTTGCTGGGGAGCCCAGAGTTGAGGGTTTTTCAAGGCTTGCTGCTCTTTTTGCTGTTGTTGTCAGTACAGGCAAACCAGCAATAAGGTTAAATATACACACGGCTTGGTCCTGCCCATAAATTAAATGCATTTGTCGAGCATTTTAACCACAAAAGCCGCATGTCTTGGCTGAAGAAGTCAGCAGAGACATCGGCGTCGGACACAGCCTCGGTCTCGGCATCGGCATCGACCTCGGTCTTGGCTCGACGCACAATTGACTGCCAATGCAAAAAGTTGTACGCCAAAGTGTAGTGTCTTTACGTAATGAAAAATTGATAGCCTAGACAGTAGGCGGTTAAAGTATGTTCATTATAAATGAGTAGGTATTGTTTGCCATTTCAGTAATTGTTTTGAGCTAAGAAGATATTTTATTTTTACACGAAACAAAAAGCAAATTAATTGCTAACTGAAAGCAATTAGTGGAACGATCAAAAATTGTATTTGCAGTGAAATTTGATCAAATTTTGCAATAAAATTCAATAAAATTCAGCTTCATCTATTTAATTGCTTTGTAAATATCTGATAAAGCATCTTCAGCGGCTGTCAAATAGGTCGGTCTAAGTATATTTGCTGACTACTATATACTATAGAGAGCTGTCCATTGCTGCCCCCTTCCAGCTGTTATTGTTGTTGCTGTTGTTGTTAGTAAGTAATTTTCGCCTTTGTCTTGCGTAAATTAATTGCCAGACTGGCACAGCTTCCTTCTTGTTGTTGCTCCTGCTGCTGCTGGTCTTTGTTGGGCCGCCTGTGACGGAAGCTTGCTGCAAAATAAATGTCACATGTCCGGGCCACCACACAAATAGCCTCAAATCCAAATAAAGGGCTGTCAAAGAATGCGCAAAATTTTTAGTTGCTGTCTAGCCTATCTAAACAGACCCCAATTTTCCCATTTCACGAGGGCACGACGGTTATCTGCCGTGCAGGGCTTTTACATTTTTTACGATTTATTGTCGTTGTCGCTGTTGATGTTGGTGTTGTTACCTGCTGTTGAAAATCACCTGCAGCTGTTTGGTCGTGCACCATAGTTTCATTTCTGCATGCATTTGTGTACTCGAACATGTGCGCATGCAAAAACTTTTTAAGCAACAGCAAATATTTGGCAT